AACATGACATACATTAGGGTACAATTGTAAATGAATGATTCTACTACATACTATCGCTAATGTTCTGCGGCCCTCTTCAACGCTGAACAATCTTTGACTTTGAGTGTGATGTGTCCCTCTGAAGCTATTCTCATTTTTATTAATGTTTGTTGTTCGCCTCTTTAATTAACCTTCATTGTTGAAATAAAAATTAAAGTTTATAATTAAGATAGATTTCTTCTAGTGCCTGTGTTTTTTTATGCAATTAAGCCTAGCACTTATTAGTAAATGAATGATTTGCGGTGTGGTTCTCTAATCTTGACTTCTGCAGTTTGCGTAATCCCAGCCATCAATTCTATGCCGCACAAGAGCAGTTTGTGGAGGAACAGACGCAATACTCAGTACAGTATGCCTTTAATTATCCTTCAACAATATATGATTTTTTCTTGATATGGAAATTTGGCGAATGAGAAATCTAGAACTTTATTTTGGAAGAAATTATCTCCAGTCATATGGCAACACTGAACACCGTATGTTCACATTTCGTATGTTTAATAGCCGCAATTTATGATTACCGTATGTTCCGTATCCGACAAGCGGAAGAGTCAGAAGTAACCTGGAGTCCCAGACATTTCTTACATTTAACATTTTATTATTGTTAGTTCGACTCGCGTAGTTGATATAAACTTTGATGACCAACGAAATATAACTTTTTTGTAAGGATTTACACAGCCGAGTTTGGATTCAAATTTTTATTCAATCAAACGAATTCAAAAGAAGTAAAATTGGCTGGATGGAAGCATCAACGGCGCTCTTAGTAATAGCCAAAATGAATTATAAGGTTTTCATGTATTTACTTATTCATCCTCCTGGTAGCAGTTACGAGGAAGTGAAAATTTGGTAAGCAATAGCAAGGAATAAAATAAGGTTGGCTTGCTCTGAGCGTGGCGAAAGTTAAACGGGCTCCAGATGGGGTCTCCCAGGGGCTGCGACGTAGCCGTGACGCCAGACAACGTAGATGTTACGTATAAGAAATAACGTAGCACGGAGGAAAGGCTCATCAACAGCACTGGACCCGAAACTTGAGAACGTTGATACTAAAAAGACATAAACATAATCTCGGTCAGGTTCATACAGGATTTGACTATGAAATTAATAAACAGCAATTTCAGCAGCAAAGATCAAATTAACTCAAAAAGCCTTCGACTGACCTGAGGTTTTTAATGCCCAGTGTTATGACTTCACGAAAATGGAATGAATGAAGAGTTTAATTCAAGAAATTTAGAGGAAATCAGTTACAGGAGTAGGAAGTTGGACGGAAAAAGACAGCAAGAAACGCTAAAGGTTTCACTGTGTGTTGAAAGAAGATGAAAGACTTAAATTAGGATTGCACATTCCGACACAGTATAGCCAACTGCCATCGTGAATTGCACGACCCCATTTCTGGCAAAAATAGAACTATTGATATTTGATAAACTTCAATTATACTTCGAAATGATTTAAAATATTTTATTTAATTTGATATATATTTAACAACCGTATATTTAATATTTTTGATATATATTTGATATAGATATCGAAATAAATTCAATATATATATTTGAAATACCTAAACTTTGATATAGATTTGCAATATATTAGACATTAATTTGAAATAAATTTACTTAAAATGATACACTTAAAAAATGTGTCCAACTTCCCACAGGAGCAAAAATGAGCATAGTTAATGCAAACCAAACAAAAGGAAAATGACACGGCATTCGCACAAAATAAAGGACAGCGAATCAGGTTTATAGGAAGTTTGAGAAATACTTAATGAAAGATGAGTATGATGCTTCTGGAGACACTGATTAGTTGGCGGCACAAAACTGTAGTTCGTAAGTATCACAGAGTGACGACCACCGCTCGGAACAGCCCCATGAATCTAAGAAATCTGACGAGCTTGTTTGCCCAGTCTCGGACATTGACTTGTCCGCACAAGCTGGACAAGAGGCAACCGCACTGCGTCGAAAAATAAATAATTCAAGATTACCTTTATTATTATAAAAGATTGTTTGGAAATAATATTTAGCTTGGAAATGACAGAAATAATCAGTGAGAAATTTATAATTTCTCACATTTTAATAGGGAAACTTCATGTTTATTATACTACAAGTAATGATCTTTATTTAATTATAGCCATGTTGAAATGTTTTTTTTTTTTTGTGAAGCCCGCTTCTAGATCATTAATGCTTTTATATACATCCTCATATTGTTAGGGATGCTCGTCGCTTCCATCAGATCTTAAAATGTAAAAGTTTAATAGATACAGATTTGTATGAATAATGCCATTCAATATTATTAGCTACATTAAATTGAGGGTGGAACATGGGAATGGCAATGATTAATTTATCTGAAGCAACCTTTGCAAAATTAGTGTCAAACAAGCAAACGGATGTCATGCCAACCGGAACTCAAACACCACAGCAGAGGCCAGAGAGTATTTTATGCAGCTAATGAATTCCGCAAACTTTGCTGGAAGAGAGATTATTGAATTTTAGAAAAAAGGCAGGATAATTCAATGAAGGGTGGTGGCAGAACTGCAATCTTGATACTCTATTGCGATTCGTGCTATGATAACCTACGTAACAATTTTCACATGATAGTTATAATTTTTGCACATTCAAAGTACGCATGACATAACATAACGCACCCAGATTTGGAAACCATAATTGCTCAAATGAAGCAAAAATAAACGACAGACCATTGAATTATCTTGCAAATATATATATTCATATTTTGTATTGTGTAGCATAATTACGCTCTGTAATTATGCCATATTGACCTAATTTGTATAGTCCATTTACGCGCATTGTTATTAGGTATTGATCATGTCAATTTTGCTGGCCCGGAGGATGTCGGTAATGTAGTCCCAACATTGGCATGCAGGATCGTACTGTTGACGTACAGGTTCATACCCTACTTGCCACAACCAGTCCAATTATTCATTAGAAGGCACCGATGGCACATCTGAAGCCATGTTGCCTTCTTTAGCTCTGTAATTCATGTCTGATTGAATTGTGATCTATGAATGAATATTCATTACTGTGCTGACTCATAGAACCTGAGTCCTGAGTTGACGCGTTAGCAATCTAGGCAACTCATATCCAACCACAACACAATGTGGATACACGTTTGTGTGTACGGTCAGTGTGATTACGTAATTTGCGTTGCAGCGCATCCATATTTAAACTATTTTAGCTTTCTAAAAGTACGGCGCATGGCGCATTTTTTTACCGGCATAGTACGGCGCACTGCGCAGGACGTTAAAATGACAATATAAATTTGTCCGCACACCTGGCACATCTTTCTGACCATGGCGGACAAGCTTTACTGCATCCTGATCCATCCAACATACCGGAAACCTTACTTTTTTCTAATTAGTTGGCCAAAGACTAGCAAATATATTTAATGCAAAAATTTCAATCTATATGTGTCAGCAAGATCTTCTGAAGGAGTAAATTTTGCTACTGAAGCGTTGCCAAAGATCTTGCAATATTCATCCACTTTCTGCACAGTGGAGTCTTCTGGCAATACTGTTAAGATAAGAGATATTGTTTAAATTCGTAGCAATCACCCTCTTGTACTTTGAAATTTTGGAAAAGTTATTTCTTTGATTGTTGGTAACCATAACCTTGTTTGTTCTATAGAATTAGTTACAGACTCTGGAAAAGTCATTCGTTACCAAACTGTATCTGTTAGAAGTTAGCTTGAAAGTCTCTCAACCTGGGCAAACAATATCTGTCTAAACTATCAAATTCCTGTGTAGACCATGCTATAAAGCTTTTGAAAAGGCTCCTCCTGCCTTACTTAAAAAAACAATTTCTTTTTGAATATTTTGTATCACATAGTCTAATTATGCTCTGTAATTATGCCGCATTGACTTAATTTATGTTGTCTGTTTATGCACATTGGTATTACGTAATCATGTCCATTTTTCTGGCTGGTAGGATGTCATGGATGTAACATAGTCCCAATGTAGACGTACGTTGTTTGCACTATTATACTGGTTGTAAATTTGTCCGGGATGTAGGTATTTATTAGAAGGCACCAAAAGCACGTCTCAAGCCATGTCACCTTCTTTACTTCTGTAATTCAATTTCACTCAATAATATCAGCACAGTTATGAATATATGTTCATAACTGTGTCAACTCTTATAACCTGTGTTAACACATTAGAAATCTAGTCAACTTCAACCACCACATGATGCTGATATACGTTCATGTGGGCAGCGCATTCATTTTTAAACTGTTATAAAGCACAGCACATGACACATTTTTGTACAGGCCTAGTACGGTACACTGCGCAGAGTGATGAAATGACAATATTAATTCCTGCGCACCTGGCACATCTTCCTGACCATGAGCCATGAAGAGCCATTTACACGCCAGACTGGAATATTGGGCAGATTCCAGATTTTTTCAAAGAAAGCAGCTGAAAAAGGCTATTAATGGGTGAATTTTCAAAATTGTAGGTGAAATTTTCGTCCTCCCTGTGTTTTTCTAAACCGTAAGTGAAAATTGACAGTTCACAGGCAATTTTACAAAATCATATGTGAACATCTGCTACCTCCTGTCTCTCAACTTCTTGCACCGCTGAACAAGAGGTGTGCAGCTGGAGGCCTGCAAATTGCCTCAAATCTGCCCTGTGCCAACATCAACCTTCTGAATGCTTTAAATATTGTCAACCTGGCACCTAAGCAGCTGTACTCAATTGTAATTTTTTTATGGTTTGTATTTGAAAGAAGGTATGGTAATCAGCATTTATGTCCAGTTGAGAGTTTGGTTTTCCTATAAAATTTTGAAGAGCAACATAAGAAGATTTTTACTGTATTTTTGAGAGGCAAAGACCTGTGCTCTTACGCAAGGTGGCTACATGTGTCTAGCCCTTGAGTTATCCAGTGTAGGTTGATGTTGGAATTGCTCAAAGCATTCTAGATATTCATGACAGGAATTCTTATTAACATCTTTTATTATTTCTACAGCACCAGGTCAATAGTTCACAGGATACTCATCTACATTTACCATTGATTGGTCTTGAAAATGGAATTTTAAAAATTTGTTTTTAATTGAATAATTATCATCATGCATGATTGCCTTGATTTTTCTGATTCTAGTTTCTAAAGCTTGTTTGAACTAAGAATTATTTGGTTTGATTGTAAAGACTTCAAAATCCGAAATGTTTGGTAATTTGAAGAGCAAGCTTGAAGGAGTAGCAGATCTTAAAAAATATGCTGCTCCTCAAAACCTTGCCAATTCAGTAATAGGTTCTCGCCAACGTTCTGGCAGTCACACTCCTTCAATTCCTGCCAGTCCTGCTGTTCCTGTAAATCCAGGAACACTGGTCACCAATGTATTGTCCTCACAAATCCAAGCAAATGGAAGCAGGAAAGGTCCTCCATCTTCTTTACCTAGTATATCTCACAGTCCCCTTTCAAATTCATCATCTCGGTCACATTCTCGGGAAGCTTCCTTAACATCATTGCCACTGTCTCCGGGTTTTTCACCAATTCCTTCCCTAGATGGCAAGGATTCAACACCAAGATCTGACAGTCCGATGTCACCTACACCACCAACTCCTACTAAACAGCAGGTTAACTATTAAACAATGCTGAATTTTATTTCACCTAATTTAAATTTAAATTTGTGGTCTAAAAAAAATCTTCTTTATATAATGATGGCTCTGTGGAGCATGTATAATGAAAATAACCTTTTTTTGTCATTAACACAATAAATTTGGCTATTGGCAATGTGATGATTTTTGCTATAAATTTAATGAATTGACTTTCCATCCAAGAGCTAGAAAACTTCCATAGGATTCAACTCCTCTATCAAAGAGAATTATTGTTCCTACATGATAGCTTGCACTAACAATTAAAGCACTAATATTTCATTGTTTCACAGGACACTCTAGCTCGGGAGGTTGTGAAGCTAAGAGCTGCTTTAGAGCAGCAACAAGATGCTCACCTTGCCAGATTGTCTGCAAAGGAGACTGAATGGAGGGGAAAATGTAGCCATCTTACAGATAAGGTCAGTAAAAGTATATATATATATTATCAGTTTTTAAGTTTATTTTATCATGTTTTTGCTGTTATGAGCTCTGTGGGATCTCAATTTATGTGAAGATTATCAATTGTTTCATTGCGCTGGGTAGAAATGAAAAAAAATCCAGCATAAAACATTTCCCATTTTTACCAGCTTCTTTCCAAATAAATTATATGTCTTGAAACTACTCTCAATTTCAGGTTTCTGAAATACAAGAAGCACTTCAAAAAAAAGACATTACTATTTCATCACTGCAGAAGGAGCTTGATGCTTCCAAAGGTGAGCTTGTTTTTTTCATCATTACTTTTCAAATCCGCATTAGATGTACATTTTAAATATTCAGCAATGCATACAGTATTTGTTTAAATTACCTAGTTGTTGTAGATTAGTTAACAAGTAGATAAGTAATTTGTTAGTAGATTAGTTTTAATGGTATGGCACTTGGAAAGAAAAAAAATTCATCTCACAGGGAGCATCTATATGCCTAATCAATAAATTTCTAGATTCAAGTTCCTTCTTCATCACTGAACAAGAGGACCATTATGAACTGGGAAGGACTCATCTTATATACTATACAATACCAAAATATATAACATTTTTGCTGCAATGCTTATTGCCCTGTCCTCTAAACACCTTTCATATAGTCAAATAATAATGATTCATTTCTCTTAACTATTTCACAAGTCATTTAGAAACCATCACAAAAATATAAAATAAAATAAAGTAGTCCTCAGATATTTACTTCATACCAAGGTACATTTTTGTGAGTTTATCTGAATTTTTGGTAGATTTTTGGTAATTTTCAACATATCAGTATAGAAGCAATAAACTTCATAGTAGTGTCGAGTAACAATTTCTTTTTAGCCTTCAATTTCTTATTAATCTTCAACTTCATTCCAGCATGTTAGGGTAAATCTAATTTGCTTATTGTAGTCTCTCAAAGTGAAAAAAACACACATTAAACCTAAAAAATGTTCCTTCTTTAAATGAAAGTTGAATACACTAAACTTTGTAATGCTATAACTCTAATTTCAATGTCATTTTTTTGTGTAAACCAACTCTAAAGTCCATGAAAAGAATTTGACAGATGATTTGTTTGAAAGGCACACTGTCCAGTGTCTGAAATGAAGGGAGTGCAAAGTCCATGGATTTGTTTTTACAACACTGACATTTTGTCTCCTTAAATAGACTAATAGGTATATTTACATAGGCTCTTCTAACATATTTAATAAAGGCTGGTAGGTAATTGAAATACAAGATCAAACCTTCTATTTATGTATTCGTTTTTAGCTAATAATACAATCAGAAAATGTTTTCGGGCATTTTTTTTTAATGATAACCCAATGGGTTGCTTAATGAAAACATGTTTTTTGAATCTATTATTTTTTCATTCCTAAGTAAAATTGGCTAGTAGTACAATCCATGAATTTTTTTGCCTATGCAGTAGTAAAAGGCTCACATTTAAAAAAAAATTTCAAAGTGCCTTGTCCATTTTTTCAAAAGTTTTGACAAGAAAAATGAAAAGTGTTTTTTTTTTTGTCAAGATCATTTCTAGTCTTGGACTCTAAAAAAAATATTTTTCAGTTTTTTCCCATATCTTTTGAAAAATTGTACTTGGCACTGTGAAATTTGTACCAAACCTCATGAGTACGTACTACTAGTGTAGGTATATGCTCAAAAATTGCTAGGCTTGTAATGCCATTAGTTTTGTACTTTGTAGTGAGGAGCCTAAATTATTCTAAATTGAAAAAAAACAACAAATGCTTAAAAATCCCAGTGTATGCATGTCAAGATTTGAGTTTGCTGAAGGAGCTCAACATGGTTAAACTTAAGGAGCTAAACTGGTTACTTGGCAAAACAGACAAAGGTCTGCAGTCCTGGCTCCCCCATTTCACACACTTGACTGGAGGCTTTTACTAATGACTAATATTTTCATAACTGGTTTTATTGACTTTTGACCAATTCATGAAAAAAATAACATCAAACACGAAGTTATAGTCTCAAAAACATTGTGTCTAAGTAAAATTATAATACATTTTTTAAAGACTAATGTGGGTTCTTTTTATATTTCACTTTGAGAAAATGCAGTATGCAAATTAAATTAACCACAATGTTGCAATTGACAATAAAGTTGAAATTGATTTTAAAGTTACAGTTCAGGTTGGGATAACATAAAATAGTTACAAAAAAATCCCTGTTACGTATATTTCTCTATCAATGATGTGACAAAAATGACCAAAAAAGTGTCCAAGAACATATACAAAAGTGCAAAACTGCGAAATGTACTTTGATGTGAAGGAAATATCTAGTGGCTACTTTTTGGATTTCATTGAATTATAATAGGTCTGGAATGACCATAGAACAAATTGGGGGCCTAATAATGCATAACTAATTTTTAAATGGGTACTTTTTTTTTCTACCCACTAATGCCTTGGGCTGATTTTAGAGTCTGGGACTATATACCTATATACATTCATATACATATTTATGAAGTGTACTTGCATATTACTCTAATAATAGGTATATACCTATATATATATATATAAATATATATTATTAAAATAGAAGAGTTATTGTTAGGCTGAGTTATTGACACATCAGGTTGGTAGTTTTAAAGCATGAGAGACATCAAGTAATAGGTGTGATGGACAATAACTTGTGCACGACTCGTACAAGATGTTTGCAGTAGCTAAATACCAAAGAGTTCCTTCAATTGGTTGGAGCTGAGAAATTTTCTTTAACATCTTCACTCATACATAACTTATTACTTTAACTGGCTTTAACTTTTATTAACTTTAACTGGCCTGCATACATAACTTATTAAAATTTCCTAAATGGATCTGTGATCTTATTTTTTCAATAATATTTATTGCCCAAGAATAAAGAACGTGTTAGAAGTGTGCCAATTAATATAATTATTCTCCTCATATTGATTAGTGGAAAAATCATGATTTATTGATCTCCATCCTCACTATGTATATTTATTTTCATTTGTTCAATTGATTTTATAAAAGTACCTATTCTACATTCAACTCATTTTTGGTTAGAAATTTTCCATGAAGTTGCTTGCTTACATTTTGTTTTTCATTTTATCTTATACACAATTATTGTTTCATTTTTGTCTGATAAAATTAATTGGTCGGAAATGCTAAGTTATATAGGTGTATCAGGCTGAAATTATGAAATGTTCTACAAATATTTTTATTTAAATTTGTTAGACTCAAACATTTTGTAATGCATGCTCATTCACTGTTAAGAATATCTTCTAATGTTACTTGGTCTCACCATTTTTAGCTGGTTCTTGCTGGTAATTATTTCTTCTCATTAGTTGCTGTACCAAGCAATGCCTTGCCAATAGTAATGTTGATGCATTTGAAATCTTTCTTTTTCAGAACGAAATGAAGGTAAGCACATTGCCTGCCTAGGTTCTTACTGCTCTGAATGGTTTCTGGTCAGTAAACTTCAAACGCCTGCATAGACTTGAAGAATATAAATAAGTTTGGACTAATCTTATTAAATTTCTGGTCTCAGATCTCCTGGTCAATGAATGGAACTGATTTTGGTGTTACATGCATGTTTATTTGGTTTTAACCCATTAATGACGAGAATTATTTTCTGAATTTTTTTTCGGTTCCTTGTGAGAATATTATCATTTGTGATGGTAATAAGCAAAAAGTATGTTCATATATTTATTTTTCGTTGTATGTGAAAAATTATAGCTTGGTTCCATATGGAACCGCTCGGCATTAATGGGTTAATCTATTTTTTTGAACATTTTTAGCTCTAAAATTCATTAGATTACCAAAATTGTAAAAATTCCTAGGAATTTGTATTAAGGAGTTATAAATGAACAGTGAAAGCTGAAGATATTGAATAATGCAGCATTGGTAGACAATTTTTGGTTTAACTGCAAATATGGTCTGAGCAGCAGTTAACAATTCATTTTTAAATGAACTGAAAGGATGCCTCCTTATGCAAGGTATTGCTGTATTCTTGTTTTCAAACAGAGAGCATGTATTGCATTATAGATTTTCAATTTTGAATTGTGGGATTCAAGTTAAAAGTAATATTAAATTAATAACTTTATTCAATTATGAATTAAAAGATAGGAGATAATTTTGTTCTGATATGCCCAGAGCTGACAAAGCGCCTTCAAGATGTGCAAGAAGACTGCGATGAGCTTGAGGGACTCAGTGTACAAGAAGCTGCCAAAATCAAACACATGGTAGGTATCAAACTATAATATATAGTAGTTAAATTACATATAGTTTTTTATATATGGTTTCATAGTTTTAATATATTTTTAATGTCAAACTATTGTTTGAAAATACCTATGGTTACTGTGTTCATCTAATTATTTTTTGAAGAAAAATTTTCAGTTTTTTTATGCTTGTTCTCATTAACTTTCTTCTTTGGTGTATGATGGCACTGATGTCTAATAGAAAGATGTCTTATCATATTTGAAGTTGCTCACGCATTTCACTAATTATGGTATGTCAACATAGATTTATGTATCACTAATAATGGAACATTATTCTCTGGTAGGCCGCAAAATTATCTGAAACATGATATACGGTACTTTTAGTCTCTTAAAATATTTTCAACATATTGACTATTGAGAAATTCTTTGACCTATAAAATAAATATATTAAACTTGAGTTTACATGCCATTTGTGTTGCCTGTTTAGCTTGGCTTAATGTTTGTTATTTTCAGCTCCTGAACACAAGCACAGAGCTTGAGTCAGCTCGGTGTCAGCTGCGTGAGCGCGCTGTGACCCAGGCAGCTCTGGAGGCAGACCTACAGACAGCGCAGCACAAGAGCAGACAGCAAATAACGCAGCTGCAGCACAAGGTCGAGCAGCTGCAGCAGGAGGTGCGCCACCTCGAGCAGTGTCGACAGCAGCAGCTCAGGTAATTATCCCACTAATACACTATTCCAGGAATCATTTATTATTTATTTTAGGTTTCACTTCTGCATATAAGTTGCGATTCTAGTCTTTAGATAATTTTACATGTAGAGTGGGATGATAATGGCATAGGACTTGTTTCTACATCTGTTCAAGAGTTATGGAAATGCATGGCCACAAGAAACAAAAAAAGGAAGCTTAGTACATGAGCAAGTTTGCTTATCAAGTTTCTTTCATTTCTTGTGAGGGAAGAATTGAACATTGAACGAATTGAACATGCTGGATAGATTGAATGTTGAATTCTGATATTATACATATGAATATTGAATTCTGATATTATACATACCGGTATTCAAAATTAATATATTCAGATTAATATTCATTGTAATTCAATGTTGATTTATGACATTGAACGCAGAACTAGCAGTGATGACTGTGGCCTGAAAGAACTTCAAGAACAACACGCCGATCGGGAAAAGTCTTTATTAGACAAGGTTAGTATTTGTAAGATTCCTTCCAATGAACAGTCCTTTATGAATGAGTCTATCACAGGAGTCCAAGCATCCACTTAACCTGTCTTGAGGACATCTTTGTTTCAGTCTTGGTTTCGCTCTGATGGATTCTCAAGAAAGGTTTAAAAAGTGGCAGATAAGCTTACGGTGCAGAAGTTTGCTGGTTTGCAGCTGACATTTAATTATACTTGTTTTGAAATATTGGCACACTTTATCATGACAGATATTCGATGTTTTTGTGTTTTTATATTGAAGTATTCAATATGAAAATGCGACCGCTGGTTCAGGTTGAGGAGTGGCGCAGCAAATGCAGCAGCCTGGAGGCAGAGCTGAGTGCAGAGCAGGCAGCTCGGCAGGAGGAGCTAATGCAGCACCAGCAACACCAGCAGCAGTGCGGGCCTCAACTCGAGGCTGAACGCACCAAGCACGCTGCTGCAATATCTACTCTGCAGGTATTACTGACTCATACTCATAATATACTTATCAATTTAAAAACCATTGCGTTTTCATCAATTACATAAATGAAAAAAAAAAATGATTACCGAATTTTTTTTCAGACGAAACATGAGCTTTCTCAGTTGATTGTAACCTGGTCACACTGATGTTGTTATCAGTTAAATAAACGGAAAATGATTTTATTGTTTTTAGCGCATTTTATCATTTATGGGAAAAATGCCCTATTGTGCTCGTCATGTCCGTCCGTCCGTCTGTCAGTCCGTGACTTCACGTTTTCGTCGACGAGAAAATGCGCTCTCTGTCACTCACTGCAGTGAGTACTGAGTTATATTTTTCCACAGGCGGAGCACAGGAGCGAGGTGGACAGACTCCAGGAGCGGCTCATCAAAGAGAAAGAGAAGACCTGCCAACGCGTCACCGAGGAGCGCGAGCGAGCCAAGAAGGAGGCCCTGCTGGAGGTTGAAAAGTGCAAGGAGGAAGTGAGGAAGGTGCAGGAAGAGTGCAGACTTAAAGAGATAAGTTTTGAGGAGGAGCTCGTGAGGCAGAAGAAGGCATTGGAAGAAGAGAAGCGATGTGTCATTGAAGAAAGAGACAAGGAGAAAGTCGCCGCGAAACAGATGCAGCAGCAGCTCGTGAGTTACTACATTTGCTGGTCAATTTTTCTCACTTCTTTATGGTATAACAACTATAGCATAGAAATGCCTATGATTTTTATATTCTTTATATACCCATTGCATTTGCAGAGAGAAGCCCTCAGTAATAATTCCTCTGACATAATATTTGGCAGTAGCATTCTTCCAACGCTATAAAAATGATACTCCTGTCTGTGTCATTCCTCCTCTGGCACTATCATTCCACTTTTGGCACTATCATCCCACTCCTGTCAGTACCTGTCTACTCCTGTCAGTATCATCCCACTGCTGTCACTAACACGCCAACATCGCAGGCAGCGGCGCTGGCAGCACGGGACGCAGCGTGCCAGGATGCAGAGGCAGCAAGAGGCGCCGCGCGCACGGCAGAGCAGCGCTACCAGCAGCTGCAGAATCTCCTCGAGGAAGTACAGCAACAAAAACAAACGCAGGTGTATTTATGCGTCAGTTAACGATTTTTTCCATTTATTACATGTGACGTAAAAATTTATTTTATTGTTGTCTTTTTGATATCCTTTCCTGCATCATAATGTTCATCGGCTTAGAGGAACGTTCATCCAATATTATTTGTTTTTGAAGACGGTATGATTGACCTTTTCAAACTATCAATACAATATTTTTCTTCATGATTGATGACCAGTGCCCAGCCATACAATTTTACAACGCTCAGTTCAAAGTTCAGCTAACTGTTCGTGTATTGTCCCGTCATATTCTGTGAACTTTCCGTGAATAATATGTTACTCACAGCGTATATGGCGCAGGTCGCTGCTGAAAAGGCTAAATCCGAGCGCCTGCAGTCAGCCCTGTCAGCTGAACGAGCTGAGAAGCAGAGCCTGGAAACTGCAAAGCTGGAGCTGGAAAACAAGCAGCAGGTATAGCGGCATTCTTCATGTTTCTCCTTGAATTTTCTTATCTTTAATTTTTTATATTTTTTATTGTACTCTAAAATTGAACTATGAATTGTATCTTGAGCTCCTATTTTGTACAAGACTATTAAAAATCTGAAAATTGTATTAAAGTTCACTAAATAGTTTTTCACAGTGCGCTCGTATAACTTGTGTGAAATATTTCGTTTATCAATGCGTGATTATGCTTCTAAAATGCATTGAAAAGGCCAAATTTTCCTTTACGAGCTGGTATTGCCGACTAATGCCTTGTGTTTGCTGACACGTGCCGCATGACTGTTCAGGTGCTGCTGAGCGAGAAGACAAAGCTGTCGGAGCACCTGGACGAGTTCGCCGCCCGCGTCACGACGCTGCAGGGCGAGCGCGACGAGCAACTCCTGCACACGGCGCACCTCAGGGAGAGCCTCGAGCAGCTGCAGCAGCAGCTCAGGCAGTCCCAACAAAAGGTCCGTAATAATTTGCTCTGTATTAGTAGTTACTCTCATTATACATGGCGCCTGTCGCGGCTGAAACTGCTAACTGAGCGCCTGCTGCAGCAGCTCAGGCAGTCCCAACAAAAGGTCCGTAATAATTTGTTCCTTATTGGTAGTCTACGCTCGGTGTATATGGCACATGTTACGTCTGAAAACGCTAACTGAGCGCCTACAGCAGCAGCACAGGCAGTCCCAACAAAAGGCCCGTAATAATTTGTTCTGTATTAGTAGGTTACCTCTTAGTATAAATGGCGCATGGCGCGGTTGAATACGATAACTTTGCGAATGCCGTAAGCCTTTTCTAAAGGTCAAACTCTCGCATTAATAAATCATTGAACTAAGAAGGAACCTAGAATATACTACGGATGATCGCAATATTTGATGAATTTGCCGATGAGGGATAAATTTTCAAACATGTATTGGGATTTGTTTTGTAAATCAAATTTAGTTCCGCGCCGCGAACCTAGGAAAAAATTTCTTTGTTTAGATTACGCTTTTACATATCAATAAGGCTGCTTCAACTCTCCATTATAGAAGAACCATTTATGAGAAATAATTGATGGTTAACCTTATTATTTTCTGTAAATAATACAGCCATGTCCACTGTGCCACGACCACGAGTTTAACCTTAGTTAGTCTGCATGTATGTATCACACAATTGTACAGAGTGTTTTGACATTTGTATTTTTGCATGTCGATAAGAGTTGATAGATACAATTCCACACCCCCATTCATATTGTTTCCATTCGCTGTGCTGGTAAAGAAGCCAAAAATGCTGTTTCTCAAGTATCTCAACCATGTGGTAACATAAATCGTTCCTCACCGGAATTCAACAAGCATTATCTTCATATTTACCTTATCTGCGATGGTAAAGAAGCCAAATTTGCTACATTTTAACCATTATCATGTTACGTTTATACCACACATTAATCATCCCGTACTAAAATTTTTAGCTTAAATATCCTGTATTTTCTGCGGATGTTAGGCGGGAGAGTGGGAGAGCGACGCCCTCACCTCCTTGCAGGAAGAGCACGCCACCAGAGAGCAGGAGCTGCAGGCCACCGTGCAGCAGCTGCAGCAGGAGCTTCAGGAGAAGCAGCAGGTGATGGGCTTTTCAAGCGTTATCATTAATTAAATTAATCTCATTAATTAAATTAATCATTAATTAAATTATCATTAATAAAAATTAATGAGTGAAACACGCATACGATTGATTTCATTTATGCTCGTTACCGTACCTTCATTTATGGCACTACTTCAAACATTGCGTGGCAAGTGATAGGTATGTTAGTATGCCGTAGGTTTGGTTATGATTCATTTGTGTCTGAAAATTCTATCAGCTAGTGAAACTTTTGCATTGAACAGCATCTTTTGTGCATCTCATCTGGCACGGCAACTCATCGATGTCATATCTGTGGGTGGATTTTTTATCGGACAATAATTACTTTCTTTGTATACTCGATTTAATTGTCTACAAATTTTTCAAACTGGGAATGTTTATTGTTTTTCTATTCTTGCAGACCTTCAAGCTGCAGCAGCAGCGCATAGCAGACATGAAGAAGACCATGCAGCGAGAGCTACGCATCAGTCCTGAGCAGCAGACCGAGCAGACCACGAATGCTGCCTCGCCGCAGCCCAGCAGACACACTACATCTGGTCGAACCTCTAATATTTTATAATGAATTCAAATATTGAAGTTGTCGCGTTTTATTCATTCTTAATTATCTATTACCGTTCATCTTTGTAAAAAAATTAAATATTTTACCAGGCAATTTCCTCAATAAACCACCGAAAGTACATGTCACAGTTTAACAAATTTTCAATTTACGAGTTTATTATTCACAAAATTTGCAGTACGAAATAACGAAATAATATTGGAATTTTTTGCCTATTAGATATGCCGAGGAGTCACTCGGCTGCGGTCCTCCCCTCCAGCAGCTACGTGACCCGCAGCAGCGCCGAGGTGCCCGCCTTTACCAAGGACGGCCTCGTGGACCCCATCAACCTGGAGTACCTCAAGCACGTCGTGCTCAAGTTCATCACCTCCAGGGAGTATGAAGTGAGTCATGAGTACCTCAAGCACGTGGTGCTCAAGTTCATCACCTCCAGGGAGTATGAGGCGAGTCATGAGTGCGAGAAAGTGCACCTCATGAAGGCAAAATTATTACTACGAGTAAACTAAACTAGCAGCTTTACTACTAGGATGGGTTAGCTAAACTAGCAGCCTGTGTGCTAAGCGAGTATCCATTGCCAGGCGGTGCACCTGACGAAGGCGGTGGCGACATTGCTGCACCTGACGCCTACGGAGCAGCAGCTGCTACAAGACACCCTCAACTGGCGCATGTCCTGGTTTGGCCCCAAGCCTCAGCTCGGTAAAGGCCAGCAGGCGTACTGTATACCGCCGTCCCACTAGCACCTGTTGCTTCTCTTCTTTATACCTTTAATGGATGATTGCGGGTTCAGGAATTAGCGTTTTAATTGGGTTGATAACACAGGAAAATATTTTCTTCCTTCCTCTACCTTTAAATTAAGGGATGATTGCGGGTTCAGGAATTTGCGTTTAAATCGCCTTGGTAATGCATGAAGAAAATAATCTGTTATGTACATGCTCGTGGATTTGTAATTCCTTGTGTGTAATGGAATATCACTGCCCATGCTTTTGATATTAGGAGATATGTCATTTATAAGCTCACGCTATAGCAACGCTATAACCATCACACTAACTTTTTATTGACAATGATGCTGTAAAATTTTATTCATAATATTTTTCATTTAACTCTTCACGCGATATCAAAGTGTTTAATTTTGCATCCTGAAGTCACCTCCACATTCTATTTCTCTGCATGTAGGCTAAACAGGTTTATTGGATTGTAAATATTTTCTATGCTATAATGAACTGCTTTAGTAAATTCTTCTGAGAAAGAATTCTTCCCTGTGAGACGAGTTAATGAAAGGAAGATACTTCATAGATGACTCAGATTTTCTGATTAATTTTATCGAAATGATCATTTTTAATTTGAATTGCGTGATCATTGTGTACTGCGCCCCTATGTTCCCCATATATAAACAAAACGTGTCCATATTCAGTGTGATTTTACGCGCTGTGAATTTGCAAACCGGATGCATTCACCTCAATTTCTTGTGATGATGTCTCCTGTAGGTCTTGTGGTAATGGCCCGTACGATGAGCACGGCGATGTTCCTGCTTATTATGACCAGCGTAGCAATACTCCAGCGTATTATGATCAGCATTACAATTGTTATGGCGCATCATGACTGGCATAGCGATATTTCCAGCGTATTATGTCCTGACTAATGATCATCCTATTTTGTGAGACCTTCCTTTACATGTATATTATACTACTATGTTTTTTTTTACACTAAAATTCTTGAACGTTTGTCAAAATTTTCCGCAAAATCTACTTGTTTTGTGGCGTTATTTATTAGACATGGTTGTTTGTAGTACCTTAAGTACATAATTCGACGAGTTATGTTTCTATTTGAAGACATTCAATGCAAGTTTTCTTGCTTGATTATGTATTTTACAGCAGTGATTAGATCTGGTTAAAATATTTCCCATTATCTTCATCCTGGAAATAAATAACCGCGCTATGCAAGCACTGACTCGCTCCTATGAACCCTGCAGGCAATTTACAGGTAAATTTTTCAACCTATTCTTATTATTAACTTCGGTTCATTGAACTCGGCGCCATTTTCCATGGACCTGAATTGCCTGGCTAACAATCATTTCTAGACGCTTTCTGGCTCAATACAAGGAAAATAAGGGCGAAATTTTCATGACAAAGCTATTGGGTAAATTTTCTGTTGCATGATTTTTTAAACTGTGTGGTCTTCGTTTTCTTTTGGTTTGGTCAGCTATACTTTCGTCTTACACAACTAGAGGATAGTTTTCTTATTTTAACACGATAATGAAGCATCGAAATCTTTTAGTTACTTTAATGTTAGAGAATATTTCGTACTTCGTGAAATATTCTTAGTGAATATTGTGAAGTAATATTCATGATAGATAAAAGGAGTGTGTTGTGAATTACCTCATTTCAGTCACCAGCGTCCCATAGCCAATAGGCACTTGACGTTGAAATAACGTCGATGAAACGTTATATCAACGATGAAACGTTTCATCGAGATCAACACATACGTAATCAACGTCGTTCCAACGTCATTCGCGATAGACGCCTCTTGTGTGTCAGCCTAGTCGCTACTCATATGAATTGTTCCGTTGAACTTTGCCTTGTACTTATTGGCTTAATGCGTTCAATTTTACCTTAGAGTTCCATAATGTCATTCTTGAACTGTGTTGAATAGTACTGAAATATTGTTGTTATTATGACCAGTGGACGTTAATTATGTCTTTCTTGGCCTAACTGATGCATTGAGTACTTCAAGGCGGCAATTTGTCTTGATTTGTAGCATTTTAACATCTTGCTGTATGTTCGTGAATGTTGGGATATTTGTATGTGACTTTACGATCGATCGTACCGCACTCACTACATTATTCTCTCTAATAGAGAGCATTGATTCATGTATCATTTATTCCCTTCCTTTATTCAACAGTTTTCTGAAAATTTAGCGTTCAATTTTTTTCATCATGTCCGCGAGATTCCCTTCTATTGAATTGACTCTCCGTCAAGGTAACTGATAAGTTTTTTTAAACGTCAGCACAAAATCCTCGTATCTAAGTGTGGACGGGACTGGCGTGACTGCACTAGCGATATAATTGCATTAGTTTCTCTGCCTACAGCGGACAACAAGTGAACACACGCGAGCCCGTCGGTGTCGTCCTCTGCTCCCTCTTCTCGTGCCTGGAGATCTCGCTTTGCTTTACACTTCCCTATCCTGCTCGGTACAACTCACGTCCAGTATGTTTACTCTATTTCTGCCGCTCTTATATACGAGTGAGAAATATATACTGTCATAATAGTGATGCACTTTTTGCCGATGTCTGAGTCATCCTGACCCAAGTTGGTGTGGCTAAAGGACGTGTCAATGCTATGTCCGCCCTCTGCTCAGCTGTGGGTGAAAAAGTGTGTTATTATTTGGACAACATGATCCATTGTTTTTTTTTTTAGTTTACTCGTGTGATGATTTCTTGCCGTGTGGGTTACGCTGGGACTGTGCAGTAAATTTGAGTGCTTGTCATGACGTTCATGTTCAATTCAGATGATTACATTTTTTACTGTACTGTGAATTACTGTACCTACTGTACATTTTACTGTGGATTCAATGTGGTTGAATTTTAACACGTAGTAGGGTTCACTTCATTAGCTGTTTTTATTATTTTTTCAATAGCAGTCAGGATATGGCATCTTGTGTTCTCCAAAACTCACTGGTGAGAAACAATTAATAAAATTATTCTGATAGCACTCCAGTTAACAATACAAAAATTGTGAACTTGATTGCTCTCAGTTTGCTTGGTATAAATTGCTCAATATTATTCTAGGCAGCGGTGTCAGTTCTAGTAATTAATTACGCTAATGATGGAGCAATGCTGCATTGTCTTATACCATATCTTATGTTTATTGTCCAGACTCTCCAACGCTCTTTGAGTGTTTAGATTCTCTCTGAACATCCTATTCAAAATTTTTATTTCTGACGGAAACTTTTTTATTGTTTGACTGGCGTTTGACAGCAGATGGCGTCGTAGAGGATAAAAACTTGCCTGACGAAGCATTGTGTGTGCGTAGTTCACTTAGTCATTAAGAAGCGTAGATTGCAAGTTATATTTAATTGCAAAATACTGTCATTTTTGTTGACTATTACCTGAGTTTATTTTGAATGCAAATAATTTTTTTCCGTGTTGAAAAATATTTTAGTTTTATCTGTGAATAAATTAAAGCTTTATGCCTCAGTGAAGGTTAATTACTATGTTGAAAATCGCAGTTTGCATGTGAATTAATTTAGAATAATTCCAAGTCTTGCATAACTGCGAGTTGATAGAGGCAATGAACTACCCAATTAGAATGCATAGTTTACTATTATTTCACGGGCACATAAATATGTTGCCGAATATTTGTTTATATGCGACATTAAGATTAATTCTTTGTAGTTCAACACCTACAGCATAATTTCCAATAATTGCTTCAAACAACCGGTAATGAGCTTTGAGGTTTTGCTAAAAGTCTATTTCATTCAAACATAATTATTGTAAGTGAGCAGATAACGCGTAATTAACATACCTGACCTCACAACGTTTAGTTACACGCGTCTTTGTCATTCTGAAGTCCCAACATCATTATTAACGTATCAATTCTCACTGCTTACTAGCCTCACATCTATGCGAGTGTTCTTTCGACGGAGTATATATATCTGTGTAATATGATAGATTTTTCTCTCATAACAATAATTTGGTCCGTCAACTTTTTTTTGCGTGGTTTCTTTGCCTACTAGCATTGCTTTTGCCCCGTGTTGTGTGTGTTTGATGTCTCGGTTCTTAGGTCCCCTTGGGGGCGAGTCATCTTCAATTTGTCATATTTTTCGCTCTGTGATCACGTGTTATTTATTGAGACCTTTATTGAATTCTGTCTCGTAAAACGTTACCTATCGAACGTTGCAAGCAATTGCTCATCAATTCAGGACTAATTCATTCTCATCATTTTCAACTGCCTCTTTTAATTGTTTATGAAATTCTCATTTTATTCTATACATGAACGTAAGGTTCATTCCAGTTAGTGACAATTTTTAAATGACACGCGCAGAAACGCAGACAACAATTAACTTATCTCGAGGTAATGAATCGGCCGAAGTTTGTGCACGTTTCTTCTTTAACTTATCTTGCTCGTGTGTGCCAAGGTTGTCGATCAAATAATTCCTGCCGTGCCTATTGCGATACTTTGAGTTGTGTAATTGTTCATTGTATCTTAGCATTAAAGCTGTGTAGCTATTAAGTTTTCATCTTGTGATTTGCTATGGTTTTATTACACCCGACATCATGCAAAGCTATGGTACACGCATGATGTTAATCATGTAAACTCTACCTTTATAATAGGATCGTGTAGAGCTTATGGTTATGTTCCCATTATTTGTTGAAAAAGAGCTTTGAACTGCGGTGATGCAGGACATCGTTAATTTTTTATCTTTTATTAGTCAATTTTACTTATAGGCTTTGCTAGGGTTCTATAAGGTAACTTGAATTATTCAGTTTTATGTACTTGTAAGTCATTTTGTACAAGACATTGCTAATGGCCATATGTTATTGTCTCTTTTAAAGACTTCTTCTATGGAATTCAATGTGTAATTTTCATTTATTTCATCATGGTAAGCTTTGCAAGACTTTTAAGTCGACCCGAGCTGCCGTTGTCTTGGCCGCATAGTGTGGACCTTGCTATGGAAGGTCCACACTGCGCGTCCTCAATAGTTGATGCAATCAAATATGATCCTTTTATTGTTATTCGAGTTGAGTGAAGTTCAACGCTATGTTATACTCGTACTTTTTTATATCTTCTCTATCGGTTTACGTGCTTTCTCAAAAAATCATACGTCGGTAACGGTGGTGTCCAAATGCATACTAAATATGGGTGTTGAAAAACGGCTCCTGGCTTTCTTAATTTAAGAAATTTATTGCCTGTAGCAAGAAGGTGTGAATTTTTTGTTCTGTTTGTCATCTATGTACATTATAATAATAACCAGGTAATGAATGATACAGAAAGATTAATTCATGTAAAGGAAAGTTTTGCTTAGTGATCACTGTTGACTTTACGGCTCCTTCCTTGATTTTTTTAACTTTTTCCAGTGTCCCTTGCTCAGCCTGTTTACCTGAAATAAACATTGAATGTTTACCTGATTTAAACTCTCGTTAAAATTGTAATGTCCTTGATAATTGTCAACTATCGTTATCCAGTTTGAACTTTGAATGTTCTCCCTTCGGTTGATCTTGTATTCACATTTTGCATCAGTCGAATACTTCCTACATCCAAATCCAGAGGACCATAATGGTGCTGATGTATGGCTGCAAATTATTTTTTATAATTGACGGCTGCAAATTATTTCACTGTACTGAGCTAGCAAGTACTGACCTGACCAAAGACCATTTCTAATATCATGTTACATGCAGTTGATGACATGTGCCTCCTTCACTGCACATCATGAGCCTACCAGAGCTCTGTATGTCGTTCATATCCTTCTCTTAACCATTCACTTTTTCCTTCATTTTATCATTAATTCTCTTTATTCTTCACTCCTATCCTTCACTTAACCATGCACTCTTTCATTCATTTTATCATTAATTCTCTTTATCCTTCATTTCATCATTGTACACCTCACATATTTATATTCGAATATTGCTACTCTAACCGGAATCCAATTTGGCTGATCGTAACCGTAATAATTGAAAAGAGTGTAACTTGGATAGAATGGCTTATATTATCTGGACATCAAAAGGAATTTAAAAGCAAATAAAACGCCAAGCAAATTCACCATGTCGATATTGAAAACATTTCGAAGTCCAGCTCCATTTAAGTTCGACAATCTGAAAATGATTCATTGTAATCATTTTTGATTGTAATCATTTTAAGATTGTCTAACTGATGATGGAGTTAGACTACAAAACGTTTTCAATATCGATATGGTGAATTTACTTGGCGTTTTCTTTGCTTATAAATTCCTTGTGAATTTACGAAATGAGCAGACTGATAATATAAGTGCTTATATACAATCTTGGCGTCATGCCTATGAGTAGAAACATTCTTTATATTTTATGCTGTATTTATTAATGAATGGTGGCGGATATGTGCATAATAGTCATATTCCGCGGTGGGTAATCGTATACGTTCATTTATTCACTTATAATTTACTGCTTTTATGTTGCGCTGAGTGCTCTCGCAGGGTGACGTGTGAACATCTACGAAATTAAACTGTTGTTGAGAACATTTCTTCAGATCAAATGTAGCTTTCTTTAGAGCTTATATACTTTTTTGATAAGCGTTAATAGTCAAGTCTCCACATTTTTTTCTTATTTCAGTTTACTTGAATTTTGAGATGTTCAGGTATGGTGATAATGATTTCTACTCTCGTGCCGAGCGCGTTGTTAAAGCATGCAGGAGTCGGCGTCAATGAAATAACCTGGCACCAGAGCATACAAAACAATTCAAATGTATTCGTTCTATTTGCCTTTTATATATTATGGATACCTTTTGCTCGAAAGCATAGCGGTAAAATATTCCGTCATCGCGCTGTTGCTGTGGATTCGTAAGACGTGCCTGTTTTTTGGCGGGGTATTTGCTTTAGTTGTGAGCGTTGCCACAGTAATCCTATTGTAGCTGAGCTAGTCAAGAGTTCCAACAGCCTTTCTATTATTTACACTAAGTATATTTATGCAGTATAATATTTTTCATTTTCCTCGTATAATGTCTGTTATTTTCATTGGGGAATATCTAAGATCTGGACGTAGTTCGGTCTAGTACACATTGTCCGCTCACCCCCCATTGCTTAATTTGTTTCTCCAATAAACAAAGCACAATTCACGTATACAAGCATATCTGGTATGTGCTCAAGTTTATAAGGTAGTAAATTCCGAGAGTAAATCCCACCTACCGTCGAACACTACCGATGACATAGGGATCACCGTCTCGGAGTGCTTGAATGCTCAGAACATGAGTAAACTGAAACGCTTCCGTTCGATATGTTCAGAATATATGCTACCTAACCTGTACAATACAGAACATGGAAGATTACACGAAGAGAAAAGTATGGCAGTTGTTCTAACCTTGCTTCAAGATCCACTTTAATGTTTTTTTCCTTTATAAAGTGTGGAGAACCTTCCGTACAAATGTGCATTTGTGCGGACACTCAGAGAAATGAGCGAGACTTGGTCCAAATGGCGATGCACTTCATCGCTACCATTTTGTGGCCAATTCTGACTTAGTTTGACAGGCCAAAAGTGTTACGTCCGCTCTCTGCTCGTGGTGTGGGTCAGAAATTGAGTTGCTTTCTAGACAGAATGACCATTTATTCCCATGAGAGTAAGCAGCATGAGGCAAGAGCATGCCGAAGGTTTGATGGTAGTCTGTTGAAATAGTGGAAGCATGGAATCTAAATAAACGATTTGCTCAAATTGTACCAAGGGAAACTGTAAGAGGAGATTGTTTCTGTAGTAGTTGTTAAGATTTTTAGTTAGATTTTACAGCGGCAGACCCTCTTCTCTAATTAATCAATTGAACACGTATTAAGTGGCAAACGAGTCACAACAAAAAGATATATGATGGCGAGTAGCAGAGTTGGGGGGGGGGGGGGGCCATGCACCTATAGGTGCATGTGATGCGGATGAGAAAAATTGGGTTAAGTTGGATGTGATTCTGAATAAGGGAAGAGTAATGGCGCAATGTGAGAACAGATGAGGATTTAAATGTTTGTGGGTTAGTCTCCGGATGTGCTGGTGAGTGACCAACCACTGGCCATGCTGGAAGCACAACTTGCTGACAGCTACAAATCTCTGTCCACTGCGACACCGAGATATGAACTGAGCTTCCCAAGAGGACCCAGACCCAAGGCTCGAATCCACAGCTAGCTCCATCCACGTCTCGGACAAATTTACGGCCGGTCTCGCGGCCGCCGGACTCCAAACATAGAAAAAAAACCTAGCCAATCAACGAAAACCCTGCAAGTTTGATCCAGTTAGGAACAGGTTCCATTAAAAACACAAAAAAAAACATAGAAAAACCCATAAAAACACTAAGAAAACCTTTTCGGCCGCGAGACCGGCCTCGGGTCCGGCCGTAAATTTGTCCGAGACCTGCTCCATCCTCTCATCTCGGTGCCGCCATCACTTCAAATACAGTGACCTAATATTGCTACTTGTTCCAGCGTATTTTTATGATATTTAGATATGTCAAAATTTGTACATTTTCTGATTTAGATAGTTTTATATGATGATAATAGTCTCTTAGAATACTTTCGTCAACACATCCCTATTTTTGTATGACGTTCTTTTAGTCTGCAGAGGAGTTATAATTTTAAGGGACGTTTGAATGAATGACTAGGAACCCCGTAACTTTTTGGTGCAAATTTCTGGCCTGATTTTATGAGGCTTTCCAACCACACGATTCCATGATTGCTCCAACCGTTTACTGAGATAACCAATTTACAAATCAGTGAGAGAAATAATCGTTAGTTAGAAAATTTTGGTGACGAGAAATGAGATAAAATTAGAATACATTACAATCCATAAGCGGGGATATGATATAGGGTTCCGGGAATGGGGATTGGCAATTCCCGTTTAGTTCAATTTTAGTCCGGACTGCGGGGACCGAACTCCGAAGTGATTAGTTCGAATTCATCATTCCTGCTCAAGCTTCGGACGACGACGGACGTCAGTTACTTTCCTCTGTAGTTTGTACCAGACGGTGCAATTCCTGATTATATATTGCATATATATTTAGATATTCAACCTCACGAGGATATATTATAGATAGGTGAGAGGCTAAGGAGCAAAAGTTTAAGGTTCAAGGCTTGATGCCGCATGAAGCTTAAAAAAATTTACTAGGTAACATAAAAGTTGCACCCAGGGCCAGGTGTCATGCTTGAAAACGTAATTGACGGAATTTGCCTATCTCATTCCAAAAAAAATGGCAGCTGTTTCCCTGCAACGGGGTTAAAAGGGACACCCCCCTGCATAGTGGCAAACCAGAGCTTTTTTAGAATCAGTTCATTTTTAATTTCCTCATTTACTCAAGATTTGAACCAATTTCTTAAGTATGATAATGCTAGTCTGGAAAAGTCCTATTTTTGTCTGAAATATCGCGGCTCTAATATCATATAATTTCAGTAGGTATGAAATCTCGCGGCTCGAATGTCATACATTTTTGTTTGATTAAAAAATCGCGGTTTGCACATGATAATGCTGGTATCCAGGATACTTTACTGGTCTACTTGTAGGACTAAAAAATGAACTTGAGGGAGAGTCTAAAAAACTCTCTGCTTTGCCACTATGCCCCCCTGGCCCTGGGCCCAGGCCTGAGGGTAATTAGGGACACCCTTAAAAATGCATTTACACTACAGTAGAACCTCAGTTAGCAATGGCTCCAGACCTCCAGTTAACAAAAAAATTGATTAACAACAAAGAATTTTGATTACCTACATTTATTACCTTGCTCAGCAAAAAAAGATACACTTATCAAAAAATTAGTGCATCATTGGTTGTCACAAGATTGTACTGTGTACATAGAATGCTATATATAGAATTGTGCACCAGGCAATGGGCATCCATCATAGAATGAAAAGTAATTGACCTAAACTATGATTTATTTCTCCAAAACATATGATGTTGTCACTAAAACATTATTTTCCGTTAAAGGTATGTTTTTCACAATCTTTTTTGTTATAGTGAAATCACTTGACTTGATTAAAATTGTGCCGCTTTGTGCGAAATTACAAAACATCCTGTAAGCTTACAGATACAGAAGAAATGCTACATGCATGGCTGCTGATATGAAGCTTGCAGACTTGCAGTGGACAAGGTCATTGTCAATGCTCAATGGCATCCATGGTCAGGAAGATGTGCCAGGTGCGCGGGAATTTTTTTTGTCATTTTAACGACCTGCGCGGTGCGCCGTACAATGCTGGTAAAAAAAATGCGCCGTGCGCCGTACTTTAGAAAGTCGACAATATACGCGAGTATATTGACTACGCGAGTCGAACTGTCAATAATAAAATGTAAGACATGTCCGGGTTACTTCTGACTCTTCCGCGTTCCGCTTACGGATACGGAACGTACGGTAATCGTACGGGATAGCGCGAACTGCAGAAGTCAAGATTAAAGAACCACACCGCAAATCATTCATTCACTAATAAGTGCTAATTGCATCAAAAACACAGGCACCGGAAGAAATCTATCTTAATTATAAATTTTCATTTTTATTGCAACGATGAAGGTTAATTATAGAGGCAAACAACAAACATTAATAAAAATGAGAATAGCTTCAGAGGGACACATCACACTCGAAGATCGTTCAGCGTTACTTGAAATATACAGACGATGTTGCCATTCCATTCAGATGAAAACTGTGTGTCTGTGTCTAAATCAGAACTGTGTCGGACGGCTCGGCGGCCCGCGCCGAGTGCTACGCCGCGTGGAATCGATGACCGTGATTTACGCGAACGCGTGCGCGAACGAAATATAAAAAGCTATATATACGCGAGAAAATTCCCCGTTTATATACATCTTCCTGAGTGTGGAATGGCATGTCCATGAATACAGTAATATCATATTAAAAATAAGGTAATTAATGAATATGATAATATCATATCAATAAAGGAAAAACAACTAAAAATCACAGAAAATGTCATTTATTTCACATCTACATCATCTACAATGAAAGAAGAGGACTTCAGACTTCAGAGTACTGTTAGTACCTAATGGATGAGTAGCTACACTCTGCTTGCTTCAAACGTTTTAAAATGAACTTCTATTGCAATTTGCAAGTGTCCCGGATTACCCAATTCCCAGGCAGTGTGGAATTCTGTATAGTTAATATATTCTCATGTTAATATATGAAAACGTATCGAAAAATCAACCCTACCACCGCGTTACACCACCTCACCTTCCACTGCAGTGAAATCATATAAACTGAGCTCATTGGAAACTGCCTGCCGCTCTTCCGAAATCGCGCGTGGTTTGAAATCCAATCCCGTGTTGCCAACGCCGAATCAAGTTAACTAGTCGTTTATCTGTAGGCTAGCGGACACATTTTTGCAATGAATACATTCTAAAATAAAAATAAAACACATCCAGAATCTTAAAAATCTCACGATTGGACAATACCAACAAACTTTTCGATATCACACCAAAGTATGAGCTGTCTCTTATACACATCTAGATGTGTATAAGAGACAGCCTTTAAGAAGTTCATTTTTTGCCTCAAATAACAATGTTGGATAGAAAAAGTGGTCTTGGTGGATCGAAATAATATATGAACCTTCAAAATTAGAATTCCATCCTGTTCCCAGGGGTAAATGGGGATGGTTTTATTTTGCGTCTGGCACTTTACGAAAAGCATATGGAATTTTTTTGCTATAAAATGAGCCTAAACTTGTTTCTGAAATGTTTCATGGTAAGAAGTAATAACAAATAATTCTCAAAATCATCCCTTTTTCCCCGTTTAGCGGTATACATTGTGCTCGAAAGACTTTGGTTCATCAAATATGGGGAAAGCAGCTTTGAAGAGCCATGCCACCTTTGAAGAGCTATGCATTTACATGTTTGCCATTTATCAACTGTAGGAGAGGATAGAATATTCACGGTTAGTCTTTGTCATGCTGAACTTGTACACAAAAATTTAAAAGCAAAGATTAAACCACAAATGTTCATATCTTTATGGAAAACGTTTCGGAGTCCAGCTCCATCGTCAGTTTGTAGAATCTATAATTTACATAGAAAGTCACAAATTAGTACAATTTAAAGCACAANCCTTGTTCGATAGATACTTTCCAAACGTCAAACTTCATATTGTTCTGGTAAACAGTTTCAAAATCGGTTCTTTCTTTAGATATAAAGATATGCTCCCTGTTCATATGCGATCGTCCCTGGTTTATCAATTTCGTTGTGCACAATGTGCATCTGCGTACGTCGGGATGACGTCTCGCAATCTTTATTCCAGGGTCGCTGAGCATAAGGGCAGGAGTTGTAGGACCGGACAGTTACTATCGCGCCCCCCTCATTTGGCTGTGCGCACTCACGCCAAGCAGTGTGGTGTCCCTGTTTCTGACAGTGACTTTTGAGTGTTAGCTTCCACCTCCGGTACTTCAGATTTGCGTATTTTAGAATCATTGTACATTTTTAAACTTAGGCCCAGTTTAAATTCAGCTGGTAGCTCCTATCCTCTTGAAATTGTGAATAGATAGGTTTTGTGCCCTGGTACTTGTAAGTTTAGGGTTTTAATTGTGTTTTTTGTGCTTTCAATTGTACTAATTTGTGACTTTCTATGTAAATTATAGATTCTACGAACTGACGATGGAGCTGGACTCCGAAACGTTTTCCATAAAGATATGAACATATGTGGTTTAATCTTTGCTTTTAAATTTTTGGTTAACTTGTGATTTAAGCAAATAAGTGACATCAATTCTTTAGTACTTGTACACAAGTCTTGGAAAATTATGGCTATGGAAAAGTCATGACATTTTTTTCTAAATACTGCTACAAACCCTGACAGGGTGTGTACTGGTCATGGAAAACCTGGAAAGTCATGGAATTCAATTTTTCATTTTCCAGGCCTGAAAAGTCAAGGAATTTCATTTCAGGTTATGGAAAGTCATGGAATTTGTGTTTTTCTGTGCTGCGTGTGTTAACCCATTAATGCTGAGCAGTTCCATTTGGAACCAGTGGAGAAAAATGGATTCATAATAAAATTGTAAGATCAAATAAATATGCAAGTGGATACATAGGTTTGATACATACCCTAACAAAATTTGGGGTATGCTTCAGCCTCTGCCCCTATGTTTGTGTAAGAGTTATTCTGGGTCAGTTGGCCAACTGATTGCAATCAGCAACTAGTCTGAACCTCCTTGCCAACTTTATAGTCTCCTGAGAGTAGGGCAAGAGTTGGCAGAATAAGTACCAGGTGCTTGTAGCTGTCTGACTCGGGGACCAAAATGTTGACTGAAAAGCGGACATAGGGGAGCTGGTGGACTATGCTCCCCAAGTCCTAGGCGTTCCTTAATCCAGAGCCACCCTTAGCTCTAAATTTTGTTAGGATGTCTTGTACATGTTCTGGCAAAGTTTGGTTCTGCTGCACCAACTACTCTCTTCTCAGTTAACATTTAAAGATTACTAGAACCAGGTAATGGAAAAGTCATGGATTTTTTTTTCTAAATACCGGTTTGCACCCTGTTGCAAAAATGCTGCTTGAGTTTGGATTTATTGCCATTAAGTGCAGGTTGCAGTTGCTTTCTGATTTTGAAAATGTTGACGTTTCTTTTGCTAAAGCATAGCAATAATATCAATAAATTATTGTATTGTAGTTGATTATGTCAGTTTTTATTATTTCCAGTCTGATCTCTTGTGCAGTGTGCATTGAAGACCAGTGATGAGTTCTTTAACAGAAGAGCAGAGACAGCGCATTGAAGCTAATAAGCAAAAAGCCTTGGCCTTGAGAAAAGAGAAAATTGCTGCTGCTGCTGCTCAAACAAGGCCTGGAATTGTCTTTAATTCCATAAAAAGTTTCACTCCTAAGCCTGTTGTATTAAATACTGACCAAACTTTTCCTAGTGTAAATGTTGATTCAATTCCTAAACTTTCTGCTGCTCCTATTAGTTTTAACAATTCTAAAGTTCCCAACCCCAATAAAAACTATGACATTGAGATGAAATCTACTGCATCTGTAAGTTCCTTAAGTGCTCCTACTTCTAAACCACTAAATCCACCACTCAAGTCATCCACACAATCATCATTAAGCAGCAGATTCAGCTATAATGCTCCATCTTCTATGACAACCTCATCAAATGCCACAGATAAGTTTTATGGTAAGCACCTGTTCTATTTCATTCTAATAGTTATGTGTTATTTTGCTGTTGTTGATGAAGGGAGGAACAGGCTGCTCTCTTTTTCTTTTATTTTTCTTTTAGAAATTTATTTGTTGTGCATATGTATTGATCTTTGAATCTCTTTATACAATATAATTGATGTGATGGTGTTGTGTGTTCATTAACTGTCAGTAAATTTTGTCACAACAGTTAGATGCATTAATTTCATTTCTAGACTACCAGTATACCTTAGTAAATTGGACAAATAACTAACTGGGCCTTGTTGATTACCTGAGAAAGATTTTGCTTTTAGTCTAGTTCAGGAATACAAACTTTTAAAATTTGTTATATTCAAAGTCAGGAACAAATTGATTGTATGTGGTGAAAGTTTATGTAGTAGGTGTACCTAGTGTTTGTAATAGCATGGTAACTTCACAAAGAATTACTATTCTAAGATATGAAGTTGCATAACACATTTTGATTCTAATATATCCTTGTTAATTTTTATATAAATTGCTTCTTGAAATTCTTATTCTATTCATTCAAAAGTGAACAAAACTTGGATCCATGTAATACAGCATATTTGCATGGTATAATTTTTAATTTTCCAAATTTTTTATTATAACATGTATAAATTACCTATATTTTCAGGAAACAAAATTGTCACACAGCATGGAAATCAAACCCAAAGCTTTTCATCTAATGCAACTGTTAAATCTGGGATTAAAGCAAGTAATCAAGCATTTAAGACTGGAGTTGGGACTGCAACTTCTGTGACTCGGCCAGATAGTTCAAGTACACACAACATCAACACCAACAAAAATGTTAGCAATAACAATGTACTTAATGTAGTCCATGGAACCTTGTGTTTAACTTCTGTTGACACCTTCACAGCCAAGGTTCAATACCATACTGGACTCATTGAAGTATTCAAAACGATGCCATCACGCAAGTATGGTAAGTTTGTGTAGAGAATTATTTATTTTAATGTAGATTTACTATTGCAATGTTAAAGGTTCAAGTAATTTATTCCTAATCTTCATTGACTGAATCATATATGGATTCATCCCTAATTGTCAGTTATGTTATTAGCATGATGCTCTAAGCTTTGATGAAAGAGATCTTTTTACTGTACACATTAGAATGTATTAAAGACCTTTCATGCCTTCATTCTGCTGCATTTAATTTATATGAACAGTAACATAAATAATTTTTTATTACATCAAGTTTTAACTATACAATTGATTAAATAAAAATATAGCATGTTAATTGGAGAGTCCAAATTATTAAATTTTTACCTAAGATGGCTAGAACATCCACAGTTCAATTTTGTGACTCAGGCGTAAAATATTTAGTTGTGAACATAATGGTGCACATTAAAATGCTAGATGTGGAGGCTACATGATGGCTTACACCCCAGGCATGTATATCACTCTTCCAATATTGGCTGAAATGTTGCAGAAGTTTCCACACAAAACACTACTAGTATAAGTTTCTGGTTGCGTTTAGTTAAAACTCTTACGTATGCCACACTTTGCTGCGAGCTGACATTTTTCTTAAATATAAACACAGCACAAATTTGAGTAATTAAACTCCAGGAAATATTTAGTCAAGGAGTATCTCAAAGACGAGCCTGTGAACTTTTTTCAAACTTTTCTTTTATTGAAGGTTAATTCATGTGTAAGACATTCTTTGTCGTGCAAGATTGCATAAGGTAATTAAGGTCAATGGAATTATACTCAAACTCAGATACATTTATGATTTGCTTGATGGAAATATTGCTAAAATTGTTTCCCATGTTGGCTTTTACCGCTTTTTTAAGTCATTAACATAATGACATTTTTATTTCAAACCAAATTTCACTCAAATATTTAACTGGCAGCTGTTTCACTACCTGGATAACTTTCTTAAATTTCCTTAACAACCACAATAGTTTTTCATTACACACATAATTCCGTGTAAGTTTCTTCTAAGCAGTGAAAGTTTTATATTGCATACCTTTTCCAAATCAGATGCAGATACAAAGCAATGGAGTTTCTCCATTGATGAACACACTGAATTAATGAAAAAAATCAAAGCCCTTGAACCTGCAGTCAGAATCTCTCCTCTTCCTGCAAATGTTTTGAAGGCAAGTAATCATTTTATATTGATAGTGGTTTTTTCATGCTGGGCGTCCATTGATCAATGTGATCAAAACTGCTAATGGCACAAGATACATGAATCCTATGTAAAAAGAATGGGTTCCATGCCAATTAATTATCAAATAAATAACCTAAATTTTATTTAATGTTCATGAGTATGTAGTAATGCAATATAATCACTTAATTATTTTTAGTTATATTCTGTAGAATATTCATGTATATTCATGACATTTGCTCATTCTAGGTGCTGAAGGAAGCCAAGTCTCTGCCCCCTCTTCATTCCGTTGATATCTCTGGTCTGGATCCCCTACTCAGGGATTCACTGTTGCCCTACCAACTTGATGGTGTCAGGTGAGTCTTGACATATTTTAATTCTCACATTGATTATTCTTTAATTTCATATTCAAACATTTGCAAGCATTATATCAATAGATCCATCTCAAAGCTCTACTGTAAAAGTGATGCAGAATTACCAAATTAAATATAAATGAAAGCTCTCCAGATTTACTGCTTTTCAAAACTATTCAGATGATAGGAGAATTGTAAACAAAATAATCATAGTTATGGAAGAGTATATTTTGCTAACTCTGCACCCTAGTTTTGGTATTGTATGTGAACGGATGTGTACAAGACCGTTAATTAAAATTGTCACTTATAAAGTTGTACGTTTTTAGTGAGTTATACGTTTTTAGGTCACTTTTATTTTTGTATGGTTTGCATCAGCTTTTGAAATTAGCTTAGGTGTAACTATAAGCATTTTAATTTATGTTGTACATGGGAATTTTCCCATTTATAAAGTGTGTGAAAATTTAATGTAGGAAAAAAAGAGAACTTTTAAGATGTAAAAAGTTAGATCAGTATACCTACTCACTGCAGTGAGTGAAAGAGAGCGCATTTTCTCGTCCGTCCGTGAAGTCACGGACAGACGGACGGACGGACATGACGAGCACAATAGCGCCTTTTTTCCATAAATGAGGAAATTCGCTAAAAAACATATGCTGTGGAACCACAAATAATTTGGATTGATGAATTGTTTGAAAATTATATCTGCATGCACCCCTTGCTTAATTCTGAACTAAAATATCATATTTTACTCAATCATTGAAATTATCACACTTGTAAAATGTCTACGGTGACAGTAAGTAATAAGTGTTTGCTGAGTGGGGATAACATGAATCGTGAAAACGACAAGTTTGCACATAGACTGGACAGAAGGAATGCTTATAATATTTGGACCCAAATAATGTACAAAATATTGACCTGATTCAATAATTTTATTCAGGCAAAGCTTTATAAACGTTTGCTATTCACGAAGCTCATGACAGAGTGCATCTTCCTTACATTCGCCTTTTAATAACAATAAGACAACACTACAACAGCTATATGCATTCATATAAGAGTGTGCAGTATTTTGATTCAAGGTATTAGTGCACAGATTGAATTCTCTGGATGAAATTTCCATGGTTAAGCATATACTATTTTTGTCAGCAGGATAACCATTCACTTTTTTGTGTATATTTGAAGAACAAGCATTCAACTATCAGATTAATCTTATTTATATTTGCTATCTATGCCTTGATGATGAGCAGAAGCCACAGCATAAATGCGTTTACACGCATTTTACATCCGAAATCATTTTATTTTGTGTTCATCTTACAACTAATTCTTTAATTCAAATGAAAATTTGTGCCTGTATATATTAACCTTACTCAATTGAAATGGCTGTGGCTGATGATAAACAGCATCATCTCTACTCTCAAGCCGTCTTTGTCTATTTAACTTGTTTCTCAACCAAATATGTCACTTTAAATAAGCACATTTTCAAATTTTCACATTGAAAATTGTCATCTCTAGTCAACTAACCGTAAAAACCAGGTTTGAATATCACTCACACACACCTAGTCACTATAGCGTGGTCAGTTTCAATGCACGCTTGGCTATGAATTTCTGTCCTTTTCTATTTCTACTTGCATAGAAGAGACTTTAAATGGGATATAATTGGGAGTTGCGTTTGGGGGGCGTTGACAGCCCGAGCGGGTGAGGAATATCCTGTTTAGGCCTGGGTGACTTCGAGACGTCGGGCATAGCAGGAGTCTTCTCCATAGGCGGCAGGCTGTGCGTCGAGTGTCTCTTGGCCGGCATCCAGGTTACATTTTCATTGGTTACCGCTGCTCCTTTGTTACCATTAACGTTTATCTTCTTGTCCAAGGGCTCTAGACGGACGTTCTTGTTGTTACGGGAATGCCCCAACGAAGGTATGTCAGAATCACTTACAGTTCGTTGCAGTTGGGAGTTGATAGGAGACTGCTTGGGCACCAGGATGTGTTCCCCCGCAGGATCAATGTAGCGCACGGTGCGGTCACTGCCGATGGTGTAGCGCTGGCCGTGCTTCATCTCGTAACGAGCCTTGTACTCCGACGTGAAGCGCGGCGTCAAGAAGTCCTCCCGGGCGTAGTCGTAGTCGTTCTTCTTTGACGCTCCGAAACCCGTGCGGTCGCCGTTACTGAAGAAAACAAAGAAATGTACTGGAGATATTTGGTAGTTGTTTGCATTATGATATGCTGTTCGTCAGGCTATGTTGACTATGTATCCATTTGAAAAATGCTAAGATCGCTATCAGGTATGTAGCATCACAGATAGCAACATTTTTTGTTTTGTCAGAGTTGGCATCAAACCTGGAACATATCATGTAATATCAACAACTGCCAGCAGGAAAACTTATTAAAATACGATTGATATGAGTATATTGAACAAAAAATGAAGTTTAATCTAGCACTCAAAGTTGGTACTCACTTTCTGAGGTCTCCCATCGAATGCGAGCGACCGTAGTACGTGAAAGGTTGTCGTTCTTTCTTCTTGCCGTCTCCAACTCCGGTGATGCTCAGTTGGCTTGTTTTAGAATCGCTTCGGACTTGGTATTTGGATGACCGATCCCCTCGAAAGAAACTGCCTTTGTTGCTCTGTGTGGCTCGTTTGTCGTTAATTTCTATTGGCGGCATTCGTCTCTCGTCGTCATCATCGCCGCTACCAGCCGAGCCACGCCTGCTGTTGCCATTGCGCTTGTTGAGGGACTCCGTAGATCTTCGGCGGTCTCGTGAAGTGCTTCGTTTCCTGCCGTCTCTGTCATGACAGCTGCACTGGCACACAACGGGGGACCGTGCTCGAGGACGATCGTTATCGTCGTCGCTCGAGTTTGAGCGAGTGCTGTCACTTTTGGCGCTATTTTCGCTGTTACGGCTGTAGGTGTTGCGGCTGTTGTTGCTGTTGTGGCTGTTGTTGCTTTGAGCACTGTCGTATCTTTCGTTATCGTTCGGCGAGGAGCGCCGACTGGCGCCTTTGCCACGAACAGCCTCCTTCTTGTCCCGACTAGCGTTACTGTTTGCGGATTTTTGTGGTCCCGGTATTCTAGAAACGAGCATTTATTTTGATTAAAAGAAATAATTATTGTGCTCATAGTCGATGAAAATAATCATTTAATTTTTTGCCAACCATCATCAGAAATGCCGAAATCTTGTAACGCATGTGAAAGTAATTGAGATGAAAATTCAATGAAAATAATTTGTAAAAATTGTATCACTATCTGCTGCTTCCCACAACACGCAACTCGTTTTGAATGCAATTTTCGACACGATTTCTTTGGCGCGTTACTTTACTGAAATTTTAGGAGACAAGAGTATCAAGGAAGAGACATGGGCTAATCTACAATTTTACTGGTATTAAACTATAAGAATGGGTAAAAGAATACCATGGGAAGCATTTCTAGTTCATTTGTATAGGAGTACGTGGCTTCAAAAAGGTCGTTTGAAATAATTTTGCGGCTTAGCTCAATCGGATCCGGTAGCCCTAAATGTCTGAATAAACATGAATTTTACTGAAGGTAGATTGATAGAGTGGACTAATCTTTAAAAATTTTTAAGTCGAGCGAGTAATTTCAAATAATTATGTATTTTACCGATAATAAATAGTCATTTTCTTCTACCTAAACTGGAAAGAATTTCGCGTAATTTTCGGAATACTGCCAGTGCGCAAAAGTGAGGTATGTAAATGCCTGGTCTACAATCGATGTGCGAGTAGTAATTTTCTTCACCGTAAACAGTTTGAACTTCCTCTGAAAAACTGAATTAATACTATATTTTGAATGATTCCACTACTTAGTATAAGTTTGCCAGTAGAAGAAGTTATTGAAGTCAATTCCATCACTTCGTATGAGATAGGTCGGTAAATAGAAGGAGTTCTTCAAGTCAATTCTACTGCTCAGTATCAGAGTGAGTCGAGCAACGGATGACGTGCATTCAAGTAAATTCTACTTTTTAGTATACGATAGTCCGACTGATTGAAGCTGAATCAAATCAATTTCACCACTTAGTATATAATAAATAGCGGGGTAAGTTAATTCAAGTGAAGTGGATGAAGAGGCAGAGTATATTACATGAATTGTGTCACCGCCATACCGGGAGTGTATGCGGGGGAAGGGCTTCGAGGCGCTGTCGGGGACGGGTATTTTGCCGTTCTTGTCGCGAGCTGTGGAGAACCGCGAGCTGCTCATGACGTCACGAGATCGTCACTGCCCTGCACAAATATGTTCCATGTGACGCTCTCATTCATTCATGTTGTCTCAATTACGCGACTGAAATTCTCAATTATGTAATTATTGGCTTGAAAATTTAATTAAATAATAACATAGTAAATTTTTAACAGTTGAAAATCTTCATTATTTAATGTAAGTTGATTTTTGAAATATGTATAATGTTATTTGTGCCTCCACTCATCATTTAATTTTTTGCAGTCAACAATGATGAAATTTCATAATAGTTCAAATTATGTTTGCAATCAGAATTAAAATTTTGGTGCAATGATTTGATTTACTAAGCAGAGATGATCTATCACAGTGGTTCCCAAAGTGGGCGATATCGCCCCCCTAGGGGCGGTGGAAAGATTTTGGGGGGCGATAAGGAAGAAGAGGGCGGTAGGGGGGCGGTAGTCCGAAGTCAATGTCAGAAGTTCGAACGTTTGTTCGACGATTTGTACACAACACGTGCAGCACAAGACTCCCAGCGATGGTTTTTTATGTTTTTTTTTTAACCTAGCTCTCCTGGGTTTACGTCTCTGACAAATTAACGGCCGGACTGGAGGCCGGTCTCACGGCCAATTTTCAAATTCAATGATCAAGGAATATCTCTCAAACTAATGAACTTAACTCGATGAAACTTGGTACATTAAGTATTCATTAGGACCTAGCGGTAATGTTTTGCTCGTGAAAATTGTTTGAATTTTGCCATCGTTTGTTTTTGCCATATTTATATGGCAATACGGGCCGAAATTCTCAGTGATCAAGTAATTTCTTCCAAACTACTGAACAGATTCGAGCGAAATTTTGAATTTACAGTCCTAACTAAAAAATTTTTCGATTGTGCCTTCGTTCGCGAGTTTTTTTTCACCTTCATTCATGATTTAAACAGCAATTCGTGCTTAAATTCGCAGTAATCAAGAAATTTTTTCCAAACTACTGAACGGATTTGAACGAAACTTAGTATTTAGATACCTAACTTCAGTAACGGTGATGCTTAAATTTTTTTCTTTTTGCCTTCGTTTGCGAGTTATGCGGCTATACGTATACTGATTCTGATTTATAGAAGCCATCGATCGACCGGTAGAAAAGCCGGTCGTTCCTACTATATCTGTATAACTCGCAAACGAAAGCAAAATGTAAAAATTGTCACGAGCTAAACATCACCGTTGATAGGTTATGTATTTTTATACAAAGTTTCGTTGAAATTTGTTCTGTAGTTTAGAAGAAATTTCTTGATTCGCTGCGAATTTAAGCAACAAATTACCCGGCGATACGGGACGAATATAAAGAAGTGTGAAATCAAGAATGACAGTGAAATGAAGAAAACTCGCAAACGAAGGTAAAATCGAAAAAAATTTATAAGCTAAAAAATCACCGCTTTGTAGTTAGGAATGTATATTCAAAATTTCGTTCAAATCTGTTCAATAGTTTGGAAGAAATTCTTTGATCAATGCGAATTTCGGCCTGTTTCGCAATATACGCGCAACTCACGAATGAAGGCGAAATTAAAAAAAATATTTACGATCTAAACATGACCGTTAGGTTCTGATGAATACGTGTTCCGAGTTTCATAGGGCTGCGTTCATTTGTTTGGGTGATAATTTCTTGATAATTGAATTTGGAGATTGATCGTGAGACCGGCCACGAGTCCGGCCGTAAATTCGCCCGCGACGTCCTGGCTTCTAGTGCTGAAACAGATAAAACAGCTGAAAAACACATTGGTTCACTAAAAGGGGTCCTATTTGTGAAATACACATTTGTGTTTAACCTTTATCTTTTAAAATTGCAGCGTACTAAATTTTATAGAAAGAGGCATGATTTAATACGTGTCTGTGGGGGGCGCTAGAAATTCACTAGGGAGCCAAAGGGGGCGCCAGCCTGAAAAAGTTTGGGAACCACTGATCTATCATGACCCAAGAGGAGTTGTAGGGTCGGGTGGCGGAGGTGATTTCCCTGGCCACCAAGAAAATAGCCACATTTATTCAAATTAAGATTTTCCGGTCTAAAGAAATTTTGAGGTTGTATTTAAATTACCAGCCAGTTTCAAGGGTAAAATTTCTAGGCTACTTGAAAAAAATCGTAATTTCATACGGTCATCAAACTTTGTTCGATGTCGTATAATTTAATGTTATTTATAATGTAAGCTTTTCTGGCTATAATATTTTATGTCGACGCATTTATGGAGCATCGATCATCGATCTAACTGAACAGCAAGTGTGCCAGGAAGACGTTCTAAGCGTCGAAAATGGAATAAATCTAGGGACCTTATATAGAAACTAGGATAAGAACAATCACTATTCATCTCTGATGAATTCCTTTACATAAAGGAAACAGGAAATTGACTGAACATGATAATATTTTAATACTTTCTTTCGATTCGTTCATATCAGTAAATGTAAAGTACTGTGTATAACAGTTGCAAAAAAAGGCAAAAGTCGCCCGACAACTTCAGGAAGCAAAATGTATGCATTTATGCTGCTCTACTTTCTCTCGCAGTTAAAATCATGCGCCGTTATTCAAGACGTAACTATGCTGTCTATATAAATAATTTACGTGTCAGTGAGTTTGGAGCTGAACTGAGGAACAAATTAGCGTTTCGATAGTGCAAAATCAGCTTACTTATCTTCTTAAGATTGATAATGATGTTTTCAGGTTATTTTTACACACTTGATACTACACATTTTTGGTCACGGTCAAATAACATTTATGCGTCGTAACTTGTTTGAACTGCCCCTGAGTTTACCTCTGAACTCAAATAATCCTGGTTTGAACCAGTATATTCTACACGTGTTCCTTTTAATTCACTGAAATATTTTTTGTGGGAGTTTGATTTCGGGGACCAGTTTTTCAAAGCATCGTCTGCAGTAGATTAACTTCGTATGCATTTATTGTAGTTTTTAAAGTTGTATTTAACTTTAACTTCTGCTTGATTTGCACGTTTTGGAACGAGTGTCAACTTTATTCTGGGACGTAGGTATTGCTTCCACTCTGTTCAACGAACAGCACTGCAATGCTTGCCGCGGCACGCCCCATTGCCCTGTTTGTGTCGACATCGTCATCGCAACCTCCGCATGCTGCACGAAACACAGTCTCAAGCGCTTCTGGCTTATTTCCCGAGAATATTTTGTTAATGATGAAGTATGATGCAAATATGTGGTTGGTACGACTGACATAACACTGGAACATGTTGGCATCAATTCGAGTCTTCAATCAATTTGACCGCTTCAGTAATCGCGATTATAATAGACAGATAAAAAAAGTTACTTCTTGTTATTATTCAAATTGTGAACAAATATTCATGAAAATGCGTCAATATAGTTTGATGTTTCTCAACTGCCATGTTGTGGGAAAGAGTTACGCCGGGTTATTTTCGGTTCGAAGTGTTCTGTGAAAATTTTTAGACATGAACGAAAAATGGTGGTATGAAATCATCTTTAACAGCATTTCTAAAACCATACGAATTTGCCTACAAATATGAAGACCAAATGCTTATTGATCACCGCCTTTATTTGCTTAACAACGGAATTTCGTATGCGTGACCTCCGAGGCATGAAGCCCACCATTGACCTGGTCCATTTAGGTGGGCGTGTGGGAATGTGGACTTCGGTAAATTACTCCATGGTGATGACTTCTATTGAAGTTATTACTGCAGCTCAAGAGCTCTGGCTATTGGTGCTTCATACCAGCATGTGTGACCCCGTTTATAAAGAGGTCGCGAGCTCTTCATTTATTGGAAGGAACTTTCCTAAACTTAATTAATTATTCTAGAGCGTTAATTTTTGTTCTCGATTTTTCGAGTTTGCTCTGCGTTTATTTTTGGAAACCATTTGATTTTAATTGAATAAAGAAACGATCCCCAAGATTAGCTTCGGCCGAAAAGTTCATTGTACTTATTCCAATTTCTCTTAACTTTTTCACTAATCTTAGATTTAACAATGAATATTCTAGAGGCATTCTCACGTCGAATTCTGGAATTTCCAAATCGCTCCTCTTCTGTCATTGAAGAACGATATGATAGAGAAGCCGATAGAGCTGGAATGCACATTTTTTCTTAATTCTTAGTACGAGTCTTCGACAAAATATGCAAAGGTATTGTCACGTTAACTTCCTATTTTGATAGTAAATAATTGGGCGCCTCAACTTTCATTGCTAACGCATGAGAGGAGTCACACGATTTGATTATTACCTATCCCGTCTGTGTCTTGAAGATTCGTTTGTCACATTAATATCCTGATAACATTATTTCACACTTCCTCGATGAATTTATTTTACACACACACTATAGATACCATTGGATGTTGTTTCTGATTTATACATTTTTTTCAATTTCAACGCACATTAATTGTCTGAGAACTTACAAAATACTACTGCAATATTATTTTGTATTATAAATTTGTTTCCTAAATCATCACCACACCTTATTTATTTTGAACGGACACTTCTCACTTACCAACTTCCCAGCGTACAAGTCTAGCGTAAATAGCTGACAGAATAAGAACGTGGTAATGTTGTACGACCTTGTTGATCACAATTTTATATTCAAACTTAACGCACAGTCGACATGCAGTAATTCATCATAACTGGTGCAGTGTTTGGACCTGCAGTGGCGGTTGTCATAGATCACTCACATGTGCGCAGTGTCCGAGCAACGGAGCCCGAGCGCCGGCACCGCTGCACCTCCATGTCATGTTGCCAATGCCTCAAACTCGACTGGCTGCCTGGTCTTCCGTGACGCGATATAATTTACGTCACATTGCTAGCCAGTGTCAACTAGCTCGCTTTAGCACAGTGCAGGTGTACGTGCTATACTCTTCTTCAAGGTCAAGTTCTATTTTGAGGTTTGTGCTACGGACAAGTGATTATAACTACAGTTGGCTGTAGTCGCGTCGAAAAATAGGTGCGGTCCTTGTTTTCAAGGAGAAATCCACATAGGTAGCTGTTTTGTAGAGAGTCTGTTGTATGATGCTGTTCAAGTTACAGACTACTAAAGTTTCAACCATTTCACGTCTCATCCATTTACTGAATTGTAGCCGAGTTTTTAGGTCTAATTTCAAAGGATGAGCGTCTTCTCTGGTATTTTACCTCTATCGCTCAGGACCTGTATGGATCAATAAAAATGGCTTGCGAAATTTTTACGAAGAATTTTAATTCTCTATAGCGTGTTACCGAAAACGATTTTTCCGCCTGTTTTTGAGCACTGCGATTCGAGGTTACGCCACGCCATGTTAGGATTCGAGGGGAATTTCGTGTATTTTATTTGCTGACTGGAGATCTAGAGCCTATTTACCATTCGATTGAAGATGTTGGCTGCATTCGTTGCTCTTATATGTACCTTAGTTATGCTCATGCAACCACCCGTAGGAAACTATCATTCGTTCAAGCAGTCGGGAGACAATCATTCGAATCGCGCGCTGCTTTGGTCGTCTCATGCGATTTTTCCTGAGTGTTTTTTTTTAAAACGGCGAACCGCAGTTGTGAGACTATGGTTGAAATAGTCTGTTTGACTGTGTCGAGTACCATGTTGTTTGAAAATAAGGTTTAAAATTCACTTTGCTTACTTCGTATGTATAATTGAAAGAAGACTTCCAGCAGCAATTACACTTCCCCAAACTTTCATTGTCAGCTGACTAACCAGCTTGCAGTGTACTACAAGAAGTACGTAGATGTACCTTCACGAAAAATCCTTTATAGAGCAATCGATTCAAGAAGTCCGTATTATCCTCTTGCACGTTCTTGCCATCATTGACCTGGCTAGTCCTCCAACAGAGTATAGTGTGTCTTCCTGTTTTCATGTTGGAACAGCAACCTTTCAGTTTTTTTTTTGCGAACCCTATAAATTCTGACGGCAAAAGAACAATTTACCCATTTATACTCTACATTTTAAATTTTGTTACTTTTTCCTGACATATTTATCTATCTGCATTTTTTCACGACCTTTCTGCGCGGCTTAGAGGGATACACCAGCAAATTTACAAGTCTTATCCTATGGAACGATTTTCTTGGTCTACCTCGTGCTCACCTTTATACCTTGGCCACTTATTTATGAACTGCATGTATACACAGCGCTTCGTCGATCAGCTCTTCTCCGATAAGTTCTGTATTGATTCTCTGAACAAGAGTGGGGCTGACATTCTCTCAAGTTACTTATGTACGCGAAGGCTGCACGGAGCCTCACGTCAGCGTTGATACATTGGTCTTTGATGCGGTGTGTTTTCGGAGCATCTTTGTTTCAACAGTTACTGCAATACACTTTGTCAGTTTTGAAAAAAAGTTTAACAATTGAGTTTAGATTGTCTGGTTGGCATCTTCCATTGCCATTTTTGCACTGAGTGTAAATCCCAAATCTGCTGTTTATTTTTCTAAAACCAATTTGATCCTTTTTCTCATCAGAAATTGGAATACTAATCTTGGTTAAAATAAATGTTTAGCGAAGAGTTGTTCGGTTTTCATTCGTATTTTATTCTAACTGAAAAGAATTCGACCATTAATCAGTTATTCGCCTATTTTGACAGCTTTTGAAAAGACTTCGAATTAGCGGTCGAGTTTCAACTTTTCATTTCCTAATGTACCTTGCGATACATGAATATAACTAATTTAAGTTTAAATGTCGTTAATTTCCACACCTGTAGGTTCGGATTACGTCGTGGAGGTCGCGTGCTTATAGCCGACGACATGGGGCTCGGCAAGACCATCCAGGCCCTAGGTATCGCCGCCTGCTACAGGAGGGACTGGCCTCTGCTCATCGTTACTCCTTCCTCCGTCAGGTCAGCTGCTTCCTCATCTTTTAGTTTTTCTACAATTATGCTTTGTTTCTATTTCTGTCTTTATTATCGTTCTGTTCATTTCTGTTTCATGGAAACGTTATTGTGTTTACCTAAGTTTATATGTTGGAATATTTCCTTGATGTAATCGTCCCATTATGTTTTCCTTTAATTAAGGTGAACATGTTGAACGTGTTGTGTACTGCATTTTTAGTTACTAATAATACGTTATTCGGTGTAACTGATCAGGTATGAAAGCACAATGAATATCATTACTAGTATACATTTCTCGACCTTGTGCTTATTATTGAAATGGCAAATTTTCCTGCTAGCAGTGTAGATCTGAACTACTTTTATATCCTATGTTTTTTATCAGTAGTAAATGTATGAATGTTCAAATATTCAATGTGGCTGTGTTCTCATTTATTTAACTTTTGCTCTGCTATCGATCTGCGGCTGCTGATGAAGTACAAAGCATTGCATGCACTGAATGCTTCCTGTATTAACATTGAGTATGAGAACGAATTCTCCTTATTATTTGTATTGCTATTCTGCTGGAAACCTGATATTAACCGCACATTACGGATTAATTACGAGCTGACGAGGCTTTGTTCTCGTGCTGCACCGATCAATGCCGCGCGTGATGGGTCATTTCCACGACAACGACGGCCAAGCAGCTCCACTCTCTGGCACCGCAGCTATAGACCTTGTTCATGAACGGAATTTTAACTTTGGTGTCTGCTATTTTCTAGCTACCTTAAATTGCCGCTCTTTATACCTTTGTGTTTGTGTGTTTTCTATAATTTCACTCCATTCTTTTTATTTGTGTGTTTTCTTTTATTTTATTTAATCCTTTCCAGTATCTTTGTGAACCACATCTGCTTGTGTTTTCGTTTGCGCGGCTCGCCTAAATTTTTTTCTTCCATTGATATTGGGATCATTTACCGGTAAACCGGCTTAAATAACTTGCTTTTACCTCTCGCAGGGCTTGCAAATATTTTAGCGTTCAATGCAAGTTTGAAACTACGTTTTCCCATATCAATATTGCTAATGATATTATTTACACTATACTAGTTGGAATAATTTCTCGGCTTACATCGAAGTTTCTGTGGTACTAGTGCTTTCTTTGTAGCTTTGGATGCTTGAAATCTTCTTGCGCTTATAATTATTTTACCGCTATCTATCTATTGAAAAATAATTGCCTCGTTAGCGCTTTTTATTTTATGTATACATAGCAGGACTGAGAAATTATTCTACCGCTTTACATTCTTCATGGGTATGCATTCAACAATGATTGCCTCTTTAACGCTATTTATTTCAGGTACGCGTGGCAAGACGCGCTGATGCGCTGGATGAGCAGCTTCAGCTGTTGCGTTATCAACACGTCGCAAGATCCTCTGTCTGGCTTCGACGTCATCATCACGACGTACGAGCTCCTCTCCAGACGAGCCAAGGAGTTCAAGGACAGGAACTTCGGTGTCATCATCATGGTGAGACATCATCTTGAGGCTGCGGCGTATTTTTTATGGTCAGGCGTATTTTTTGACGTCATGTGACGCCTCATGATGTTCGTCGAATTCCAGTTGAGTTTGATGGAAGTATCTTGATTAGACTCGCTTTATGTTACATATATTGTTATCAGTACGAGTAAAAGAAAGAATTTAAAAAGAAAAAATATCTATTTTCATTTGTTAGGACGTTTTTTAGGAGTTTATTTTATAATTTGTCAGAACATCGCATTGATGTGCTGTTCGCGGTTTTGGAGATGTTTTTTACAGGTTTTATACCGTAACTGAAATTTTTTTTATCTTGTTTCGCCAGCGATTTTGAAGTAAATTCAGTGGTCTTGCTTTCATTTCATTTGTCAGTATTTGCTTTCATCGCCAGGATGAGAGTCACATGCTAAAGAACTTCAAGTCAGCGCGCTACAAGGCGGCATCTCCGCTGATGAAACAGGCTGCCCGCGTCATCTTATTGAGTGGCACCCCCGCCCTCTCTCGGCCCTCGGAGCTCTACACGCAAATCGCATCAGTCGACAGCAAATTATTCCCAAAGTCAGTTCATTGATTCGTACAATGCTTCACATTTATTTCCAAGGTTATGTAATTAGTGTCTTTACACAATTCGTACTTCCTTCACGCCGCGATTTCTCATCTTGGAATCGCGAATATAAATGCAATAATCAGATTACTTTCTATGAAGTTCTGTCGCTTTTTCAACTTTTATGAGTTTTACTCGCATCAACGTTAAGTTTGTTCGCTATGTTATTTTTCAGGTATCAAGACTACGGTATTCGCTACTGCGACGGCAAAATGAATCCCTGGGGTTGGGACTTCTCGGGGTCCAGCAACCTCTCTGAGCTGCAGATCTTACTCGAGGCAAAGATCATGATCCGCAGACTCAAGTCGGAAGTTCTCGATCAGCTGCCTGGCAAACAAAGGTTTATCAGGAACTAATTATCTATGAATGCCTAAAAAGAAAACGCTTGCACTCAGAATCATTTGCCCATGAGACTCATTTATTCATTGGTGGTAATGTAGGTAATTATGCTAGTAAAGTACGAATACAAATCAAGGTAAGAGAATAAAATTAATGAAATTTCTCTAAGTTCTCGTAACACTGAGTAAATTTTTAGCTCTACCGGTGCCATTTTTTTAATTAATAATTTTTAAATAATTTTTTGCCCTTATACTGCTGTATCCATGTAGTGATGTCATTCTACGTGAAAAATTACATTCAATTAGTCAACCGCTCTGTAAGTGATATAAGATAATGTTTCGGACTATGTTTTAATCATCGTCTTTTAACCAGGAAAACAGTTTTATTGGACGCCACATCTATAGAAACAAGCAGCAACGAAGCGATGGCAGCATCTGCGCAGCAAATGGGGCTTCGCAGCCTCAAGGGCGTAGAGCGACACTCTGCGTTACTGCAGTTCTTTTCCCACACCGCTCAAGCCAAGCTAAAAGCTGTCTGGTAATTACTCTTTTTATCTTGAAAGGAATATTTCTCTCTGAAGACATGTGCTAGGGTAATTTATATATATATGAATATTTCTCTGTGAAGACATGCGGTAGATTATTGTTAACGGCTTCTATTCCGAGTTTCTCATTGAGTCATTTGTCGATTAACTTTTTTTGCATTATAGATAGAATTTTAAGTCAGTAAGCTATATTTCTTTTGTAAACAAAGATTCAGTGAAGAGATAACTTTACCTTTTTACTGCACTTATATTTCTTCAAATCAACTCTTATCATGACGACATGACACGCATTCTACACTCTTCCAGCTACGATGATATTAATTTCAAATTAAAATAAATTTGTCGGAATAACTTAAAGGTAAATTCCTATACTATATATTATAAATGGTCATTATCGCTAGGAATATTATTGATACTAGAAACCCCATTGATTTTCTCTATACCCAGAGATTCTGATGAGATTTTGTTCAAATAGCGATGCACTTTAGCCTTGAGATCATCTTGACCCTGTTTGACCTTAAGAAAAAGACGTATATATATAACGGTGCTACACGCTGCAAGTGTGTCACTATTTGGACAATGTGACCCATCCACTTTTCTGAGTGTATATTTAGAAATTACTGTCATCGTCTCTAGCGATGTTGTTATGATTTTCAGTATAAATACTGCTATTACTGACACAATATTATTATCGTTATTTGCGTGTAACTGACTGAGTATTGTCGTGCAGCAAATACGTGCAAGAGCTGCTGGAGGCGGGCCAGAAGTTCCTTGTGTTCGCTCACCACAAAATGATGCTCCAGGCGCTGTGTCGGACCTGCGAGAAGTGCAAGTCTATGTTAGTAAACATTATCACTGCCGAGCTGGGAAATTATTAAGGTGCCGTTAATTGAGCAACCATTTGCATTCAAATCTTTTTCTGATTTTGTTAGTGTATCGTCTTTTCGGTTTTATGGTTTTACTTATTCATATTTTTGTCAAGTGCCTATGTAGACAAATATAGTTTTCGTATTATGGAAGTGTTTCAAATTGAGTTGAAAATTCGCGTTTACTGCTTACCTGGCCAAACCTTGGCTTAAAAATTCACCATAAACCATTTTACTGGAAGCAAGTGCAAAGAAGAAATATCCCTCCAAACAAACGTAAACATCTGCAGCGCGTGACGAAAATGTCCAATTTTTCAATGATAGAGAAACACCCGTGACTAAAGACTGCTTGTGCTGCTCAGGTACATCCTGATCGAGGGCGGCACGGCGGGCGACGTACGCCAGGCTCTGGTAGACGAGTTCCAGAAACGTGACGACGTGCGCGTCGCGGTGCTCTCTATCACCGCCGCAAGCTCTGGCATCACACTCACCGCCGCCAAGCTCGTCGTCTTCGCCGAGCTTTACTGGAATCCTGGAGTGAGATGACCATCTACTGTCTTGTGATTACTATGCATCGTGTTGAATTCTTTGTATTTTGTTGCATCTTCGCCGTTTTTTCCGATTTAGTTTTTTTAAATGAGTTTTTTCTCCAACAGGAAAGGTCTTCTGTAAACTCAGAAATTTCTATTTTTTTATTCAGATATCATTCATAATAATTTTTTGCCCTTCGTCGATATGTTTTTCACGAGCAAATTTCCCGCTTCAATAATTTTAGGTTTCATATCTCCGTTGTTCCAAAACTTTATGATTAGTATGACATAATAATTTATAGTGAACATTTGACCATTGTTCCATTTGCTCATGACAAAATCTTTATTCAGTATTTAACATAATATTTTTTACGCTCATAGTGGACATTTGATTGTGATTTTAGTTGAAAATACGTTAGTATATGTTCTGTATTGCATGATTCTCGAATTCCTATTGCATGATTCACGGATTCCCTGTACATTGTCAGATTTTAGTGCAAGCAGAGGACCGCGTGCACCGACTAGGGCAGCGCGACTGCGTCGACATCCATTACCTGGTGGCGCGCAACACGGCTGACGATTACATCTGGCCGATGGTTCAGGAGAAACTAAACATCCTCGGCAAGGCCGGCCTCTCTAAAGACGACTTCAGTGACAGTGAAGCCTTGTATCAAAAGGTGCGTGTTTTTCCATTACTGAACCACAGTCACTCTTGTTCTACTTTCCTCATGAACCTTCTTTATATACCTAGCCTATTATTATTAATTTTTATCCACTATCGTATAAACACTGAATAAAATTTCAGTACAATGATGAATTCAGTTGATTTTCATTTCAGTTCAATGATAAATTTGTAAATAAAGTTTTATTATAATTCCTCTACAGAGTGAGGAGTCTAAAGAGCTGCTGAAATATCTCATAGACTTGCGGCCAGAGGAGCTCTCTGAGATGGAGCGCGACGACGACGAAAGCTTCAGCGTCCCGAACAAGAAGCCAAAAAATTCATGATATTTTTATTTACTCTCTTATTAACTCCATGTGTGCCTTGAATATATACCATCCAGCGACTAATTGTGCGCCATCAGAATTTAAAACTCGGCCGCGATTATTGACCCCACCCGAATTTTCTTTCGCTTTCTTGGTTACAGATCAAGTTGATGGAATCTCATCTTTCTATTTTCTTTAAACACTGCATTTTAATAATCGAAATTATCATTCGTGCCTGTCATCAATTATGGAATGAACATTATATTTGATAGCACGGAAGATCTAAATTTCTCAACTGTCTCCGTTCGCTGCCCGAGGAAGGTGGGTCTTCCTACCTTGGTGAATGTCATGAATTCTTCAACACTTACTGAAAAAAATCCATGTTTTCGACGATTTTTTTTTCAGTTGCAAAATAAGCATTCAAGTAAAAGTTTCCTCAGCCACACTGTTATGCCTCAGACAAAAACGCTCGTTTATTTAATCTTCTTTATCTTTCGAACCATCAACTCAGCTGTTATTGAAAGTTAGCTCTTACAAATTTACCTTTCTTGCCACCAACAAACCGTTTTTGTGAAGATTTCTGAGTTTTTGGATGACTGGCGTTCTCTGTTTCTGATTTTTATTATTAAAAATTGGGGAAATTATCCTTTGGTTGGTTCATCTTGTTGTAGATTCTGCTGAAAGTCAAATATTACTTCTTCATTCACCATTTAATTTATTTTCTTTTTTATTTCGTCAACTATTCGTCCAATGAATCTAGATGGAAAAAATAAGTCTGGGTTAATGCCATTGTTTTTATTTATCATCTCCATCATATGCTCTTGTATATTGTTGCCTTCTAGGCGATGTCTGTTAATCATTTATTGAACCGAGTTTTTACGCCCTTAGACCGGATACAAATATGGAATGCAGTTAGCAATATATAGTTGAATTGTCTGTGAATTTTCATACATTCCTAACACTTAATTTCAGTTGTTCAATTCTCATCTCATACTGCCCGCGAAACTTCTTCACTCCTATCTATTGATTGTTCATTTTGTTGTGTCGCGAGTAAAAGTTACTCGTATGCTATCTTCACCATTGTTGTCTGCATGATTTGAATATAAATTACAATGGTAACTTTATTTGAAGTTTAATTTTCACTGATAAAGAATAATTAATTAACATCATTAGTTGATTACGCCTAATACAGTGGGGGGAAATAAATATTCGTACACTTGAAAAATCGTATTTTAATGTATGCAAGTACACAAACTTAACAGGAAAAGTGATTTAAATTATGTATAGAGACGCATAGTATTCAAAAATACTATCAAAAGAAATTAAATCTCAATGCAACAATGTTGCATTGAGATTTAATTTCTTTTGATAGTATTTTTGAATACTATGCGTCTCTATACATAATTTAAATCACTTTTCCTGTTAAGTTTGTGTACTTACATACATTAAAATACGATTTTTCAAGTGTACGAATATTTATTTCCCCCCACTGTATCTTCCGAGTACTTGTCCCAAGTTCAGGTTCCTGGATATGATATTATTGGTAGCTAGTATTGATAAACGAGTCCGGAAGAGACTCCAAGCAAACCCCAGTAGACGAAATTGAAAACCGCAGAAAGAAAGAAAGTCACGACCTTTGAAGCTACGATCCAAATATGCAGTTTATTGGCCATGACTCCGTCTGTGCCAGTCCTCAAGATCTCCTTCACTGTCTTGATCTCGTCCTTGTTGGTCCACGCAGTGACCATAGTCTCGTAATGGCCGCCGCTGTTGATGCTAGATCCGTAGTCGATGTAGTTATCGATGACAGCATGGAATGCGATAATCAGGAAGATAGCGAAGATGCAAAAAAGTAGCCAAATATCCACCATTTTAAAGTAGGATGTCTTGGGCAGCGAGGCAGATACTTGTGTGAAGAGCGTGGCCAGCACAAGTAGCGACGTAAGAGCGGTCATGAGGCGAACCTGTGTAAAATTATGCATATTTAGACAGGGTTGGTAAAAACTTTTATTTTGCATTTCTGAAACATCAGTAATTGCAGAATTACGGGAATCATCTCGTTTAGGGCTAAAGTGTCATTAGCTTAAAACGACCTCCAATAAGAGTAAAACATCCTAAATGCTCGCCAGGAAAGGCCAATAGCTGCAAAATTGTCAGCGAGATTCATCACAATTAATTTACTTTGTGTCAGATCGTGAATATTTTAGTTGTTATCATTTAAACAGTTACTTTTGATAATTTACGTAAGAAAGTCTTTAGTAGAAATTGGTCTGCGTCGAGCAGCAATGTCGATCGCAATGCGACTGCGTGTGAAGTCAGTCACACCTCAGCTTTTAAGAACTGATATCGATGCCGCAATCCCCCAGCCAGCTCGTACGCTTTTTCATATTCACAAAAATCCCCTCGTAAAAAGTGCGCTGCAGTTGTGCTGTATCTACCGCGGTGCTATGCAAAAAAAAAATAATATAATAAACTATTCATCGTTCAATTCTTTAGAAATGTTTTGAATAAACAATTGTTCGTTTCGTTTCACTTTTTAGTAGGGAACAGTAAACGATAATGCTGTCGAGTATACGGGGGACAAATTGTTCTTATTTTAGTTCTTAAGGCTCGTATACAATTTTTCTTGATTGATAACATCCAGTGATGCGAGCCTGCAGCTTGTGAAGTCAAACCTTACTTCGAGAATTTTGTGCTGCTTTCTATCAAGTCTCTATTAGAAAATTATTATGGCTTACCTCGAAGATTGGCGGCCTGAAAAAGAGAGTGAGGCAGCTGATGATGAGCAATATCATGGACGGGATGTAAATGTTGAGCATCGCATAACCGTAGCGCCGGACGAGCTGAACCGTCACTCGCGCCGCCGCGTATTGCTTGGTGACGTCCTCTTCCAGCGCTACTCGACCGATCCCATACTCTACCAGGTACTTCGATCCAAGGTACTCGACATACGACTCTACATCAAGAACTGAATAGATCAACTTCTGGAATTAAAGTTGATAATAATTTTAAATCCAGTAAGAAGTTCATGATCCGTTTCTCAGCGAAATAAATTATGTAACTAAGCTTTGTTATTGAGTTTCAATCCTCCAGCCTCTAGTAGGTGAGACGAATTAGGAATAATTAAGTTTAATTCTACCCTCTGCCATACTTTCGACGTTTGAATATTCACATCTTCCTTTTCGATTACGTAAGTATGTTAACTTCTAATAACTTCAATTATATTGAATATTCCATTACGTACCGCTTATATTGAAGACAAGGTACTCATCTGAAGCAGACAAAATCTTGAACTGAATGAAGCATTCTTGAATATCAAACGGGTAGAGCGTGAGGTCAAAGTTGCACTTGAAGATTGTGAAGTATTTGCGCGTTGTCGATATTGGATTTTCAGATCCGCCGTATATCTCCACTGTATGAACGAAAACACCGTGATTGATCTACCTGGGCAGTTGTTGCCTAAGTTAACCTTGCCTCGTTTTCGAGGGGTAATAAACGTGATAAATGAATTCATCTGACGAAGCTTTCAAGGCGGGAAGTTGATTGGAAATTAATATTACCATTAAAACGTTAATCTTCGATTTTTTAAATTGAACCTATACTAAACCTTCGTAAGAGTTGGTGAGGTTGTGCGCGAAATTCTTGGTGTGTTTTATGATAGTCGTAATGGCGTCCTCGTCTACCGCTGACTGCTGGATGTCGTCGGTGTTGATGAAGCCAATGAGAGGCTTCCAAAGCTCGTCCACTTGTGTCTTTGATACTGATGAAAACAAATGGAAATATTTCCTTAGCATCACTCCCCCAACAATAGCTTGAAATTAAATTATGAATGAAGTTTCGATTGCATTTGTGGTAGAAATACACAGACCAGTCAAAGTCCTCGTTCATCCACTAACTGCTCCCGAGATTTTTGCTAAACAATATTGTATTTAAATTTCTGTTATTCACACGAATTCATTTGCGTGGTTGCTTCTTTCATTCTATTGAAATATTTGACGAAAGCAACTTGTCTCTCAGCACAGAGGTTAACGCACTTGCGTGTACGTTTAAATTGTTTGATGACCTAAATAATACTGTATTTTCCCTAACAGTAACAGCATGCTTACTCAGAACAGATTTCGGTCTGTTCAGAAACATTTCGGTCTCAAAACAGAAACATTTTTCGGTCTAGAAATAAATTTTTCACTGTAACACGTTAAAAAATAATGATTTAATATTAATTATCGTTTGCCATGAATGTAACTATTGGACATCTATGGCTATAAATGTTGTTAAGAGCACAAAGATTGGAGAAGTGAGTTGTCCAGAATCGGTGTCAAACCTAATCAACGCTGCAACCGTTATTACTTTCACTAAATCTTCGGCATTGGCGAAGTAATTAAGTAAAAATCAATATTTTTACGTGTTGCAAGATATTTGCAATTCTATTTTTAAATTCTCTACAAATAATTGATGCCACTCTCCATAAATCGATATCTCTGCAGATCAAATAAGATTCAATTCTACGACACTTCTCTTTAACTTCACTTCTTGTCTGTTTGTTTGTCTGTCTGCTACAAATCTTGTAATCGAAATTTAATACACTTCTACTTATCCTATCGATCTGAAATTTTGCACACTTGTGTAAAGTCAGAGGCAATGCATGAATCAAAAATGGATTTCAGATTCGTAATCTACACCCCAAAAAACATATAATTAAAAAAAAACACCCTTTTTTTGGATGTAGTTAATCTGCAATAATACCTTATTTATAACTCACGTGTGTTGAGTCGGGTGAGTTGCTTGAGGTTGTTGTAGGAGAGTCTGTTGTCGTACCAAGTCATGCGCAGGTTGTAACTGCTTGACAGCATCATGGTCTCGGTGTTGATGTCCATCGTGTCTATGGACACGTTGATGGAAATCGGCAGTGGAGAGTTGCTTACTTGATTTGGTGAAAAAAAATGAAGATTACCTCATATGCAATCCCATCTTTTATTGTTGATGGGAGTGATAAAACTGTTCTTTTATCGTTTATAGACAGTCATTCATAGATTCTCGTTCGCATACCCTAAAATTATCAATACCTTACAAATATATAGTACAATTAATTAAAGGCAAGCTGAACTAATAAAAATTTTAATTTAACTACTTATACTTTATAGTATTTATCAGAATCATATTGCTGTCAAAATGACAACAAAACATCAAATTTTTGTTGAAGTCTGTACTAAGTAGGGATTCCTTCACATGAACCGTTACTTCACATATTGTAAAAAAAATAATAGATTTACACAAAAATCTATAGAATGCACATTTCCAAGTTTTGAAACCTTATTATCCAACGTTTTTTATTTGATGATAAATAGCATGATCTTTATCATAAAATTGGTTTCGTCTTTCATTACACGGTCGCGGTGGCAAGTTCAGCTTGTAGTCCGGAGGGAAGTTGACAATATCGCAGAAAGATTCGTCGGTTTTGTCATCGCAGTCAAACTTGAGGTCGCAGCGACTGCCGAAGTCGATGCATTTGCCGTCGGTGCAGGTGAAGTGGCCGGGGCCGCACGGCGAGAGTGTGATCTCCAGCGCGCTGCCTGCGGTCGCCGTACACACGTCAGTCTGCGGAGGTAAGGTAAAGAAACTGTTTTTATAGCTATGTGATGTACACTTTCAGCATCGATACATATTGTTGCATCTAGTGATCATAAGTGACCAATGGAATTTGCCGTCGGTGCAGGTGAAGTGGCCGGGGCCGCACGGCGAGAGTGTGATCTCCAGAGCGCTGCCTGCGGTCGCCGTACACACGTCAGTCTGCAGAGGTAAGGTAAAGAAACTGTTTTTATAGCTATGTGATGTACACTTTCAGCATCGATACATATTGTTGCATCTAGTGATCATAAGTGACCAATGGGTTAATTTTTAAGTGAAGGATATTTTCAATTGACTCTGATCTTTATTTATGATCCGAAATCTTTCGAATAATCAAATGAGTCGTTTGTGATTAAATAATAATAATAATAATAATATAGCGGTTTTAGCGTTTACTAGGCCGTAGGCCTGTTGCCGATTCTTAACATCGCAGAACATTCACAGCTTGTTGCGGTCTCGAGCTCGCAACTCTATTGTTAAATTTGCTTAAAGGCCCTATTTCCACTACGGGACTAATTCTGATGGATTGAGACTGACTTGAGACCAATGAGCGACATGGCTGGGCCTCAAAACGCGTACGCGTTTCCCCTACGAGCATGTGCTGGGATCGAGATTGAGTTCCATCTGGGCTAACACGCCGCCCGCGAAAGTCAGTTTTTTATTCAGGCGCTGTCTCATAGTGGAAGAGGGCCTTAACCGCCCGGCCTTCTGGCCGATTCTTACCAGTAACTGTCTCACAGAGCTGGAATCGAACCCTCACCTCTCTGCTCCTATCCTGGTACTTTGCAAAACTGTAACCCCTAGGCCACCCTGGCTTAGTGGTTGCCCGCTAATGTTAAATGATAGGTCGTATAATTAGTGAATTGTTTAAGTGTTGACCCAACTCGGAACTATGTACCATGTATAAAATATATATTACCGTCAAATTCCAAATGCGTCTCCCAAAAGGGTAGTCGGGTTGCCCTTTCTCAGGCACAAACTTGGCAATAGTATTGCCAGACACCGAGTTGTACCACGTCCAAATTCCCTCCAGGCGACGGATGGCATACTCGCCATATCCTCGTAAACCTAGCGGAGATGCCTCCAAGTCCAAGTAATTCATGCGCTGCGGTAAAGAAGACAAGGAATATACAACCTATTTTACTTCCATAGTGATTAAAACCTTTTTTATTAACCAAAATTATTTCCTTAAAAATTTTACAAATCAACGAATCGAACGAGACGAAAAATGCTCTGTCTCGCGTACAAAAGTTTTGCTCACTTTCCTCTATGAATACTTCTTCTATTAGAGAAAATCGGGAATCCAAAATAAAAAATCGCGGAGGATAATGTTTTTCCTCGCGGTTACTAGAAAAAGTTACTTAGTATATAAAGTTATCCAGAAAACCTCGGGCTCTCTGAAAATATATTCAATGTCTAATCGGAAATATGAGACAAATCAGTTTTGTGACATTTTTCTTTTAGCAGAATTAAGAAAACAAATGTAAACGTATTTTTTCTGTTCGTGCAGCTATTTCTTCTAATTAATCTAACTCGATCTACTTCATTTTGTAAGCGAGACCAAACTTGTGCAGTTGAGCGTATAGTTATAAAATATAGAGGACACGTTGATCTCATAAAATATAGAGGACACGTCAACGTCTCATGTCGAGACGATGTTAAACTGAGAACATAATTCATCCGATGAAAAAAAACCTCTTCCTCCTCGCAAATGCCCCGGATGGTCCATGTCTCGTAAGCCGGCACGCGGCAGCTCGAGCAGCTGTCCTTCTGACACTCGGTATCCCCCATACCTTCAGGATGTAAGCGCAGACAGTTCTGGTAAATACCGCCGTCCGGATTGGCGGGAAGGAATAGTAATTCTTTCTGGAAATAAAAAATAATATAATTTACCGTGGTCGTGCAGACTGATAAAAAAGATTCTGCTGAACTAACATGAATGTTTTTTCCAGTATTTGGTTGAAAATTCACATTTTGATGGTTCTGAATCCTATCCTACAGTGTCGTCATTAACACCGTTTGTCTCGAGAAAAAGTGGTGTAAGTTCATTTGAGTCCAGCTGCACCGTTATGTGGAGCTGTCTCTGGCTCTGGTATATCATTCCTTGTCAAATTTGGCACATGTCTGATGTTACAGCTGCTCTTTGCAATGTTAACGATAAAAATCTCCTCTGTGCGTCATTTTCGCTGCGCTCATCCTCTGTGCCCGTCATACTCCGCTTCACAGCTAGCAGCCATGCTTCACTTCGCTTCTGAGTACTACTCCGACAACACAGCCATGCTTTACTACGCTTTTGAGTGCTACTCCGACTACACAGACATGCTTTACTCAGCTTTTGAGTGCTCCTCCGACAACACAGTCATGCTTTACTCCGCTTCTGAGTGCTACTCTGACAACACAGCCATGCTTGAACCCGCTTCTGAATGTTAGCCCGACAACACAGCCATGTTTGAACCCGCTCTTGAATGTTAGTCCGACAAAACAGCCATGCTTGAACCCGCTCCTGAATGTTAGTCCGACAAAACAGCCATGTTTGAACCCGCTCTTGAATGTTAGCCCGACAACATATCCATGCTTGAACCCGCTCCTGAATGTTAGTCCGACAAAACAGCCATGCTTGAACCCGCTCCTGAATGTTAGTCCGACAAAACAGCCATGTTTGAACCCGCTCTTGAATGTTAGCCCGACAACATATCCATGCTTGAACCCGCTCCTGAATGTTAGTCCGACAACACAGCCAAGCTTGAACCCGCTCCTGAATGTTAGTCCGACAAAACAGTCATGCTTGAACCCGCTCCTGAATGTTACTCCGACAACACAGCCATCCTTGAACCCGCTCGTGAATGTTAGTCCGACAACACAGCCATGCTTGAACCCGCTCCTGAATGTTAGCCCGACAACGCAGCCATGCTTGAACTCTCTTCTGAAAGTTACTCCAACAACACAGCCATTCTTTACTCCTCTACGTAACGGAAAGCTGCGGCGCCTGTGCCGTTTAAGCAGACCGTGATGCGTTCATTTTTCGGTGAAAATCGGGAAAAATCGCCAGCAGATGTGTGTGTGTGGAGCAGCCAATGACGTTGAACGGTCTGGCCGGAGCGGTTTGAATGCTCTATTGAGCACGCGATGTCATACAGTAACAATGCATCGAACATGCAGTGATAGCGCAATAATAATATAATCCTAAAAAAATTGTTCATGTCAGATTGCAGTGGATTACCGGCGTGTATTTGACGCCCGTGAATGTGTCGACCCACTCATCCTCGACTGCTTCATCGCTCGCCCCGCCCCACTGACGGCCACATTCTGTCCACAACGACAACATTTTTTCATTTTTTTTTCGTGCCCCACGAAAGGATTTAATCATTGATCATTCACAATAAGCAAAAAATTATTACATTCGTATGGAGATGCTCATTTAAGCTCGAATTTACTTAGCTTATTATCAGTTTTGGGAATAATGGTGTAATAAACCAGTTACAGGATGCAAACCTAATTCTCCTCAAATGATGCCATTCTGAATGATGGCTGAACTCAGAAAACTTTTATTCGAGTGCGGGAAACGAAAGACAGTAACATCATTGACTATTCAAATCATCATTATGATAGTTGTTTTCGATGTCAAAAAGCACTCGCATGAGTGCTTTTGAGTATTGAATGCGCTGATTATATAATTCATGGCGAAAGAATAGATGTGAAGGTGCTCATATCTCACCTTCGTTTCCATGAAATACCGAAAGATCTTCCTTCAGTTCTTCTAGCGATTTCGGTATCCGTATGTTTCCTCCAAGAGCTCGGCACGTCTTGAACGCTTCGTGGTACCTGTGACGTTGGTGATTTATCAATACCGATGTAATGTTTGAGACTACGCACGCTTTATTCAGACTGTTCGCCAATACTGCCCGCTGCAGTAAATTAACCGTTGCCACCACTGTCGCCTTCTACCGTCCACTGCTTCTTCCCACTTTTACTGTCCACTTGTAATGTCGTCTTATACTGTTCACTTCTAAAGCCGTCTTGTACTGTCCATTTCTATTGTTCACTTTTACCGTCCACTTCTACTTTTTACTTCTACTTTCCATTTCAAATTTTTACTTCTAATTACTACTTCTAGTTTTCACTTCTATTTTCTACTTTTACTTTCGACTTCTACTTTCTACTTCTTTCTTTCTACATCTACTATCTACTTCCAATTTGTACTTCTACTTTCTACTCATACTTTTCATCCATTTACTGTCCATCATTCGTACCCACGTCTGTATTCAACAAGTGTTGTTGCAAATTATTTATACTTCTCTACTTTTTTGGTTTCATAAAACTCAGCGAATTTAAATTCAGCCATTTGAAAATATGATACAAAGGGAAGATGCGAAACCTTTAATTAACCTCTAACTTAATCATTACGTCGGAACAAAGAAGACATAATATCTGTGTCTCAGACCTGAGTAAGGGTAGCGGCACAATCTTGCGGCGGTCGCTGCTTCCACTGCTGCGGCACAAGTCCTGCACTGACACTTCTTCCTGCAAAAAATATCTGTGGTAAACACCATAATCTTTTATAATTGCGCTATTTCATTAAAACAGATATTTGCTGCCAATGTTTTAAATTTATTCGACCTGGTTACAACTGGTACTTGCATATTCAACTGGAAATAGGTAATAGAAGATTTACAATTGTTTTCTCTTTTTTTTTCGCTTGATTAATGTTATAATTCACTCGCATCATAAAATCGATTCAGTATAAGTTGAGTTTAAATTCAGAAATCATAATTAGTTTTTAACACAGTTGGAAATGTTTTTCATTTTGGCCGATGAAATAAGAGCAGTGTACATAAAAGAAGCCTGCCTTGAACTTTTAACTTTGGGTAAGACTTCTTGATTTGGAATTTTCCGGCTAATTTTTAGCGAGCATCCCAATTCGTGTTGACCTGAAGAAAGTGCTGACCACTGTTCAAAAACCCAGGGGATCTGTTCGCAATACGTGAGTATAACAACGTACTTGGTCGTTCTGTTGAAAATGCTATAATATTTTAATGTCGACAAACGCCCTTAGAAAAAGTCGAAAAAGTTACCGAGAGCGTGACGTTGCTGAGCGTCCAGGACGCCGACCACCTCAGCAAGTCGCCCTCGCTGCGGTCCTCGCACGACGCGAGTTGCCGCACGCGCTCCGCTGACAGCGCTGACTTCCACACATTCAGCTGAGTCACATCCCCGCTCAGTGAGTACGGCGGCTGCAATGCGTTCATGTGAAAATTGACGGATGGAAACTATTCTTCATTAGCATTTTACTGCAAAATTCGGTTGTACAATTTTGTGCGGCTTTCATTTATTGCTTCCTACATCCTACAGACTGGAAGAAAGCTTCAAACTCACATGGACAATCTTTTATAGAGTACGAGTGTTTTGTTCATGTTGAGCAAGTATTTTAGGTTTAATTATTGTACTAAAATAGAAGCACACTTCCGCCAGATGGGCATGACCGCTTCTTAATTTATTGTTAGTCCAATTTAACACACATAATTAATTTTCTGTTTATCTTCATAAAGTTATCGCGAACGGGTTTACATGACGTACAGTATGTCATGTAAACCCACATTACGTACCTCAAATTCATCCTGGCCAATAAATACACGACGTGTTATGTTGTCAGATGCGAATGCAAAGGATTCGTTCGCGAGGAGATCGCCCTGCAAGTATACCTGGGCCAGTCCATTAGTGACGTCCCGCACCTGATGAAGTCGACGAATTTACTTAGCATGTACCTTATTTTCATAATTTGAAGTCTAAATGTGCCTACAAAGTAACTCAAAAAATTGCTCTGAGAGCTGTCGAAATATTCAAATTTTGGAAAATCTTTCAGAAAAGACTTAAGTTTCCCGTGGCCAATTAATGCTCGATTTGCCAAGCTGCCACGAAGTTATTGCTTAAATCCGTTTTTGATTTCTTTATCAAAATGCTAGCTGCCTAATCTGATGATATTCAGTATCCTGAAACTATCAGTATTATGAATGAGCTCTCGAAGAGCACAAAAGATTGTTTTAAAAATTGAAAATCGTGTTCATTTTTTATTAGGTGTTAGTTTTGCCAACTCATTTTGTTTCTAAGTCTTAAATGTTACACACTTGAATTTTCACGTGAGCTGACGAGTAACATTTAATCTCTGTAATGTAGATAGTGAGAAATGATTCCGTAGCGTGTCTGACCTGGCAGTAGTGATACCACGTGTTGGTGGCGAGGTTGTTGGGCAAAGCGTAAAATTTTCCATAACCTCCATACTTCGTCCGAATTTTCTCGAAGTACACCTCAAAAGAAATTGCTGAAATAGAAACACTTATTTAAGATTTGTACTGAAATTACATCTGTTTTTATGCTCGATGTCAATGTCCCTTGGAAAGTGTGTAGTACCAGGAATCGACTGTATACACATGTATGTACGTTCACGTAGAGAACAGTCGTCCTTATTACAATTTCAAGAAATATGTGAGCTCGCGTTCATCATTGTAAAAAATGTTCATTTGTGAGATAATTTATCTTGACATATGCACTTAGAATCGGTAAGGTCGGAACATTTTCGGATCTTTGGTGACCTGTTTTTTTTCTATTTATTTATTTTAGAGTAGAAGTGTCGGCACTGAAGAAATAGGCCCATGGCCTGTTGCCTATTCATGTACTTTTCGTGACTTGATTCACAAGGGATCCGGCCTTTTGAACCCGATCTTTCCATAACTGACGATCGATTGATTAAGATAGCTGCTGGACTTATTGCCTGGTCCGTAAGGTGCTAAATATTAGGCATTTTATGACTGATCATAAGCATTGGCATAGCTTCGTCTAGTTTCTTCTTGAAGGCATTCATACTCGAAGCGTCAACGATGCTATCAGGGAGGCTGTCAAAATTTTGTACACACTACACGGTCGTTCCCGTAGTTTATCATGATAACGAGTCACGACACAGGTGCTTAGATATGTTTTGTTTGAAGTCGTGGGGAAACACATCGTTATTTTTAAAATTTCATACATTTACTCACCATCGTTATCCGAGTCCCTAATATCGAAGAGGTAGAGCACGGCAGTGAGGAGCCTGAAGACTCTGATCCTGAAGCGCAGGCAGATGGAGGAGTCGCGCGTGATCTGCACGGAGCCGTTCAGCTGTGCCCAGGTGTCGCCGCGCTGGGCACCGTCTGGGTTCGCTGTCAGGACTTTCACTGAAAGTAAAATTTCGTAAATTTAGTGTATGGATATTTTATTTCGTTTTGAAGTGGACTGTATAATTAGCTTTGAGAGTTTAGTATGTGTGATATTTTTATTTAATTCTGTACGTGGACCGAGTTAATGGTAAAGAAAAATTCCGAATTTCCGGTAGCATTACAATGCCACGCCTAATTGGGCATAAATGTAATGGGAGCTGAAAGTGAGTGAAATTTGATTAATATATTGACAGCTTCTTTAATGCTAAGTAAATATAATAAATATGTCCCCAAATTATTTTTTATGAAATTTTTAAATTTATGAATGGCTTTAGGATTTGCTGCATTTCCAAATGTGTTATCTTCTTGTGAGCAAGTTATCTCAACGTTGTATCCATATTTGATTTAGGATTGCGCTTAAAACTACAAAAAATATTCCTGTAATTAATACTAATCTACTATGAAGTATCCACAAAATTTAAAATTCAACACCGTTTTGCGCATTGTTCCTTGAGAAGGATGCTCCTAGCACCAGTAGAACAATAATATTTATTTGTAACGGCGGCATTAGTGTTCTATACTGTGCTCCTTTATCTCTTCAGCCAATCAGTTCCCCGATCAACATCATTTTGCGGCTGAAGTTGAGTTCGACAGGAGACTAGTCTGGTGCTCAGCATGCAGGTTGGAGAGGTAATGCAATGCGCTTCTCTCAGAGCTCTATGTAAATTACGAATTACACCCTTTTTATAGTCCAATGTGTGTCCCTAAATGATTCGGATCAGCCTCGATCTTTTGCCTTGTTCGTTGTTGATGTACGAACACATGAATATTGATCAAAGTGAACTATTTTTTTCTTAATTCTCTGGAACTCGAGCAAACGAGTCGCATTGCACATTCATGCGATCCCTCCTAATAAGTTAAAGAAGTTACTCGAGAGCGATCCGCCTCGTAAGAAGTCATCTACAAAATTCATTGGCAACGTCGATTCCTTGTGAGGTTTGCTCACAGTTTTCGCGTAAAGAATGCAATAATCAGAGGCCTCTTGCTGAGGCTCCATATCTACTGGATTTTGCCCGATACAGAAGTTTTATTAGGAAGACTTTTTCCTTTATGTTATGGTCTTCTTGCTACTTTAAACATGTTCCTTGAGCGCGAAAAGTTATTCATGCTTTCCGTGTAAGGGTGTAATCCGTCCGACTGATCGTTATGATTATCACCTTCACTATTTCAGATTAGAAGGCAGACATAATCATTCTTATTGCTTTGAAATGGACAGTGTAATGATTCTTTTTGTTTGGGTTCTCCTTCTCTAATGCTAGACGGTAACTCGTGATCATTCATTACGCAGGTTGTAAGGATGGGTCCATAATCATAAGTTTATTAAAGTCGAGTAGAGGAACAGAGGAGGACAGTGCATATTGACAGATGAACGGCAATTAGGTTATGTCCTTAAATATTTCTCGCCAAGTCTGCTAAAAAGCCTTTTCAATAATTTATTAGATGAGTCGCACTTTGAACATCGTACAAGAAACAAAGCACCCGCCAACACCCTGCATTCAGTATAAGTTCAGAGCTGATCAGCTGAAATGGGAAAAATTGCGACACACTAACAATTTGCAATCAGATTCTAGATCATAGTGAGTTTAGTCAAGCTTGACTAAGAGCAGCTAGACACGGTCCCTACTGAAATATTTCTGCGTCTCTTAAGTATGCAGCAGGAATCAGCATTGAACTATATTTTTTATGTAAGTTGTCGATGGAATGCTGCAAGTTTAAGTCTATATATGCTAAACTGTTGTACCTATATATGCTCCTGCACGGAACATAGCATTGTTCGAGGATCGTTTGACGTGCTGTTAATAATTAATGGCGATCGAAATTCGCACTAACATTTTTGGTAATGACATTGTGTTATTTTATTCTGTATGATCCAGTATACCGTTTCAACGAACTCTTTTAGGGGTTAAAAGGAGAACTCCATAGATGCGTTGAAATTTATTAAAATTATTATTCCACATACACTGCAGGTACCACAAGCTTGCGTCCTTTTTCTTTGCAATTTTCTTAACATAAAACTGGCATATTGAAGTCACAGAAAAGGTGGGAATCAAAGGGGTGCTGAATTAGGGGTACGATCGATTAAAAGAATGAAGAACTCAGGTCGTATCGACGACTTAAAATAAAAATAGGATTTATCGTCCACTTCGGTGTTTGAATTATTTACATGGAGGACTTTAAGTGCATTAAAGGCAGTTCCTATATAATGAAATAACTTGATAACATCATACAATATCTTCGAAGACACATATTAGTTAAAATTAATATATATTACTTTTCATCCTCCACTGTGTCTGATCAAATCACTAACTGCAAATATTTAAACCTACAAAATACTCAAAGAAATTATTTAGAACTTAATTTATGCCCCTATAATGCAGGCAAAATATTTGTAACCTCATGCTCATGCAGGTACGTTAAGAGCATTCATTGCAAACTTCTATTTTTGCATTTAATCTCTTATGTGTTCGTTGTAACTAGGAACATTTATTATTACCTCATTATTCTTAGGATAGAATTTATTGCTATACTAGAGTTGAAATTGCTCCTTGCCTGCCATTCATTATGATAGTTCCAAAAAATTTAATAGATCACTGTGTGGGTCAGCGCAAGTTTATTCGTCAGATGAAAATTGCGTTAAAAGATGAAAATGAGATAAAAATTTTAAAAAAGATTGACCGATTTGAATATTGTATGTTAAATTTGACAAATGCCTAAGCACCTACAAACTATATATTGAATGCGATGTGCAAAAGCTATTCAATTAATGTTGTGATTGCATTTTAGTACATTCTGTCAACGTTAGTAGTGCTGTGAAATTCCACTGACTTTAAATTTCCTAAAATGTACGCGCTACCTTACAAATGTGATCACCATGTTTATGAAATGAGAATTTTCTTTATGAATGTAAAGGATATATTTGAAATTTATTTTAGTGCAGTGATCAGTAGTTAAATCTATACTATCCTGAGTGAATTCCTCCTCTGTTACCCAAACATTTATATTAATGCACAGTTAGCGTACACTGAGTGAGTATGAAAAAATCGTTCGAGTTTCAACTTTCTAATATTTTAGCCTAATTCATGTAATATTGTTTTTGGTTGTTAGTATTGATACACGAGACCTGAAGAGACCGCAAGCATCCCCCAGTACACAATATTGAAGAGCACTGCAATGAAAAAAGTAACGACCTTAGAAGCTGCGATCCAAATATGCAGTTTATTGGCCATGACTCCGCCTGTGCCAGTCCTCAAGATCTCCTTCACCGTCTTTAACTCATCCTTGTTGGTCCAAGCAGTCACCATAGTCTCGTGGTGGGTGTTAGAGCCGTAATCGATGTAGTTATCGATGATAGAATGGAAAGCAATGATCATGAAAATCGCGATGATGCAGAACAAGAGCCAAATATCCACCACCTTGAAGTAAGATGTCTTGGGCAGTGAGGCGGATACTTGGGTGAACAGCGTGGCCAGCACAAGGAGCGCCGTGAGAGCGGTCATGAGGCGAACCTGTAGAAATTTATTTGCATTACTCAGTATTATGAAAATCCCATTTAATTTTTATAAAAAAACGAATTGCAAAATTATGTTGATTTTTAAATGTTTTCCTCCTTTGTTTTCCAGGAGAAAATTTCAAGCTGCCGTAGATCGTGTCTCCAGTTCCAATGTATTTTGATGTACCTCAAAGATGGGCGGCCTGAAGAAAAGAGTGAGGCAGCTGATGATGAGCAATATAATGGACGGCACGTAAATGTTGAGCATCGCGTAACCATATAACCGGACGAGCTGAACCGTCACTCGTGCCGCCGCGTATTGCTTGGTGACGTCCTCTTCCAGCGCTACTCGACCGATCCCATACTCTACCAGGTACTTCGATCCAAGGTACTCGACATACGACTCTACATAAAAAATTGTACGATATTAGGGTAAATTGTAGGATATGAGTGGAATTTTATTTGGCATATTATTTGAGAACAGTGCATTCATAGTGTAACTCTGTGAAGTATTGCATTTTGATAGCTCTCAGTTCTTGGATGATCGTATTGTTGAAAGAGGTTCCTTATGCATGAAAAAGTCACTTTTAACCGTGCAAACTAATAGCTAAGTAAATGAAAATTTATTTTTCCAATATATAACAATTTATTATGTAATGAGTTATTACCATTGAGATTGAAGACAAGGTATTCATTCGAAGCCGATAAGATCTTGAACTGCATGAAGCACTCTTGTATATCGAATGGGTAGAGCGTGAGGTCGAAGCTGCATGTGAAGGTAGTGAAATATTTGCGTGTCGTTGACACTGGATTTTTCAAACCGCTGTAAATCTCCACTGTGAGTGAACGAACTTGTTAATTAGTTGATTTTTTAAATCTTTAACTCTGAAGTTGTGTTTAATCCTATAGAGCCAAAATGTGATTCAATTTGCATAAATATTCAAGCGAAAGCCAGAAGTAGACGTCAATATTATTAGCGTCTCAACTAACTTTTCCGCATATATTCTTAAAAAAGAACAGATTGAACCAACCTTCGTAAGAGTTGGTTAGGTTGGTCACGAATTTCAAGGTGCGTTTGATAATGGTAGTGATGGCATTCTCGTCCACCGCTGTCTGCTGGATGTCGCCAGTGTTGATGAAACCAATGAGAGGCTTCCAAAGCTCGTCAACTTGTTCCTTTGAAACTGATTAATAATAATTTACTTGATGACCATTCTGTAAAATCTATTATTATTTTATCAAATCTCTAAAAATGTTCTAGCCTTATCTGAAGTACCATTTCCGTACTCGAATCTCGATCATAATGCATAGACCTCCTCTTTTTTGTCGACTATTTATTCTGAAAATGGTGACGTGGAGAAATGTGTTTATTGGCTAAGGAATCCTCGAAAAAGTCAAACAACTATGCTGCCCCTAGGCAAGTAATTGCCATGTTGCCTTTAGGATCAATACTATTGGGCAACATTTTGTTTTGAGAGATTTATAAATATTCTTGAACTATTTTATGTTTTAAATCTTGAAGATAAATGGCAAATACGGGATAATATTATGTCGTCTAGAGGCATATTGCACAATTTGTTATAAGTTTGTCGCGAACGGTCGATTGAAAGGACGGACACTTGACTTGAAGACACTTCCCACCAGTCAACCGACGTCGAAACGATAATCGAAAAAATCTGCTTATGATCAGTGTTGCTTCAGTTTTATTTTCCTGGTGGGTTTATTGAAATTTTTGTATTGGGCTACCCCGGCATTTTTGTGTGTGAAGAAAAAAGACTATTGTCATGTAGCAAAATAAAATGTTGTAAGACGCACCCGTTACAATAGTGTTGCGAAAAAATTCCGGGTTACGAAAAACAGGAAGAATGTAAAATTTACAAATATATACTGAATATTTAGGAAATTTTATGCGGCTACAGCAATCATGCCACAACACCATTCACTTTTTTAGCAGATTGAATTAATTAAACTCTTGCATGGGCTCTTTGCACAATGTAGTTGTGCGTATGGGGTCATTACTGCGCAACATAATTCAGAATCCTCCCAATACATAAACCAGACATATTGCAACATAATCCAGAATCCTTGCATATTCGAGGATTTTGGCAGCATTTCATATTTTATGCCTGAGTTAAAGTGAGTTAAAATTCCCCACCATTCAAAGAGAAAACTCGTGTGGTAATAATATTCATTTAACCACCTTGAAATGAGACTAAATTCAGCCGTAATTTCAATTATTATAGCTTATTTATAACTAAGAATTCATAACTAACAATTTCAAGAATCGAAAATCCGCCGACATGATAGATCGATTTTCTTCGAGGCATCACTATACTTATTTGTATGTGGACATTAAAAATCACAGGCACGCACTTCGAACAGGCAAATATTTTTAGGGCGATTCATTAAATGTTGATGAAATCTCAGAATATTTCAAATTACTTATTTTAATCGCCAATATATGAGATACCAACTTAGATTCATGCTTATAACTCACGTGTATTAAGTCTTGTGAGTTGCTTGAGGTTGTTGTAGGAGAGTCTGTTGTCGTACCAAGTCATGCGCAGGTTGTAGCTGCTAGACAGCTGCATTGTCTCGGTGTTGATGTCCATCGTGTCTATGGACACGTTGATGGAAATCGGCAGTGGAGAGTTGCTCACTGTTTTCAACAACAATGAAAATATTATATGCGAATTTCATTTGCTTAATTTATGGAAAAATATAGTGTGATATAGTCTTTAGGTATTCATCTGACTTGGCCTTTTTGAAAAACTAGCTGAAAGGATGATACCACGAGGCGTGTTTTTAGAGCAAGTGCGGTTATTAAGTTACGCCGCCAGGCGTAAGGGGCCAGCTGGGAATGAAATATTTAGTCGATTTCATTTTTGCATATGAAGCATATTATTCATTATATTGTAAACACTTACAGGAAACTCCTTTGCGCATATTTTGAAAAATGGTTCAATTTTAATTTAAGTTAATAACTCAAACAATATCAACCCTATTATGGTTGCAGAAAAATTTGTCGAACGTTAAGAAAAACATAATCTATGTTGTGATATCTTTTTCGTTCATTACACGGTCGCGGTGGCAAGTTCAGCTTGTAGTCCGGAGGGAAGTTGACAATATCGCAGAAAGATTCGTCGGTTTTGTCATCGCAGTCAAACTTGAGGTCGCAGCGACTGCCGAAGTCAATGCATTTGCCGTCGGTGCAGGTGAAGTGGCCGGGGCCGCACGGCGAGAGTGTGATCTCCAGAGCGCTGCCTGCGGTCGCCGTACACACGTCAGTCTGCGGAGGTAAGGTAAAGAAACTGTTTTTATAGCTATGTGATGTACACTTTCTTCATCGATAAATGTTGTTGTACCCAGTGAGTAAATGTGATTAATGAACACATTGTTTAAAAACAGTTGGTTTCAATAACCCACTGATAATAATTAATAAGTTTTCGTCCGTGTAACGAATGTGTGATGATCGCACAATGCGTTTTAATGTACCAATTGATTCCTCTTGACTCCAACTTTGTTCATCGCGCGAAAAAAATTGTGAACGTACCGACAAATTCCAAATGCGTCTGCCGAAGGGGTAATCGAGTTGCCCTTTCTCAGGCATGAACTTGGCAATAGTATTGCCAGACACCGAGTTGTACCACGTCCAAATTCCCTCTAGGCGACGGATGGCATACTCGCCATAGCCTCGTAGACCTAGCGGGGATTCCTCCAAGTCCATGTAATTCATCAGCTAAGGTAAGGAATGCGTATGACTTCTCTTAGAAATAAGTATTCTGCATGCAAACTTAATTCGATAAAAATCACGATATAAATCGAAATATAAAATCGTACGACTGCCGTGCGCTGAAAATAACTATTATATAAAAAGGTACATAAATCAGTTCATCGCAGGAATGAACACTTTTGGCCCAAAATTTGGCCTGAGTGCTTGCCCGAATCGTCGTGGTATGATTTTTTAATATTATGTTAATCATAAATGAAACCTAGATTTAAATGATTTCTTTTTGCTTGGAATCACGAAAAAGTCGACGAACGGGCATATTTTATGCGAATTTAGATGAGGTCAAATTAATTTGACCTCATTTCAACACTATTATTTCAGGTTCCAGTTTTAAGGGGACCGATTGATAATTTTGATAACTTCTATAGTTATTATCCGATTGACATGAAACTTCACATACATACGTAAAATGTAAAAAGAAAAACATTTTGCTCCTGTGAATTTTTCGAAAAAATTGATAGAAAACGTGATATTCATAGAAAACGGACAAATAACGGGTAACCGTTGAATGCGTTGAAAAGTGAGCTTTAAGATGAGCCCAAAAAGTGGAAAACGCCAAAATTGAAAATTTTAGGTTAGACGGTCCCCTTAATGTGTTTGAATGTTTGTATGCTTTTAGGAACAGCAGGCCACTCTCATAATAAAGTTTTTTATCAAAACGCAAGAAATTACTTATATGGCCTAAGGTTATAACCTCTTCCTCCTCGCATATGCCTCGGATGGTCCATGTCTCATAAGCCGGCACGCGGCAGCTCGAGCAGCTGTCCTTCTGACACTCGGTATCCGAGAGGCCCTTGGGATGTAAGCGAACGCAGTTTTGGTAAACACCGCCGTTGGGGTTGTTTCTCTGGAAGGGCAGTTCTTCCTGCACATAAAAAACTTAAGTTGTAGTATGGCCTCAGAAGGCCCTATGTACTTGCTGTGGTTTATTTAATTCAAGCATAATTGATTTCTGGATGAATTTGTTTAATCAGATCTTCATAATAAGACTGGTTTTATATTTCTATTTACCTTACTGCATATTGACAGCTCAATCACCTGAATTACAGAGACTTTGAATAGTCAGTCGATCATCAACGTACGCAATTTTCATCCATCCATAAAAATTAGCTAAATTATAGTTTTCCCTAAATAACATTTATTCACTTAAAATAATTTTTCATTGAATCGAGAAAGCACCAGATTTTTGTCTTTGATAAGCAAGAGTCAGTTACCATCCAAGAATTTATAATTTATTAATTTAAAAAGCGGTATATTTCTTATATATTATATTTCTTCGGGTCTCATGCTTGCGATTTGAAAATTGTTCGAACTCAATTGCTCTGATTTTCATAAATCCGTCATTGAAAAAACATCAACCGAAGGTTTTCATGATTATCCCCTTGTGTGCCTTTTAAACTTTCCAACGATACAATAACAAAATTTCTATAGAAATAAATTATGAGAAATAAAAATGGCCCCATTACCTTTGTTACCAGAAAAGAGTTGAGTATAATAGCCATTCTTCCTAATTTCCTTCAGTTGTTGTTCATTCATTCATGCATTGTTGTGAGTTGCGTAACATATTAAAAAGCGTATTGACAATACAGCGACAGTGTATTGATACCCCAATAATCATGTAGCGATATAGTGATGACAGTTTGGTAGTCATTGATGAATATATAGTTTCATGAGAGTGTATTGCATTACCGGCTTGTATATGATGCCAGTAAATGCGTCGACCCACTCATCCTCGACTGCATCATCGCTCGCCCCGGCCCACTGACGCTCACACTCTGCAACGATAAAATTCATTTAATTCAAAAGTATTATCAACTCGATGTAAAAATTCAATAATTTAATTTTTATAGGGAAATTATGGGCTTTTAAGATATTATAGTACTTATATGCACAGAAACGGACAATTTATGTATCGGTTTAAGAGATTAATGTCCTTTAAAATGATTTGCAAATTATAAAATTTTGTATTTTATCATTTACATTTGAACTTGTGTATGAAACGTGATCAGGTGTGGAACTAATACTTAAATCTTAATAAAAGGCCAATGTAAATGGTTAGTTGAGCCAGGACGAGGATTATTTAACCTTCGACATTCTGCATGAACATACTTAATAAGTTATGACCAGAATAGTCGTGATCCGAGAGAAAAATGCATTTGCACACTTTAATTAAATTGGTTGCGATGTTTATTATGTTATTGTATATTATTATATTATTATTGTATTATATGTAATATTAGTATCATATCTAAGTATAAATAACACAAAAAATCACGACCAATCATACATTTTTGCAGATCATTGGATACTTTCTGCAATAAAGTTGCTACATTCTCACCCGTGTTGTTACGAAAAACCGAAAGATCTTCTTCTATTTCTTGTAGCGAGTGCGGTACTCTGATGAAGCCTCCAAGAGCTCGGCATATCAAAAACGCCTCGTTGTACCTAATACGTTAACGCTGTATTAGAAAAACTTAAAAATGTTCAAAAATAAAATGCTTAATAGTAGGTTGTTTATTTACACGACTTATTTGACACTGAATTTTTATTGGTTGACGTTGAAACTTCATTCGTAAATAGGTACTTAGAATGTCTTTCTTAAGAGCAGTCTGGAATACGATCTTGCTAATCGATCTGTTCATACGATCTGTTATTTTTTGGTAAATATTACCTTTGCTCCACTTTGAGATATCACATCACATAGTTAACGGTGATTCACCGAAGTTCTCAAAAAATTCACACAAAATAAAACCATTTCCCAATGCAGAACTATTATTCACAACAGAATTCGTATTTTTGATGCTATCCTCGCTCCGCTGCTATATTATATTAGTCTCTGACGGTCTGACCTGAGTAAGGGTAGCGGCACAACCTTACGGCGGTCGCTGCTTCCGCTGTTCCGGCACAAATCCCGCACTAACACTTCTTCCTGTGCAAAATATGTGAGGTATTCACTACGAAGCAATAATAGGGTTTATCGTAAAATTAACAAAATTAACTACAATTGTTTCCAGTAAAATTCATACAACCAATTTTTTATTTCTTATATGCATCCTGATAGAAATTCGTTTATAGTTTATACCAATACATCCGTGGCCACACTCAAAGCGCCGCCCCTGAAGTCTAGCGCATCCTACAAGCGTCATCGCAGAATTCCACAGCCAGTTGGTCCCCGAAACCGCAACGCGGTATTCCTATGTCGGCTTTTATATTGAAATTATTTCTAAATTTAGTCTTAAAAGAATTAATTAGTTTTGATTAATTTTTTCAAGGATTGAACTTTCCAATTGGTATTCTCAATTCAATAAAAATATTTTAACAATTATAAACTACCATTCAAGAATTGTAGAAGGAACAAAAAATTAAGATTAATCCAATAGATACCATTGGATGATACTGATACAATTAATGGATGATACCATTGAATTTCGTCGATCCAATGACGATTCCGTTTCCCTGCAGTTTGGGTGATTTAGCCGGAATGATATAAAAAAAGGAAAATGATACCGATCTTCATTCAGGATGTCTGATGAAACAAATTCACTCACAAACTATTTTTTTATAAATGCACACTCTGAATACCCAATATTGTTCCGTAATTTCTAAGTAAATTCGCATTTCGAAATTACAAAACAAAGGCAGAAGGGGAAATATGTACTATCTCTTGAAAATGACTGAACACCTGAAGTTGATGACTGCCATCACTCGTGTGAGAATCATTAGAATTTGATGTGCTCTGAACGGTTCGTGTATTATTTAGTTAAATCATTGCTCGGAGAGGACCTTTGTTCATTGTCTCGTTCTCAAAGTTTAAAGAATGAGCAATATTTATTTTGGCAAATACCACGCACTAGGAATCGCGAAAAAGTTACCGAGAGCGTTACGTTGCTGAGCGTCCAGGACGCCGACCACCTCAGCAAGTCGCCCTCGCTGCGGTCCTCGCACGACGCGAGTTGCCGCACGCGCTCCGCTGACAGCGCTGACCCCCACACATTCAGCTGAGTCACATCCCCGCTCAGTGAGTACGGCGGCTGCGGTGAAGTAATTATGTAGAGTGAGTAAAATTGTATGAAATTGCGTGTATTCATTACCTAGTTTTCGGCGATTTTCCTAAATCGTATCGCACTAAAATTTATATATGGTGCCCTTCGATCCAAATAAATTTTAGTAAGTTTCCAGTCATCGAGTCCCCCGGTTGCGCCTATCGTGAGCTATTTTCTACAATATTTGAATAACTATGAAAACTAAATATGACAAAAAGTTTCTAAGAGCTAAAAATTAGAAGTAAAATATGAATATGGAGGTGTTTGACTTCTTCATTTTCATTGGTACTAACCTGAAAGCCATCCTGGCCAATAAATACACGACGCTTTATATTGTCAGGTGCGAATGCAAAGGATTCGTTCGCGAGGAGATCGCCTTGCAGGTATACCTGGGCCAGTCCATTAGTGACGTCCCGCACCTGATGAAGTCGATGAATTTATGTAGCGTTTGCCTTGTTAGGAATGGGGACTTGTAACTGCTGAAAACCAATATTGATCCGTATGTATAACTATTATTCTATGTTATGCTATTCAGACAAGACTTGTATTGCTCGCATTCCGGCAAAATTTTCAGCTATTTTGAGCGGGATCATGGGTGCAATCATCAGGGCTGCGAAAAATGTTATACATTTTGCTTCTCTAGTAATATTGCTCCTCTGTTATACTTTTTCTCCTCTTATATTTTTAATTATGTTTATGGGTATGAAAAACTGATACATTAGTGATACACTTCGTGTTTGTCATGAGGCTTGTGCCTATTGGAATCAGTAGCATATAATAGTATCAGTACGGGTATCGCGAGGTCATAGCGTGTCTAAACTGACAGTAGTGATACCACGTGTTGGTGGCAAGGTTGTAAAGGGAGGGACAAATGAAAGGAGGGATGAAAATAAAGTGAAGGGCTGGAATACAAGGGAAAGGAGGAGAGGAATAGAGGCAGTGGCTTGCATGGAGGGAACGCAATAATGGGAGAACAAAGATGTTGCGTGTCTGACCTGATAGTAGTGAGGTTGTACCGTGTCTGACTTGACAGTATAGTGTTGGTGGTGAGGTTGTATAGCGTGTCTAACCTGACAGTAGTGATACCACGTGTTGGTGACGAGGTTGTCGGGCAGGGAGTAGAATTTTCCATAGCCTCCATATATCGTCCGAATCTTTTCGAAGTACACCTCGAAGGAAATAGCTGAAAGCAGACCGCATTGATTTATTATGGAAATGTATTTGTCCCTAAAATGCAATTATAATATCGTTATTCAAAGTTCTATGGAAATTTACGCATCTGATTAGGAATGACTTTAGTTTTTATGACACACATTTTCGCAATCGGAGCCGGTTAGCCATCTTTCTCAAAACGAGGCGGAGGTTATAATGTGCATAGTATTAAACACTGTACTTGAGAATTCGGAACACGTTAACTGGAAAGCCTTAATGGACAAATCTTTATTCATTAAAAAAATTACATGCACTCACGGTCGCTGTAAGAGTCCCTAATGTCGAAGAGGTAGAGCACGGCAGTGAGGAGCCTGAAGACTCTGATCCTGAAGCGCAGGCAGATGGAGGAGTCGCTCGTGATCTGCACGGAGCCGTTCAGCTGTGCCCAGGTGTCGCCGCGCTGGGCACCGTCTGGGTTCGCTGTCAAGACTTTCACTGAAACAATGATTTTTTTTTTCATAAAACGAATGCCATTCAATAATTTATTGTATGACGTTAAATTATTTTAAAAATTTTTAACTCACTTTTAACATTTTTAAAACTCACTCAACATCTTATGGTAAGATTTTCTGTTTGTAAATGCGCATAAGAAAGAGAGGTGTTCTATTTCAATGAAATTTGATGACTATGATGAAAAATTCTACGAATGATTCCTGTGTCAAGCTATAGACGATGTTATCAGAACATAACGAATTATCCTGTTTTCTTTCTATTGCCTTTTTTCTTTTTTTAATCCCCGCTACCAACACAGTTGCAGAGCACAGCTAAGTTAATGAAAATAATTTTTATTGAGAATAACCTACTCACCGCTCTGCGCTGTGCTACTTGAGAGAGTTGCAGCAAGCACCAACAGTGCAATAACTTTTCTTTTTAACGACATCATCTTTGCTATGTCCATTGTTTTCTTTAGAACTCAAATTATATCGATCGAAGTTTCATGGAATCAATCTGACGTCACATGATATCTGCTGTTCTGTGTGTGAACGTTACGATAATTTCGGCAAACCAGATAGAGACGCAGCAGTGCCGGGTCCCCGTACCGTAACTAGCGCCCGTTTGCCAATACACACCCTTATAGACCGATGTGTCTTCTTAGAAATTTATATGCAAATGAATAATAAGCTGTAAAGCATGACTTGCTTTTACTTTCCGTATCAGCCTCGTTCCCTAACGTTAAATATTCGTCGTTGATGAACAATGCGTCGTGTAAGGATCGCTGAGTAATATTTTTCACTGGTAATTTTCTTCAACTCGAGTAAGTGGGTTGCATGGCATTATGCCTCCGTTTATTGACCTTGTGATAAATCAAGGATGTTACACATAAATGAACCGTCTCGATGAGCTTCGTGAGAGAAATTTACTGGTGATATCGATGTCTCACGAGTTATGTCCTACGTTCAGTAATGAGCGGACAAGATAATTGGACTCTTCTTGATGGTGAAATATACGTCATAATTTGCCCAAATGTCGTCTCATTACATTGGACATTTTCAGTCTGCCTTCAAGGTCTCTTCATTAATCTTCGCAGTGCATTCTACGATAAAAAAATAACAAATGTATTCAGTTGGAGGCATTCTTTCTATTTGAATATTATAATGGTTATCGTCCTACAACTTGCCTATGACAATTCAAACTAGCTTATTCTGATGCCTATGAGAATAATGAGAAATCGAGTGAATTCCTGACGTAATTCTGTTCCTATACCTAAAAAGCGATTTCCATAATTAGCATGATAAATTGCACTACCTACAAAATTACCGTACTTACGCACCAGCCGAGAACACGTGTGTAGTATAAGTCATAATTCAAATGCGCACACACAACGTTTATTGTAGCTGTCGGCCCTTGACTTTAGATCAAAGTAAGTTTAGTAGCGTTCAACGGGGGAGTAGATGCTGTATCTACTGAAAGATTGAGTTTCCTCTCAAGTATGTAAGCAAATCATTATATAGACTGTCATAAATTTGGTCTTTCTTCACATCAGCACGGTATTTGATGAAATTTCTTCATAAAACAGGCCCCTTCATGATAAATTTTTTATAAAATACACTGGAAGCGTTGGTAAGAGCTTATGAAGCTCGAGGCCATCTTTACACGTAATAAATAATTTTACATGATGGACAATGTCGGTAAATTTGAAGTTTCGTAATCCTTCTGGCAATAACTAAACGTTTCTTTTCGTTAAGATTATAGTTTTTGATGCGGCACTCTCTATTTGTTAGGGTCGTTATCTTCTTATTCCGTGCAATACTTGCGATTTCTTATGGTTGAAAAATACGAAGAGCAAACAATTAAGAATATGGATTAATCATATATTAACAGAGAAAATTTGTGTCTTACATAACGACCGCACTCCGTTTTCAAAAAGTGTTTCGCTAGTCAAATTGTATTTCCTCTTAAAGTTGAATTGTGCGAATGTTTTGTTGACATCCAAACTGTTCGTTATTAAAAGCATGCGTTTTCTGAGGCTCTACTAATATTTTTTGAATAATTTTGGTTGTAATAATTTTAGATGCCATACTCACAGTTAAAGTCAAAACTGATCCATAACTGCAAGTATGAACGCGTTCAAGAACAGACTAGATAAAGCTATGGAAAAATATATGTTCAGATTTGAAATGCCTAGCCCCATATCGAACCCGATGGAAGTCTAGTAGCTACTTGAAACAATCGTCAGTCATGAAAAGATCCGGTCAAATGAAACGATGTTAGATCTTCTGTGAACAAGGCACGAAAAGGAAAAGAATCGGCGACAGGCCACAAATCTGAAATTTTGCCCACTTGTGTAAAGTTGGAGACAATGCATGAATCAAATGTCAAAATAAATGATTTTAGAATTAAAAAAAATTTTTTTCAATATTAAAAAAATTGAAAAAATAATTTTGTCAGCTACGTACCAATCTTATAACTGATATTTGACACATTTTTACCTGTCTAATTGATTTGAAATTTTGCACACTGGTGTGAAATCAGAGGCAATGCACGAATCAATTAACAGAATAAATAATTTTGAAAAAAATTTATATATTAAAAAAATTTATATGTATTTGAAAAATTGAAAATGTAATTTTTTGATTTCGAAAATTAGATGAGAAATTCATTATACATCTGTAAGATTGGAGATACTGGATTCTTTGGAAGTGTTGTCTTTAAAAAGTAATTTTTAAACGTATATTATATTATTCATCATACTTTATTTTTCACTTATCATATGTGCACAAAATAACGAGGCAATCAGGGAAGTCTTTCAGTTCGGATAAATCATTTCAATGCATTTTTTTCTTTTTCATAGGCTGCAATCTGAGTCCTATATACCTGCTTGGCACTATAGCGGTCACGGTCGCGACCCAATAAGCTTAGACATTGAAAAACTGCCCTGCGCAAAACTCTTGCAATAATAAATGCTCTGACATGCAATCCAAACACGCGTTTTCATTCGTGTTCACATGTGTTTTCATTCGTGTTCACGTATTATGCTGCGGCGAGTGACATTCAATTTTTCCATCTTTGTATAAACTTAAAAGGTGATTAAGATACAAATTTGGGCCAGAGAGCTTCGGATGCTGGCAAGAGGGTAGAAATTCTTCCGACTGCTGAAGAACAAAAATTGTTTATTTTCGAAAATATTTCGTTGCTTTTATAACTGAAAGAACTATGTGAGAAACATAACACTGTGTCATACGACAGTAAATTATACCAATCAAAAATTTTGATGCGTCAGGAATTGCATCTCTTTAAAGGAATTTTCCTGAATCGGTTGTTTCTACATGGGTTATAGTTTTCTTAGTAGTAATAGGCCAGTCTGTTTTTCCCTTCGGAGTAGTTTTATTTGTTCTTATCATATTTTTGTGTCTTTGATGTTAAAAGTGGAAGTTTTTGGTTATATTTGATAATGTGGCCATGTTAGATTCATTTATGTATAATTGCCTGTGCATAAATTCGTTGTACCCGATCCTATACCAAGCAAAAATATATTACAGATGTAATTAAGCAAAATTCAATTATGACGGCGTTATCATTGCAAATTTCTAGAAAATTTAACCTTAATTATTACCAGGTGCTAGCTCTTCGAATGCCGAATGAAAGACTGCATAATTTCAAATATATTATCAGCCTTCTTCGTGAGGCAGAGTCTTGCTGTACATTCTTTCTTTCTTACAGTTGGAGCTGGACTAATTACCTATCGAGTCACTGTGAGACTGTCATATTTTGTTGTAAGTGTCAGTATTTCATTTTGGACTGAAGGATTGTAATAATACCCCATTGAGTGATTAGTCTCAAGAGAAGCTAAAATATTTCATAGACTACCGGCTGGAGCTATAGAGTTCAATGCTAAGGAACTCAATTGCAACGAAAGCTCCTACGCCGCGAACTAGACACAGAAAACTTCATGAGCTTCTGATTTGTTGCCTTAGTCCCTCGCTGTGCGCTTTGATATACTACCTAAACGATTACCCGTATCAATGAAAATTTATTATCTCAATTAATCCACTATCATGTTATATTTTGATCTACTGTCTCTAATCTACTGTCTTCCTCGTTCGATGACTGACAAAGTAGCTGAATGTATGCTATGTTTCTCCTGTTAATGTTGCTTAATTAATTTTCTTAAATGTTGTTCATTCTTTACCGTTATTTATTATAAAATAGACAGAGTAATTGATGAGCATAAAAATCATTAGTTTATCCTAATTGTGCTACTCCATGCAATCATATATTAAATTATAGCAAAATGGTTAAGACGTCTGGAACTCCTTGCACTTAATGCGGCATTTCATAACTAAAAAACTGTTGAAATTATTTTGCCTCTGTATTTTCTACCAGCAAGAATCCAAAGTCACCTCTTATTCGTATTTTAAATTGATTTTCCAGTATTTTCACGTCAGAAATGGCAATTTATCGATCAAAATTTTCATGGTCTCAATGACATGTAATAATTGTTTAGTAATAATTTGAAGTTGGTGAGCTTTATTTTGGTGGACGCTGCTTGTGATGTAAAGATTTTCCTAGGGTGTTCAGGAAAGGCACTTTAAAACTCATCCCTTTGTCTAAGCCGGCGTTGACTTTAGTGTTCGTCAGGCTGGTATACCCGGTATACCTACACAGTCGCGTTACGGTGCAATCTTGCGTGGGTCAACGAATTTCTGCTTTATCGTAATAATTTGGTAAGTGCCAAAGAACTAAATTACACTATCCATTTCTCTTACTAGAAGATTTTGCTAAAAAATGTGGTACTAAGGTGCAATTTCCTGAAGAATATTTCTCTGGCAGAAACCGTTTTGCAAACAAGGAAATGCGTCTCAATTTTTCTCCTAACATAATTTCATAAGACATACGTCACATCCCAGGAGATTAAGACAGTTCTAAGAATGTTTAACTTAATTTTGAAAATTAGTCACCTTTACAAAGAGCAGCCATGGCCTCAGAAATCCATAATTTGAATACATTTCTATGGAATGCATTCAGATTTCGTCCACTGTAGAATTACAATTCTTGTAAATGCCGTTAATAGTTTTTGTAGGCTAGCTACGTGGGAAAAGTGCTTCTGTTCGAATACTGGTGACAAGTTCCATTAAATTCTTCATGGTTGCCTTCACTTCAATAATTTTTTGTAATTCATGGGACTCTTGTATTAAACCAAAGTTATACAATCGAAATAGCCAAGAAAAACGCAATGCTAACGTTGATATTTAACCGTGCAAATACCGTCAACACTCGTATGGTGATGTAGGAGGCACATTCTGTAATATTAAACTAAAGTAAGGGAATGCCAGGCATTTGATAGGATTGAAGAATTTCAGCGATATGAGTAGGATGAAAAAATCAAGTTTAATAATTTATTTTTACATTAGGATTATCAAGTTCGGTTTAGAAAGATGATTTTTCACGTTAGGCCAACCTAACTTATAATATATGATAATAGCTGTTTCAGCGTTTATTTTGCAGTAGGCCTGTCGCCGATTCTAGACATCGTAGAACATTTACAGGTTGTTATGGTTTTAAACTCGCAATTCGCTGCTCTAATTTTGCTTTGCTTAACCGCTCGGCCTCCTCGCCAATTCTCACCAATAAGTGTCTGACAGAGCTGGGATCGAACCCGCACCTGACTGCTAGAATCCTGGTACTCCTGTAACCACATAACGAATTCGATGACAACAGGAAATGGCCGTTTTCCTTCTTACGAGAACAATTTATTGAATCTCACTAATCAAAATTTATATTCAATTGTTTATATCTTAAATTATACCTAATTAAATTCAATATATATTGTAGCTAAACCATTATACTATAGAGCCCCGCACTCCTTATTCATGCAGATACCATGTTGTGAAACCTTAACGCTATGTAGTGTAAGTATCAAGGGCGTCTGGATAGAACACTATTATGTTAGCACTATTACTGAAGTCAATAACAATAATAAGTTAAATACGTTGTCAAAATTATGTAGGTCGAGGAAATACGCCTAAATTTTAAACATTAATGAGTCAAAATTTTCTTGAGACGAATAACTCGCACAAACTAGAGCTCTGCGTAGCATTCCCTTCGTAGCGTATCATTTCATTTCCTACATACGAACCGGGAAACAAAGCATGTTCAAATATCTTTATTTGCATCAGAAATAAATAAAATCCTTAGAGTGTAATAATTAGTGGTTATTTTATGAATCTTCTCTAAGCAAATGAACTATTACTAAAAGCCAAACGAAGAAAATGAAGTGAAACAAGAAATATGCCACTAAATTATCTCTTCACTGTGACAGATGAGCATGAAAGAATATTGTCTTGGATTAAAAATTTGAATTCATTTTTCCACCGTATAAGTATTCCCGGCGGGTTATTGTTTTAGTGTAGTTTGGAAGTGAGGGCAAGAAGTGCGCATATGAAAACAACCAAGTAGGTGAGGGCGGAAAGTCTGTCCACAATGGTTGCCAAAAGTAACCATTCGTGCAAGAAGCTCTTGCGTTCCCCGATGATTTCTTCTTCGTTGTCTTTTTCGGACATGCCACTCCGCCCAACCTGAGGACGGAAGTCATCCTTTACAATGTAAAACTTTATTTCATAATTTCCGTTATACTGCCAAAAAATTCATAATATATTTCAAATAAGTTCAAATTATTAAATTCTTTAATCTTGGAACCTGCTTCTGCCACATCTAAACATCTTGTCAGTAATACCATTCAAAACTCAACCTTGTCAGCCATGAAGCGCAGACCCAGAACAGTAGCGAGAGGACCTGTGATGAGGCCTTTAATGAAGCCTGGGACGGGGATGGACAAAACCTCAGGAGGCTCTTTGGACAGTCTGGCCAGCAGACCACTCAGGATGATGCTCAGGACACTCACCATTAACGCAAAGCCATAGTATCGCACTGACGGCACGGAATTCAATGTTAAAGTGCATTTTTAGCGTCAAATTTGCCGATTGAATAGATCATCTTCAGCCTTTCTTACAAATTATTTGACCACAAAGAAAGTATGCAAAACATGTTTTTAGTTGTTGCATGAGTTTTATTTGAAAAATTAAGTGAAACTAAAAGAATATTTATGGTACTTCCGAATCTCTGAATCTTTTAGCGCTCGTTGGAATAATTTTGATCTTACATTAGTGTAAAATGTCGAGAATGAGAGAACTTCTTATCCATGTGCTGAAATTTCAAATAAAGTTCTTAATTGAGTTTTAATGATCATTAACATATAATATTTTGAATGTATGTTATTTCTGTTCGGGAATAGAGTAGGTATAATATCATCCACGAATGGTCGGGAGTACAAATTTATAGACCCCGGAATTAAGGCGACTGTTGCTCTACAGATGCGTCACGTGAAGGTGACTTATATGAAAATAATTTAGCTGATGACAGGGGATACATATGCCACTATTCGTCAATAAAGTGGACACTTCAATTACAAAACCTAAAGGTTTTACTTTCGTCACGGTCGTTGACAAGTAATAGCCGCACTCATAGCCCTTAAAAAGAAAGGTGCCCAATATTCGACGTGGTCATATTCTTTAATTGTAGTGAGTAGTGGAGTTCACGACACTTGACTGTGGGATTTGTTAAGACAGAAAATTAGCAATTTTGGTTCACAAATACCAATTAGTGGTGAAGAAGCTCCAAGTGGAGGTAGTGTAGTGGCCAGTTCGATTAGCATCAAGATGCAGGCTAGGGTGGCTGCGAGTCCGACAGTCACGCGAGGAGGGTAGTCCACTGGCAGCACGAACTGTATGAGCGTCAGCACCGCTACCGCTGTTTGCAAAGAACGAAAATATGCATACATTTATGAAACCTAGCGTTTTTTATATATCTATTTATATTAAAAATAAGTTAACGTGAATTGAAATTTTAGTGATAAATTGTTATTCCTTCATAATATTCAAGGTGGATTAAGAACAAGATAAAGTACATTGTATAAAGCCCTTTTAGCCAAGAGTTAAAGGTTCGATAATAATTGAAAGTAACATATAAATGTACTCCAAACCAAGAATAACATTTCTAATGCATTGTAGATGTTAGTTTCACCTATCCCGGGCAAGATGACGGTGGCTGTGAACGCAGGCGAGTTTCTTTGCATTGTGATGGCCGTCCTGACGACATAGTACGGAAGAGAGGCCGCGTCATACACTTGTTTTTCCAACTTAATGTTCTTTACTTCCCAATGGTGGTTTGTTTGAAGCATCGCTCGTAAATGCTGCTCCTGCAAAAGAAAAGATGGCATTTTTTGTTCTAAAATTTATCAGTGAATTTTGAACATTTTTTACTGGAGTCTTCTTAATTGTACACGAAATTACGGAGTCGAAATATCACTTCATGTAACACTATAGGTATGCTAATATATAGCATAAATTCCAATACTTTATTTAAAAATGCTAACCAAAGCTTTTATTTTAATTTTATTTTGCTTTCGTTCGAATTGTCTTCAAAACACACTTCAAAATTTCAGCGCTAAGCAAATGAATGTGCTCACTGTTGTCATGTTTGGATTGCTAGTCTCATAGCTGATCTGAAAACCATGACGGGTCCATGAGCCCATATAAATCTCGCAGGTTTGTGTGTCGAAAGGCCAGTAAGTGAGGTCCATTGGGCACTCAGTCTTGACAGTAGCGGGCGGCATCCAGACGACTGTACCCGAGCTGTACACTGTCACGGGAACGTTCCCGAAATGAGCTATGTTCGTGGGGTCCGCGCTGCGGAACAAAAGACTTGTTAGTGATCACACCCGCCGTGTTTGCTGAAAACGGTTTCATTGACTGTATATCTACGCTGTTAGTTATGGTATCCTTCGTGTTTACATCATAAGGTATCAACCCATACGTAATTACATTTTCAGGCATTATACCGCCTTATTTAAATTATTAGACATCAACCCTTACTATTTACATCGTTTGACACCTTCTCGCCGTGAAAATATGCAACACGACTTGTCATATTCAATTTGTTAGACATCATACCGTCGTATTTGAATTATTAGATATTACTTTAGTACCCGAGTTGTAAATTAGGCGCCAGACCGTGGTACTGAAATTCTTAGAGACATCATCTTGGCCGTATTCAAGTTGTTAGCAACATACATATATGGTATATGCACCGTTGAACATCACATTCTCGATATTTTTTGTGTCAGACATCATATAAATATTCGGCATTCACAATGTTTAGTATACGGAAGCATGTAGAAGTGTGCGCAGTATAACACTGCCTTGATCATCATCAGCCTCGTCATATTCACAGTCATGAGACTTTCGTGATAAACTAAGTGACCATTAAATATTCAGTTTCTAGCAGTATTCTCTCCCTTAACAGAAACCTCAACATCACAATGATTTATGAAATTTAATCTAATGCTATCCTAACGGCACATTGAAGGGAGATTTCCAGCTGAAATTTCGAATGCATCTATGAATCTTGTAAGTCGCCTGTAACTTATTGACAATTTTATTAACAGGAATTCGTCCCTTCATTTTCCCGCTAAACAATAAAACCTACCTATTGTACACCAATAGGTCGGGCTTCCAAACGTCTTCAGCAGCCAACTCCGTTTGGAAGATATTACCGTAGTCCTTCATGTCCCACTTGAGTCTCTTGTCACTCCAGTACTGAAAGAATTCAAGCATCGGACATCGTAATTTTTTTAACATCAGGTTACAAAGACAACAATTATAACAAAGACAAAAATAGTCCCACATAATTTCCCTGTTATTTTTAGGATTCCTACATTTTATTCGGGTCTTATTTATTGTACAGGGTCATCAATATTTAGCGTTACATTGCTTTTTCAAAATAAATACACTCGCAAAACAGTCAAATGTGTGGTATGGAACCATGTCGACTGTTCTCCGGAAGGACCTAAAGTTGTCTCCATTCAAGCATGTCAAAAAAAAAAACAATTGTCTGCTCGAGTTGTTGACAAATGCCTCCAAAGATCCAAGATTATTCTTTCCCGCATTCATGATGGCACGCTGCCAAACCTCGTTTTCAGTGATGAGAAAATATTCAATGTTGAACACCACTTCAACTCCCAAAATGATCGAATTTTATCGAAGAATGGGACGAAGGATTCCGTGTAGTGACAAGTAAGCATTGCCCGACCTCAGTGATGGTCTGGGCAGCCGTAACAGAGTCCTCAAGGAGTCCCCTTTTTTTTGTTGACAAAGGGGTGAAATTTAATCAGAAGAACTATCGAGATGCCATCCTTGTTGGTGCATTGTTGCCCTGGGCACGAAAGCCCTTCAAAAAACGCCCCTGGTCGTTCCAGCAGGACTCTGCACCATCCCATGGGACCAAATCGACTCAGGAGTGGCTGTCCGATAATGTTCCCCACTTCATTACCAAAGATTTAAAAGCAAAGAAAACAGCCAGAATATTAACCATTTCTTAAGAATGAAAACGTTTCGGAGTCCAGCTCCATCGTCAGTTCAAAAGTTCAAAACTTATAAGAAAATAAGAATCAATTAGAAAACTAAATTCACATCGAAGATAAAAACATAAATTGACAAAAAGGAGCTGGACTCCGAAACGTTTTCATTCTTAAGAAATGGTTAATATTCTGGCTGTTTTCTTTGCTTTTAAATTCCTGGTAAACTTGCGACTCAAGCAATCTAGTAATTTTTGTGCTTATTACCAAAGATGAATGGCCTCCATCGTCACCCGATCTGAATCCTCTGGATTTTAGGATCTGGTCATACCTTGAGAGCTAGGTCTCGACCGTTCACCATAGCAGTTTGGACGCAGAGGTCAAACTGCTGAATGAGTGACCCAAAATCCCACTGAGTGTCATTCGTGACTCGTGTAAGGCTTTCTCTAAGCGTCTACAACTCGTTATTGATGCAGATGGTGGACATATTGAATGAAATTGTGGAAATTGTATCTCTGAACCTCTGCCTACATAAATACATTTTCAAACATACACAATTGTGTTTCATTTCATAGTTCTAACCACTCAAAGTTGTAACGCTAAATATTGATGACCCTGTAAATCCTTATAAATAATTCATCTGTCAAGCAGGACCTGCATAAATTATTGCGTCCGCCAATTATTTCCTGCTTTTCCATTGATCACCCCGCATTCAATCGTGGGCACATCAAAAATGGCAAGAGTCGTTAAGATGCTCGGGTTTGTGGAATACGAGTTATTTAGATGGTAGAATTTGGGAATTGCAAATCAGTGAGATGGTAAAGCGTATGAACTACGAGCCAGTAAGATGTTAAAGGATGAGAACTGCGAGTCTGCGAAATATTAAAGCATGAGCACTAACAGAAGAACTCACCATGTACATCCAAAAGTTGAATGTAAGTATTTGCGTGAGTTCATCGACATAGAAAGCCCTGACGACATGAGTCATGTATACTCCGATTGTATGATTATGAGACTCGTGCGGGCATACGATGGAAGAATAATTCTTGTTCAGTAAAAGGTCTCGATGTAAACGTTCGGTGGTCTTCCACCATTCATCCTGCCCTGTAAAAGAATTTACCTGAATTACGTTTTTTAACATTAAGAAATGCAACCAACCCTTAGATTCGAAGTATTACGTATTTTAACAAAGATGTCAACAAATTCATTGTTTTGTCACATTGAGAATGAGTAATCATACATCAAAAATCATACAAGACTTCGGGTCCAAAACAATACCGAAGTCCTTTACAAATCTAAAATCAATATTGTCATTACTTGGAAAATTTATCTTATCACTCACCTGACACAAATGCTGCGAGGAAGATTAACAAAACGGCATTGGATTTCATGCTAATGTTATGTACAAGACCTCTTCTGTCAAAATTAATTCAAATTTCACCAGGGTAACGAAAATCGTTGCAAAAATTATTTTCTCCCTGTCACTGGGCGCTTCCGGTTTCTAATCTGTCTTATATAAGGTTAAAATTCAAATATTATATTATAGATTTAATATAAAATAATATTAATAAAAGGAACCTTTTTCTTGATTTAGTTTATAACGAAAAGCTCGTGTCAGGTTTCCAATTTCATTCAAGGTGGCCCTGTGATTACAGTTCTGAGTATCAAAATGGAGCAACAAGTTATGGGTTCGATCCCAGCTACGTGTGACAGTTCAGGGTTAAATCGACGAGGTTGCCGGTTAAGCACTGCAAAATTGGGGCAGTGAGTTGCGTGTTCCAGCCCGACACAACCTATGACCTATGAATATTCTGTGATGTTGAGAATGGGCGACAGGTCCAACGGCCTAATCAATGCTGACACCGCTATACTAAATGTTGATGGAATAAAAGTATATCATCGCTGTGTTACGCAACATGAAGAAATGCTTGAATTGTATGAAATTAAATGAAAAATATATATCATGAGAGTGTTCGGGTTTCGAAGCGGAGCGCGTTACCATAGAACGTGACCACCGACCCTCTGCGGTGCTAGTGGCAACACAGTTCAGCGTACGCCAGGAGTGGAGGTAGGGTCGTTCGCTGCCAAGTGATACTCTATAATCTCTTGACACTCAATATCTTCGGTGCCAGCGGCCTACACTGTCAATGCGTTGTGCTATCATAATCGGCTTCCATTTACGCCAAATTGCTTGGTAAGAATGGAATTGTTACGTGGAGGTTTGATGAAAAATAGTTCGTTGACATGTTTGTAGGTACGAGTGAACTCTTACATCTTTCTCGTAACTGAAATTTTCCAGACGGCGTTCAATTGTTTAACCAGCGTGGCTATTATATAGTGACCCAAACTCACGCCCATTAGAACGCTATCAGGTTTACAGACTGTTGACCTCTATTATGTAAGTCGCATGCCAGTTGAAAATATACGTATACCATACTTTGTCGTTTGCTGAGGCTACCTTCGTGGATAAGAAAACGTAAATTTCCGGCTTAGAGCAAAAATGTGATTCACCTATTTATTTCAATATTAACTCTTTATACACTGACGGTAACTCTAGTTACCAGGCCATTAGATCCAAATAGCTTTGATAACGGCTTATGTATTTGCATAAACGCAGTTAAGCTCACTAAATATGTTGAAAAATGAAAGGATGGATATTGGATATGAATGGTTTTAGATACATTTTAACAAAATTGGTCATTGTCAAAGGGACACATTATTTGAACGAGCAAGGACTTGCTATTCAAACTAAAAATTCATCGAACTGAAAATTTATATTCCTATCAAATCCAATTCGTCTCCTTCTGGCATCAATAAAATGCCTAGTACCTTACGGACCCAGAAGTCCAGCAGCTATCTCAATCAATCGTCAGTTATGGAAAGATCGGGTTCCAAAGGCCGGATCCCTTGTGAATCAAGTCACGAAAAGTACAAGAATCGGCAACAGGCCATGGGCCTATTTCTTCAGTGCCGACACTTCTATTCTAATCGAATTTATTACATTAGCTGCGCAAGAAAAATACTCTGACGTGTACGAGTATTTGCTATACGTGACTGTGCATTACCTTTCGGTCGCATTTCCTCACAAGTTTAGACCTTTCGCACCATTCAGTATGAGCCCATTAACGTTTATAATCTTAAATTTATTGGCAAGTTTTCAAATCAGAGAAAAAATTTTTATTTTAAAGTATAATTTCATGTGGGATAAAAACTGCAACTCGTTTGAGTAGATTTTCGCGTACAGATTTATTATTCTGAGTCATTATTTGAACCCACGACTCATTTTTCTGGAATTATTTTCGTATCTCAGAAATAAGGGCACTGACGCCTGCGACGACTTCTCGAGCAGTTGGCCCAATTTCTGACGCATCTAAAATAAATCCATTCATTCCTGAGTCACGAAGTTCTATCGTGAAGGAGTATGGTGCGTTCAAGACTTTCTTGGCCCAATCATCGGTAGCTCCAGAGGCAAAGTACAAGCCTCCCGCCGAGTTTTCCACTGCGTAACTCTTCCCCGTGATTCTCATTGCTGCGTCTGCGAATGCATTTCCTGCGCGTACAAGTTGTTCTTTGTCTTCTATGGGCTCATTGGTCCATCCCCACGGGTACAGCACTGCTTGGCCAAAACTATGAAAAGTGATCATCAGCTTCAGGTTATCTACCTTGGACATGGCGTTGCTAAGTGCACGAGTTTCTGGCTCGGAAAAAGCTGCCGGGCCCATGTAAGTTTCGCTGCAGGGATCAGAAGAAGCACCCACGCCGAATTTGTAATCCCAGTTTCGGTTCAGATCAACACCACCGCAGTCGGACCTCGTTGTTACCGCTCGATTTTTGCGCCACATTCTGTCGGTTGTTCTCGAATATTCGTAACCATCAGGGTTGGCAATGGGCACGAAATAGTAATCGAGGTCACACTGGCTGTCGCATGCAGTCACTCGTTCGTGGAGCAAATGCAGAGTTGAAGAAGGCGAAATCCATTCACGAGCATGGAGGCCTGCATGACCAGAACACGAATACATTCATGATCCATTCAAAATTATTCCTGTATTCGAATATGCTACGGTATTTCAACACAATAACTTAGAATCGTGAAAAGGCCAAAATAAAAAATTAACGGAAGATACACATACCTCCTTCGATCCAAACGGATCCTGGAGACGCCGAGTCTGAGTCGGAGATTCTCGATCCTGCAAACAGAAAACATTGAGGCTCAGAGTCAACAGCTCCAAAGCTTACAGCCGCATCTACTTCAATTTGAAACGTGTTTATCCCTATGTTCCTGATAAAAAGAGCATTTAAGCTTCTCATTCGCTCTGCAACATTTACTTTTTATTTAAGCTTCTCATTCGCTCTTTGTTTGAAAACATATGTCTGCAAAGAAAAGTGCTATAATGCATGCCTTACCGGAATTTTTAATTATTATTTAGTATCATGACTGAGAGATGTGATATTAATTTCCCTATCCAATATCGTATTAGTTTCATAATTGAGAATATTCCTAGAATAACTTAAGAATTTGAGACTTTTTGTACTACTGAAGATATGTATACATAAAAATTTAATCAATATTTTAAATGTGTAATCACCATCGGGCGACACGTGAACCATCCAAATGTCGCGACCCTCAAAAGATTTGCCTATCGAAGTGAGTTGAACGCGGGCAGGGTTGTTGGATGCCAGATCCATCATGTACCTCTCCATCTGAAAAACAATTTTCTCCTAACTCCAAATTTGCCATCTAAAATTATTTCCTAGTCTAGACTACCTTCGTAGCTTCCCTAAAAATTGAAATGGTATTAAGTAAATTTTGAAAAATTTAACAAATCATACAATAATGCCAACAACTTGAACTCACCGAAGTACTGTCCCCCGGAATCGAAGAGGTAAAGGGCCTATATACTGTGACCAATTATTATTATTGTTGTTTAATAACCATGTAGATTCTTATATTACATACCGTCGGAATATGCGTTTCATTTCAATTCATTTGAATTTCAGAAACAGGGAGGACGTTTATTTGCAAATTAGTGCGAGTATTGCCGGTACTATTCGATTGAGCCTAGATCGAGGTCGTTCGCTGAACTCTTTGTTCGTAGAATACGAACGAAGCCTATTATGGAAGCAAAACTTTTATGTCTTTCCTCATACTTCTTAACCTGTTCCCATCATCCATAGAATTAAAGGGAAGGGAATCTAGGGAAGATCTGTTCCCCTGTTCCAAAATCATGAATGACGATTATCTCACCCGCTCGAAAGTCACGTACACGACTACCTCACCTGCTCGTAAGTCATGTACACGACTACCTCACCAGCTCGAAAGTCATGTACACGACTACCTCACCTGCTCGTAAGTCATGTACACGACTACCTCACCTGCTCGAAAGTCATGTACACGACTACCTCACCTGCTCGAAAGTCATGCACACGACTACCTCACCTGCTCGAAAGTCATGTATGACGATTTAAGAGGAGCAGGACAACCGCTCTCATCGCAAGTTTCTTCTAAGCGCGCTGACGCCGCTCGCTGCTGCTTCAAATCGTGGGCCTGGATAGAATTAACCGCGATGAAATTTCATGGCATAAACTTCCTTTCCCCCGTTGAATAAATTAGCATGCATATATTCCCTGCAACTGACGCAATATAATTCATAATTATTTAATAAAAAATATCCCATTATCTATATGTGTGCAACACCAGGTCATACCCTGAGATATTCTGACAAGTCCTCCACTTCGACGTCATGTTCGAGATCCGAGTGTGCGAGCAAGCTATGGAAGGCCTCCTTGTCTGTAGGAGCGACGCGAGCACGAGTCTCTCCGACTGAATGGCGATGAAGGATGTCTAGGCTAGGGATCGCCTTCAGCGCCTCCGACAGGAACGTATCCAGAGAGTCGCCGCTGATGCGAACAATCTACAACGGCAAGTAATTTATAACTATTTTAGTGGAGGAATCTTTCAATGTTATACATAGTTTCAACTCCTTTAATACATAAATTCACACTTTAAGTTGTAACTGTTAATGGCAGTTGTTCTAAGATCTACGAGAATGCCGTGGTGTCTAAGGATCGATCATGATTACCAAATTTTGCACCAATAAAGTTTAATTTTAATTTAGTTTATCCAAGAAATATTGAGTCATGATATTATAATATATGACTATTATGACCAAGAAATATTGAGTCAGAGTCATGATTGGAAGTTCTGTAAAAAAAAATTTTGAGTTCATCCTGCATAAAAACTCAGGGTTGTATAGAATATAAACTCCTCTCCTTGGACAATAAATTTTAAATCGTTATTTCAAGACGAAAAACGAATTTTGTATAGAATCGGCTGGTTTCACCTTTGGCATAAAGCAGAAACACACTTAAACTTGCGTCAGTTTAACTGGGAAGTTCATTACAGATGAAATTAAATAGCATTGTTGACGCGCTGACCTGATGACCCTGAAGTTTGCGGTAAGTTAGCACTTGTCCGACCGTCGCGGCGTGGCTCGCACTCCCGAAGCACGCCAGCCACATCAGCACGAACATTTTCATGGTTACCTGTGGGCATACTTTTTTCTATGTGAATGATAAATCATTTCTCTATATTAACTTTGAGCACAAATTATGCGCGTATATATGGCACAGGTTGATTAAAAAAAATTCTGATTTGAAAGTTAAATTTAAAAAATGACTAAGTAAAGATATCATTATAATGTAAATTTCATTGAAAAGACATTACCTGCATTTTTGTATCACTTAGTTTTAATGATGACATCGAACAAATGACGGCTCCATTTTCAATGCATTAAGTTAGTCTATTTTTGAAGATCCGTTCAACTCGCTGTAGCTTATTGACGGTTATGTTGGCAATGGCTTGGTGTATATTGTTCTTCAAATGAGGTAGGGTCCTTGGACAGTCATTGTAAACAATTTCTTTAAGATAACTCCATCAAAAAAATCACACGGAGCCAAATCGGAGGATCGGGCCGGCCAAAGAATGTACCCTCTTATGGAGATGAGGTCAATACCCGTCAATACGATTCAGCGAGTTGAACGGAAATTCAAAAATCGACTAACTGAATGCAATGACAATGGAGGCCGTCATTTGTCCGATGCCATTTAAAGCTAAATGATACAATAATTCAGGTAATGAATTTTTAAATAAAATTATATTGTAATGATATTTTACTAGTTATTTTTTTATCGAGCTTCCAAATCAGGAAGTTTCCGTGGATCAACAAGTATATTTTTATTTTATGTTTTGCAATTTAATTCGATGAACACTTGCATTGATTCGCTCGTAGTCATTTTCTAAATAAGTTTGATTAGTTCACTTAAATTGGCATAAAATTGTTAATCAAAATATGTTAATAAAACTTTTGATGTTTCCCGCTAAGATCTTGTCCTCGCCACGGCTCTTGGTGTCTGTTATTTCCATTATAATGTTTCAAAAACGCTGATTTTCTCTGATTTCGTATTCAGAAGAAATTTATAGAATTCAGTTTTCGTTAAGTCCAAGCTCCAGTTAAAGTTGAGTTGCATTCGAAAATCTAATTCAGTTATTGATGCTTTGTCTGAGTTGACGTCGTCATGCTGACATCACGTCAATAGGACACTTGTCATTTCGCTGTTTTAATCTCGCACGCTCTAAAGGACTATAAGGTGGATGTGAATGAACTGTTTGCAGTCCTGGTCTCTTTAGATGTCACTTTGAATTGAATTCGATTTCCAAGTCGGTAATTCAAATGAGGCAATAACTCTATCTAAGTCCGATGTTAATTTTCTTTATAATTAATATTTGATAAATTCTTACACTTCGAACAGGAAATGCATCACTCTAATTATTTTATAAAGTAGCAAATATGCTTAAAATATTCGACCTGAGCCAAGATGGTCATATTTTATAATAGTTGTGAAACGCAACGCAGGACACCAGAGTTGTCATGATTAACAGTAACTAATCTATTTTTCTACTACCAGTTGAATTTGTTGTCAACAGACAAGAGGCTTCAAGGTTTAACGTGAATCATTTTCAGTGTTCAAATGGTATTTGAGAGACTATTTCTACACGAAATACATTTTTGAATGATTTTTTACTATATTGAAAATAATATTTTTGAACGCTATAATTTGTTTTTTGCCGCGCTTTCTTCTCCAAGGCGAGCATGCACAATCGTTTCTTTCGCTCTAGCCCAAATTTACGTTTCGTTTCAAAGTTACACTTTTTACTATGCACTCCTGTAAATAAGTACCCACAACTCACTTATCTTGCCGAGAACTTGCACGTTGCCTCCGACACAGCACCACTGTCGTGAAGCACTGATGCAATAATGCTGCACCGATGGTTGGATGAATGTTCACTAACATGTGTTGCATTGAACAGGTGCAATGCCAGCCCTATTTCCGAAGTCCGTGCAGGTGTTCTCTTTAAACTCGTGTCCAACTAGAAACATCCCTTCAGCAAATTTGTGTGAGATTAAAAACCTCTTTAGAGATCATGTTCTCTTGCATTTTAAATGCGTTTCTTTGTACGTTCTTGATAATAAAGTTACGGTTTATCACATATTGAAATAAGTTTGTTACAGCTGAGACTCGATTCAACTTCCACGAAGCTGTTTATGCAATTAAAGCAAAACGATTATGTTCATACATTTTCACGAAATTTGGTTCAATTTTCTTCAGTGCTCACATTCATTGGTTACAACAGGCATTATTGTAAATCTAAACGCTTATTTCTGAAATCGTAATTTGTTTATATTTTCTCTTGCATTTGTAGTACTAAATAATAAATGTTCTGAATTTTTATTTAATTAAAAGGAAAATATACTTAATAAACTATACGACTGTAAAAAGATTATATGAAAATCAATTACAACAAATGCATTCAAAAGTCGAACCAGTTGCTGATAAAGCATGTAACATGACTCAAGATATTGAAATGTGTATTGCAGTATTACAATATCAAAGTTGAGTCACTGATGCAATACAGATGCACTTCTCTCGAGAGTTCCACCAGTAAACGTACTTAACGACGTGTATTAATAATTTTTTTAAGATGTTAAAGCCATAAATTGAATGTAAGAACGTATTGTGTGGTGGACAGGCTTATATCTGGCAAGTTTATATACACATACCCCGTGAGAATGGTTTAAAAATCTTTTCTAGCACTTATTATGTTTTAAGCTTATGTGTGGGATGATAATCGTAATTTCCATGATAAACTAAACGCATATATATTTGCAGCCATAGCAATAGCTCACGACGAGAGCAATTAGAATACTCGTACTATAAAAAACAGGAGTAACAGTGTGTCCTCTTGTTCTAAAGTTAATATATGATCATGCAAGCTATAGCTCAGTTAAAGAAAAGAGGAATTAATCTATAGTAGTTTTAGATTCTAATTAGAATATTAAGTACCCAGATGCCGACTTTTTGGTCAGATCAAAAAAGTATAAGAAATTCCTTATTAATCTAAAGTTCAACGGGAAAAAAATGGCTGAGTCTTTGCATGAAATAGCAAGGCTCACTTTTCGTTTACTAAAAGTTCATTAAGTTTTAATGAACTTTAAATTGCCAGTGAAAAAATTAATATAATATGGTAGAATAGTATAATGAATATTCGTTTCTGTAATTTGGTTCAGATTTCAAATTAGATACCAGTTTGTTGAGGCAACATACATATTAAGACCAAAAATCGATTAAAATAAAGAAAGTTTGTTTAAAAACTTCTAATCTTCTATGATGAGCTAGCATTCGACCACTTGAACGATTCCTCAGTCGTTTTCATATTCATTCATTCAATGATTCAACCCTTCATATTCATTGCACCGCAAAAAGATGAATGGAATGTAAGCATCGTGGCCGTTTAATTACATTGAGCGAGTTAAATGGGCAGAGTGAACCAGTAGATACAGTTCTGTGGAGCTGCGAGTTGCGGGTTCGATCTCGGCTATCTGTCACAGTTCTGGTCGCAATGTGCGACGTGGCCGGGCGGTTAAGCGTGGCAAACTTAGAGGACCGAGTTGTCTGTCCAAACAAGTGTGACGGAACACAATTTTTGTGGATTTTTTTTTTTGAGAACATTGTTTCGCTTCTGATTTAACTCAAGGATTTAATTTATTTATGACTAAACAATGTGTAAACGAATATTTATTTCGTGACCGTAATATGGAATCTTGTCTAGCTGTGGTGTTTGTAGGATTTAGTGTCTTGGAACGAGACAAGGTGTAGCTCCAACGTGATTGGTCGAGCTGCTCCTAACCTCGTTATAACGCGCTCTTGGTAGTCGTGAACGATGGAGAGTTTGGTATCTTTGGAATTAGTTTAAGAATATTAGATTTTTAACTGTGATTAGATTGCCAAGTGATTACAAATATGTTGACTTTATTGTATTATATTATATTATCTATTTTTTGCACTTAGGAAGTGTTTACAGTCTGTTTTGTACATTGTAAACGGGGTGGTGAGGTAAGCTCATTTTGGCTGAGTTACCCCCTCGTTGTGTGCCCTCGGAAGTTGTGTGTGCTCAGTGGTGCTGGGTTGGGGTGACACGGTTTCGACTCGAATTAGGCAGAGCCAAATTTGGGCTTCCAAGAATAAACTCCACCGCAGTTCTGGGCATAACTCTCAATGATTTCCACTAACGGACTAATAACGGCATAGGTGGAGTTCTTGGATAGTTCCAGGTTTTGGCTGCGTTGGGCGGTTAACAGCCGTTCAAATAGCACCCTCGAGGTAGAGGCCAATAAGCTCTGCGCTCGAGTAAATTGTCAGCGGCTTATTGTAGGCTCGTACCCTTCAATAGTCGTGCTTTTGAGGCGTAACTGCCACCCCGGTTCTGTGTTCTGGGCAGTGCATTAGGGCTCGAACCCCTGATCATTGCGTACTGTGAGGTTGTCAGTTTTGTGGTACGGCTCGTACCCGTATCCTTGCTGTCCGCCCCTGTGAGGTCGTCAGTTTTGTGGTGCGGCTCGTACCCGTATCCTTGCTGTCCGCTTTTGTGGTCCTCAGTAGTTTATTAGGATTCCTAGACGTTGAATCCCTAAGGCTGAGACCCTGCTTCCCGGAGCTTTTGGACCTAATAAATTGTGTGCCTTGTACAGAGGAATTGTGTATCGCCCGAAGATCACCAATATATTAAGAAAAGTTTCTCGTGTTCATTCCTCCTCTCTCCAAACGCAAGGGAATTTAGAACCGGACCAAAGAGCGACTCTTTAGCCCTTGTGTTAAAACCAATACGCAAGTCGCCGTCAAGTCAGCACGCTACTCATAACTATTTCAACTTCGCGGCGGTGTTTCCGGTCACACAAGCAACAAGTTGCGAAAATTCTGCGATGTTCAGAATCGACGACAGATCAGATAGCCTAATCAATGATGAAACCGCCATAGGCCATGGGCCTATTTCTTCAACGCCGACACTTCTATTCTATTCTATAAGTAAAGAAAGTGTATGCGATATTGTCTGCAACCGCTGAGGTGTCGGGCATTTCCATAGTCAATGCTCCGGTAAATTTAGTAGGTATTTATTGTGTTGATCTTTAAGGAATGACTAGCAATCTGTACTTGAATCCAGATTCCATACTTGGTGAGACATTCAGCGCTATAGCCCAAATTGCTAGCGTGAAACAGAAGACCTAGAAAGACATGGCTTGATATTAAAAAAGATATAACTATAATGCACTACACGTGATGTATCTCTTTACTTGGATTGACTTACGAAAGACGCGCTCAACGTTTTATTGAAGAACACGAATAAATTAGCAACTATTCAAATGAAGAAATCTAAGGGCTTCAATTTTTATTGCATATTCAACCGTTGACAATTTAATAGCATCATACATTTAGATCCAATAAATAAAAATTATCCTCCCAGGTGTGTCTCAGAGTCACAAACTTCGGTATTACTTTAATGTCAGGTTTGTTTACATGGGAGTTTTTCCCTGTCAGCAGTCAGAACTTGACAATGAAGGGTTGTTGATGCTTGATGGCAGACGTGCGGCAGGTGCTTACTTTTTCACCACCAGCTTACTTTTTTTCATTTTCCATTTCAAGATCACTGCAAAATTTTGTCTGTTTATAACTATTATTTTTATTTATCATTACTATTCTTTCATTTCTTTGTTCTTCAACTTCTTCTATATTTAGGATAACGACAGGCCGCAGTTGCATTGTGTCACAGTGTCAGGCTCACCTCAGATGGAAATTGCAAAGAATAACATCTTCACTATGTGCATTCTCTCTCAAATAAATAAAAAACTGCCCATGATTCAATCCATGAATACAAAACTGATCACTGATGCAATAAGCTGAGACATGATACATGAAAAACTCCTTCCGTTGCGAGCAGGAATAGTAGGTACCAACTGAACAAAAGACAATAACAAAGAAGGTTGCAGGGACATTGTGGCAAAGCAGAGAGTTTTTAGACTCTCTCTCAAGTTCATTTTTGAGTCCTATAAGTAGACCAGTAAAGTATCCTGGATACGTACCAGCATTATCACCAGACTGTAGAGCATGGCACAACATAGGTTGAGGACGCCGATTTTATGCATCAAAGACGCCAAGGTGGATGCCACTGGACACCACTGGACACCGGTTGCAAATTATGCTTCTCCATAAATCGCGATTTACGATCGATATGGCCAATGCGCCGTATTGATCAACACACTGCGATCGTAACTATGTGTTGTAGCGCTTAGTTCTGATGGCTGTGCGAGCTACATTTGAGCACCCAAGCATACGACTGATACGAGCTCATAGCCACCTGAACTACGCGATGTAGCACACAGTTCCGGCGCCTGTGAGAGCTACATTCGAGCATCCAAGCATACGAGCTCATAGCCACCTGAACTATGCGATGTAGCACGCAGTTCCGGCGCCTGTGAGAGCTACATTTGAGCACCCAAGCATACGAGCTCATAGCCACTAGAACTACTCTACTCAGTGTAGCGCGCAGTTCCCATGGTTCTAAGTGCATGTTTTGAGTGCTTGCATTGAGAGAGCCTCACAGCACTGACAATGGATAACAAAGCAGCTTGTGATAAATCATTTTAAATCATTGTGATAAATCATTTTTAAACACTACATCATTAGTCTTGTCACCTGAACCAAGCCAACCCAATTCAACCTCACCCAATTCATTCCAAACAAATTCAAACAACCTTCATCTAACTGAACCCAAGCCAATCCAACTGAACCCAAGCCAATCCAACTGAACCAACCCAATGCAACCAAACCCAACCAAACCCAACCCAACCCAGTGCAACCCAATCCAATTCAGCCAAACCCAACCCAATGCAATCCTAACCAATTCAACACAAACCATTACAACCCAAGCCTAACCAAT